CCTTAAACCATTGAGAAGGCTTCAGATTATGGTATGGCAATCAGTAGAGATCTAGTAGGTCGATCCAGGGCTGATTGTAGGGGCCCTGGTGATGAAGCGGGTGAAGGAAGCATGCCATGTGATCATGCCATGTGATCATGCCATGTGATCATACAGGCTGTTTGTTTTGTCAAGTAAAGCTATCACTTACTGTCTGATAGATACCTTGCCGCAACTCATCAAACAGCGAAGCCTCTAATTTCTTACATATTCAAAGACGGCTAATGTGCTTTGATATTTGCGCAGCTTCCGCAGGATCAGACTCTACACCAGAAAGGCCAGCTCTAAAGGCCCAAAGTTGTTGATAGGCGGGACTAATGATGACTTTGCTCGATGGCTCAAGTACACGATCATCGACTGTAGTGATTTCCGATAAGATACTAGCAAGCCTCAGGGTTTTGTGGAAATTCATCGGCGTTAGTTGTCATCCGATTATTCCTTACCTTTGTTCCGACCGAATTTGTCTTCGGAAGCAGTGATACAAAAGGACCAATCGAGGTTTACGGGTGTCGAGACACCCGCAATTCCTGTAGCACTGTCATTGGGCAAGCGAATAACCATAATAGAATGAGTGCCTTGAGCGTAAGAACGCCTAAAATAGGAGCTGAAAATATTTTGATTCAGAGAATGAACCATAAATATCATTTGCTTGTGAAGTGATCGAGGTAAATATGGGTGACGCCGGCACGTTAATGGATTGGTCATTGGTATCGAACTTTATAAGTGGAACATAGACGGAGTTGCTTTCGCAGAAATGACAGATATGTTTCAACCAATATCTAAGATGAAATTCAAGAAATCCATGATTCATCTTTATTGCTGAGAGATTCATGAACAAGGTTTGGGGAAAAGTAGACCAGGGGTAACACACCAGTGAAGAAAAATGGTTGTGGAAAGACAGATGGTTAGATTCGAAAAGCCATTTGTAGCAAGACTCGAGCTTGGGAATCTCAGTAAATCTTAGCGCACAACCGCCAGATAACTTTGTTTCAGATTATTGATGGTCAACTATACATCGTCTTCCGTGTTTGTAGAATAGAGGCTGGAATGTGCAGGGTCGAAAATCAGTCTTTCAAAATCAAGGAATAAACCTGTGAAGTTATGAAATGCGATGGCATTGCTCCGATATTAGAGAATTAGTTGTAGTGTGGTTCAATGCCGGGATTCCACCAAAATCCAGACGATCTCATTGACATACAGAGACTCAAAGCAAAACAGAAATCGAGCTGGCGATACGCCACTGCAATATACAGACTTATCAAGCAGATATTGATATGGAATATTGCGCTGAGCCCCGAACATATATCAAGGGTAAGTGTGAGACTTGACGTTCAGCTCCTATTGACACCGGTGCTCTACATAGCTTCCAAGGTTGGTGTAGAACAAACCATAGTGCTATCTTCAATCACGTGACATGGTCATTTAGCAGTTACAGTAAAGCAAACGCAGGCGTCGAGTGGAGTCGCTAACATGGTATCCAAATCATCATTAAACTGGTCCTATGTCTTGTCCCCCAGGGAATATATACATCGATGTGTGAATATGCTAATGAGTACCTATCTAGACTTATGCTACTTTCTGCTACCGTGGAACAAGAATACGAGGAGCTTCTTCATGATCCCATTGATCTAGATACCCAATTACCTTTGAGAAATGCACAGCGCTAGATACATTCGGGAGAAGAACGAGGTCATGACCGACGATGGTCTAGATGTAGTGCGTATTAATGTAACGTTGAATGCAGTATAAACGTTAGAATAAGCAACATTCTTCAGATCTTCACAAACGGTACCTACCGAAAGCCAAGCAAATCAATTCAAGGATTAACCTTTAGTACTGATTAGTCATAAAAAGCAAGTTCTTCCATCTTATCAAATGTTCGGTTTGGCCCTCCAAAATTTATATCTTCGATACCAATCACTCAATTAAGAGCCTAGTCGTATATATAAGATATTTCTGTCATATCTTCAGATGTCTTACTAAATCATGCGATATGTCTCAAGATTTATCTGCCGGCGTGGTAAATCATCCAGTAATGATTTCGGACGAACTTAGATCCAACCCTCACCATAATATTTCTGATCTAAATGCGACTACGGATACTAAAGAACAAGAAGCCACTACAGCTAAGATGAATTTGGAATCATCTACAACTCAAATGTTGGATATCGTGCCCGTATCTGCACCAGATCCACAAGAGCTTAATGCTCCAGACAATCATTCGCAATCATGCCTTGGCCTAGTCGAAGAATCTGCCGTTGATAACGAGTCAAAGTTGATAATGGATGCGGCAACAACAGGAGGGGCAGTGGTTGCGGAAAATACCACCTCAGGTAGGACAACCGCTAATGTTTAATTTTTGCATCATGTGAATACATTGTGGAAAGTACATTCTAATCATACCTGCTTCCCAAATAGTCGTACCACCAATATCTACCGTACGACCACTCGAAAATAGAGACCCCCCGACCGAAACCCAGCCCTCTACATCTGCGACTGCTGCCACAACCACAATATCTCCTAACACTGAACAGCATTGTCAATCATCAATAAACTCTATTATTACAGATCCACAGACTTCAAGCGCCAATCCTACTGCGGATCTCGCGAATACCTCGAATGAAGATATGAATGTCGTCAAAATTAAAGCAGCTCGTCGGAGAATGGCTCGTGTCAAGGCACATCCAAATGCCTTGACAGTCTATGAGGCCGAGCTGACAAGTAAGGACAGGGCGACTCAAAAAGAAGCAGTTCGACAATACTTGGAGAAGAATGTGAAGCAGGACTGGACTTGGACCTGGCCAGCCGAAGAAAACGAACCTATGAATATAATGGATGCATTACTTAAGGAGCCTTCTTTAGATGAACTCCAAGTCACCAGTGCGGATAGCCCTGCGTATAAGGAAGAGTGGCGAGAAAGAGACGAGTGGGAAAGTGATCCCACTGAGAGCGAGAGTGAAGATCCTACTTCGCCCAAAGGGCCCATCAACATTAATTCTCCGGATAGAGAAAGTCCTTTCCGTTTTGACAACCCGGATGGTGTAGGTCAATTGGTCAAACAAAGACGAGCTGCACGAAGACGCCGACACAAAAAGAAGCTTGCCGCGGAAATGGAGTGGAACACAGGGGTACACTGTTATGTAGAAAGACGTGATGCATGGACTTGCGCCCGACGTGTCCCTCCTCCATCCGGACGGGAGCTTCATGCTATCGAAAATTTACCAGTCCATTCAAATGGAAATGACCGCAAACCTGTGGACGATTGCTCAGACTCAGAAGGATGGGATACTGAAGTGCCAATTGCTAAATCACTACTACCACCAGATAATGCAATGAGAGCGAGCATCACCCCTCAAGCTTACAGCACCATATACGACAAAGTTATTCTGCAATCACTGACACCTAGTTGTCCTATCAATCTATCCGATGTCATACAGAGCTGCGTACAAGGATGGAAACGGGATGGTGAATGGCCCCCTTCCTCATCTGTCCCCGAACCTGGTCTCGCGGCGAAGAAAAAGCAAAGGAGATTGAGCATGTTGAGCATGTTGGGGCTAAATGGTCCCGAGGCAAAGGCAATTAGTCCTGTAGTAGAAAAAAGTCCACAGACGCCAGGTTCAATTAAAAAGGGGTTGCAAAAGTTCTGGAAACGCGGAGACAAAACCAAAGGTACGCCTGAAGGTGGGACGGGAGCTTAGAATTTTGGTACAGAAGAGCTACTGCATATGTTCTATCAAATGGGCTTTAAGGGAATGGCATGGCATAGCATAATGTGGCGTTTTTATGGGAGACACTCGAGGCGACATTCGGTATGAAGTTATGAAGGGCACATTGAATAAGCGGATTGAATCAGGTTCAATCACTGTTGGATCAGGTTGTTGGACTAGCATGATTATTATGAGGTTATCTCGGGACTATTAATATGACTATCATTTTCCAGTATTTACTTTAGGAGCTCCAAGTCAGTATCTTAAGCTTCCTCATCTTCGCCCTCTCCTCTTACTTGTGAAAATGATCCCATATTCCAAGCCTAACGTAAAATAGACAACCTTGTCCAAATAACACATAAATATTCGAGCACATATCACTTCATTTCCTGTATAAAACATAAGATCCTCTACTTCCAGTGCCTCTGTTTTGATATGATTCGCTGCTTCTACTTCCGCTACTCCTACTACTATTCTCATTCGCACTCCGTTCAGTATTCGTGTGCGAAAATACGTGATAAGATATCGTTTCGCGCAATTCGAGCGGAAGCGGTAGTCGGTTGGTATATGCGAAGGTTCTTGGTTGTGGTGGGGTGTGAAGATGGGTGGGTAACCCAGAAGGAGGCGTATCGTCTATTGATGTCGGCGGTGTGAAGTTTTGGTTGATCCCGGGTGTTGTTGATGAGGGAAGAGGAAGGGAGAGTGCGTTAAATTGGAGGTGATATCTGGGATATGTAGGATGAGAGTCGTTGGGTCGCTAAATGTTGTAGTGACACTTTCTGATAGGAATGCTGTTTGGGAGGAGTGTTGAGCGGCTGAATAGTTCTGAGTCTTGTGCTTTTAAGTCGGGGTTCTTCTGTAGGAAGATGTAAAACAATCAAGTCTTTTACATACGCAGTTAAAGGTGCGCAGAGTTCGGAGAAAGAGAGTTGCTGAAATCGAAAACGAGAATGAAGTTGTTGATGGCTCCGTTTTCCAATAGTCGCATTTGAATGAATTCTTGATATGAGGATGGTTCTGTTCTGAAGGTTCGATAGCTTTGGAAATTTGATCCGTGAGTATCTTCTCTCTCTATCCCCTTTATCTGTTTCCTTTTTCCTTCTGGCTGGTCCGCTTCTGTTTCCCTTTCTCTTGACCATATAATTTCTATCCCCTTTGAGCCCCCCCCTGTCTTGTCCTTTTCCTTTCCTCTCTTTCAAATGAATTCCTCAATCTATGACATCTCATAATTTGAATTAGAGAGACATTAAATTTCTAATCGTAAATGTCGAGGATAGTCGACATACTTCCAAGACATTGCCTAAAAATGTGCTTCATCTCGAAATTGTCCAAATATGCCGTCATACCTTGGACGAAAGTAGGTTCAAAAGCACCTTCTCTAAGCTCCCATAACTTAGGCTCGGGACTAGGTTGTGGAAGTAACACATGAGACATGAAAGGGCCTTGTTGCTCGTCTAACTGTTCGGACGCTTCAGCCCCCGGCATGAGTTGCAGACTCCAATACGCAAATCCGGGAGGTTCCATCACGCGGGAATGTAGAGTCTCGTGAACATCAGTCAATAGCTGGACGGCTCCGTTGTTTGTCCAGTCGTACCCCATTCCAGGGCGTATCAGCGCGCGAGATTGTATACTTTGCATCGCCTGCGCTAAATCCACGAATATCGCGTCTGGATTATCCCTCCGGTTACACCGAGTGGATTTACTCAAGCGATATCTTCTCGTGTAGAGTACTTTGAAGAAGTGCTCTAGAAACCCTAGATCGTTTATCACACTGATATATGCATTCCATGCCACTTCCCTGGCCTCTCTGTTGATATGGAGGAGGGGAAACACGAGATCCTTCTTCTTGAGGGTAGTCAGGCGATGAAGGTGTGGGAGCTCGAACGTATTGGGCCAGTTGTGTGTATTTTCCTTCCTTACGATTCCACCTACTTCGTTATCGCTTAGAAAGATGCTTGTATCCTGAGTGTCATTGACACAGAAGATTTTTATTGCTTCTTCAGCGACATATTCCCAGATACTACGACGTACTTCGGAGGGTAGTCTCATGAAACTTCGGATGACTTCTTTCTGGTCGGGCTGGAGTTGAATCTGAGAAGGATGCTCGGCCATTGTATAACAAGTTTGGATATTTTCAATAGATAGGATTGATAGAAGAGATTGATATGATTTCGAGGTAAAGTTGTAGAATATAGATGAATATTGAGAATACCTGATGACGAATGGTGATTATGATAGGTGATGATGATATATGAAGCTGGTGGAATTTTTCAAATTGACTGGCAATCGATGGTGAAGTACATAGGTAAGATAGTTTTGGTAGAGATTTCTGTTAAAAGAAGATTGAAACGATATTCAAGGTGTCATCAATCATATTTAAGGGCGGGGTGGTTGAAGCTAGTATCTTGTTAGTTCCACCCAGTAGTGCACATCTGTCATCTTGGATTTCACCACTGATCGGTGCTGACGAGTTTTAGTCTCGAACTTGGGTTTGTCTGGAAGGAAATAATTGCCGATGATTTAAACGTTAGGTAGGAACGGAAAGTCACGTCCTCGAGAACTTCACGGGAGCTTTGGGTAATTCAAAGAATTGGTTTTATGTCAGAATTCTGGCCGGTTTTAAAAATCCAACAGGTGGCTAATTGGACTTGACCAGCAGACTATCTACACCTATCTTTCCAATGTTTGGAAGCAGGCTTGATGCAAAGCAAAGACGACATTTGCAGTATGTCAGGAACGATGGTGACTAAGTAAAGTCACCAACTTATAGACCAATTGACAGACTTCAATCCTCTCAAAGCAGTACAACTGTACACCTTTTCAGGGCGAAGCTAAAGGCAGACATGGAAAGACTTAGAGCGACATGGCAGTTTTGCATACACGAGCTACATTTATTACCAATTCAATCGAGACAACTAACAATTTTTAAGTCATGTGCGTAGCAATCACAGAGTTTGTCACTGTCAGGCAAATCATCATCAACTTAATTGATTCTTTCCTGCCACGGCGAGACTGAACCACCACCGCACACACAATGAGTGTTACGATTTACTCTTGAGTCTTCTCATCCGTGCCAATCAAGGTTAGAAAGGTTAGAGGGCCAAACTTATCCGACAAATCTGCAGCCAACTCATCACCATTGTCAGTACTCTCAGCCTTTGCCTCATCTCGAACGTTCATCTCATCCCGCTCTAGCAACTCATCTGAATCGTTTGCAACTTCTTCTTTAAGTTCATCCTCCGTGCTTCCAGGGCTCGTATCATCTACAATATTCATCAGACAATACTCTTCATCAACGTTCATCGACGGGGACTAGACTTACCAGTAGGCTTATCAACAAATTCTCTGTCACTCGAAGTGTATTCCTTAAGAATTGGCGTCGACTGCTTATCCCTTGCCCTCATGAAGGAATCGTGAAATTTTGGATCCCAAAGTCTGGGTCTCAACTCTTCCACTGGGACTGCATCATCCGTTGCCATCCTCTTCAAAACTCCGTTTTCGTCGAAAATGTACTCAATTTCTAGCACTCGTTTCGTACAAACAGGGCATCTGCCTTGACGAACACCGTCATTCCCGAACATTTGATTGAGTTTTTTGACCTCGTTCCAGAGGTCTTCGTACTCTATTAAAAAGGGATTGTGGCTATTGTACGTAGGATTATGAAATAAAGGTTTGGATGCTTTGATACAGCCTTCAACGACTGCATTTTCTTCATCACTGAGCTCCTTAGAATTTCTAAGTTCTTCCAGAGACTGGAGTGGATCGCTTCCTTCCAAGATTATACTGTTGAAGTGGCCATTTTTGAAAGCTGGGTAATCGACGGGATTTATGCCGCAGAAGATAGTCCACTGAAGGGCATCCTTCCAAAAGTAAGAGATCTCTCTACGACTTCTGTCCGACATAACGAGAAATTCTTGCTGGAAAATAGTCAAGTGAAAGAACAATTGTTTGTTACGCGAAGAGATGGGTGACAACGATTAATCGTGCGAGGGCTTGGAGACGATAATTTACAGTCGATTCTAAAAGATGTGTCTGGTAGTACCAGGGTGAACTCATATCAAAATAATAAGCCATAATGGCGAATCAAATATAGTGTCATGTACAACCTTGTCATGTAGCTTTCCGTGAAACAGTTTTGCGACCTGTTTCTTTCTGTTTATCTGCATGCGCATGTGTTTTGTTTTTCTTCAGATTTGACATGAAGGCCGCATGATACGAGGAAGCTACTGACTTAAGTCATGCTGATCGAAGAGTGGTAGAAACTTATGGACCCGCAATATCCTCTCAATCTCCTCGAGTTTTTTACTGCCACAGCAAAGTAAAGCTACCTAAATCATGATTTGTGCAATCTTTCAACTACGTCTCGTGAAGCAGAACTGCCTGAAATTCATCTCCGTTCATCCATGATTGCTGTTTTGGTTCGTTTGGTTTTAGGACGCAACTCAAATGCTAAGAATGATCAATTTCAAGACGGCACAAGAAGCATAACCTATACATTCAATCAAGTCGCTATTATTCTCTTCGTTTCCAAATGATCCGACTGAACTATCATTCATATTTTATAGCACGTCTTCATCGATGTACCAGGAAAAGATGGAACAAGCTCGTTATCATTATACCACGTCTCCTGAAACCTAAGATTTGAATAGATACTTCCAGAAAAAGGGATGATCCCAAGCGAGAACTAGATGCAAGCCGCATTAGATTTCCCTCTGACTTGACACGGTACCATCTGCTAATGTTAGGTTGGTAATTATAGAAGGCTATACACAAAGTTCAAACTTTAAGTTCAAAATAGACTAGCCTTTATACAATGAGACAAACATAAACCGCAAAATCCGTCAATACTGAAATTATATTTGTCAGCCTCGCATTATTTCTGTATCCCAACGGCGTAGACGGCACCCAGGGCGAAGTTAGGGATTTGCACGATTAATTTCATTGTTGAAACATCTGCCGCGGTAGTCCACGAATCAGATTTCACATATGAATCCCACCGGGCTGATTCTGCATGTCATATTATCATGCAGTGGCTTATACTGAGCTTACGCGATGAGAATTCAGGGGGATTGCTGCTGAATCGAGTTGCGTATGAAATCAGTACCGTGTGGTTACACGCGGCTAAGTCTTCATGGGGGCCACTCCTCTAAACGAGACGATCAGCCACCTAAGTTGCCATCCGCGATTAATTTTTGGAATGAACTCTTTCCTTGAGAAGATCTTCAATATGAAAGGAAAGAGTTAAGAAATGCCGCCGCGGAAGCAGCACAGACGCGTTAGCGCATTCCCCGCGATAGCAGAATATGGAGAAAGTACGCCGACTTCGTCAGTTTTAAGTCCGTCCACAAGAGGTTTGAGGAGGACTACTTTTGTGGAGATATGGCCGAAAAATGTTCGTGAAACCCCCTGATTCTCGATATTTACTAACAGATTTTGTAGAATGGTCCCACTGAGGTAATCCGAGGAAAAATACCAGAAGATCAAATTCCCAGCTGGCTTGAACAAAAAGGTAATGTGGGTCTATTGGTGTGATTAATTCATACTCTAACGTTTTTATAGATGCCTTTGCTCATACAAGTAATGAGACATCAAAAATGGGTGCTCTAAGACTGCTGTTTGTGATCTCCTCCATCACATAGCTCGTGACTTCATGATTTTGACGCCCAAACTAATCAAAGAGCAATAGGTTTACAAATAGAGCAATGAATTCCGATAAGAAAGCTGTTGGGATGACTTTCAGTGATGATACACTTCAAGTGATTATGAGCCGCCTTCAACTACCAGCAGCATTTGCACAGATGCTAGCACCGGACCAAATTGAACCTCCACGATTCTCTCATAATACTCTATTTGATACTCATGGAAACCATTTGGGTATGGGTACGTTTAAATTCACACCCTCTAACTCACTATATGTTACTAACATGGATTCACTCTTTATTAGCATTAGCAATTCACTTTCATCGCTGGCGCCTTGAATCCATCACCCTTGGTCTTTCTTACAACCAGAATACCAAAGTAACCACGGCTCTTCTCCTCGAGAACTCCAAAGATCCAACTCACGAATCATTCATTCACTATATCTTATTGCAATCCACATACCTAACTCATCCGCTCTTCCTTCCTCTAATTCTGGCCGAGCTAATGCTCGACACTCACCGAACGCAGTTAGATCGAACCACATCCCGCCTCCGAAACCTCGAATCCGCAATCGGAATCCACGATCACGATTACCATTCCACCTCATCCCCTTCTTACAGCACACCTGACAAATCGCCCCTCCCAGACTTCCCCTTCATCTCTCGCTCGCTAAATGGAGAATCCACCCGTTTAGCCCTCTACGAAGTAAAAGTAAGATCCAATATTCATCTCCTGCAAGCACTTATTCGCGGCCCCTATTTCACAACTCTTCTCCCGACGCATGATCTGGATGGAACAAGCCAACATCGCCCTCCGAGAAAAATGCGAATTCCTTCTTGGCTGGAACGTCGAATTATCTTCTCGTGTCATTGCACAGAGACGAATCGTGAAGATTCAGATAGGTAGCGTACAGAATCTGCTTATGCAACGGGAATCGAAAATTACTACTTCGATGATGGAGGCTCGGAAAGGGGATGCAAATGCAATCAAGACGATTGCGTTTCTATTGATGGCGTTTCTACCTGGTGCGTATATTGCGGTATTGTTTAGTGGGTCGATGTTTGATTGGCAGGCGGAACGTATGAGTGGAGTTTTGAGTGAGTGGTTTTGGTTATATTGGGCGGTTACGGGACCGCTTACTGCGGTGGTATTGGGTAGTTGGATTTGGTGGTGCAAACCATGGCTATGAGTTATCTTGGACGAGGATGTTGCTGCTTTGTTTCAATATTGGTGATGCTTGGGATTGTATCATTCGGTGTTAGTTTAGGGAACTTGAGCCTTGAAAGAAAACCATGGAAGGTTTTGTAGGCAAATGGTGCCTAAAATTAGATTTTTCTTGTATTTATACTATTATTTCACGGGTTGTTATTTGGCAAGGGTCTTGTTATCAGTATCAAAAGAGAGGGCTCTCATGTATTTCTATCAATATATTTTATATCTTCGCTGCAAAGTGTGCAATTCAATGTTTGCATCGCCATTATCACTATCACTGCAACCTGTCACCTCAAGCAAGATCCAAACCTCAGGGACACGATGACACACTTGATCAGATATATCGTAAGGTTAAAATTGACCTTTTGCGGAGGGCCCGTACTGAGAATATGCCCAAAACAGATCAGGGATATGTAAAAGATTCAAACCATAATAAGCTGGAAGAAACTAATGATTCAGTGCTTTTACTCAAATCGGATGCGACGAGTGTGGATTTAGTACGGTCTATATTGTTTGCCGGGCATTTTATCAGAAGCATAGTGTTCGACCAGATCCACAAATTTCTCTTGCCTACTCAGGTGACAGGACTATTCTCTTTTCCCATTTCAAAGTTCCCCTTTCTGGCCCTTTTACACTTTGTTATATTTTTATATTTTTAGGATTGTCTGTAGACATAGCGACTATTCCCCAGCTCAGAGAAAGACAACAATGTACTAGACTTCCGATTGTTCTGCACTTTAGATTATGGATCAATCTTTGTATCTATACATCTTTGCTTATATTATGTAAACTCATGGATAATATCATGAACAGATTGAGACCTTCGTCATGGATTAATACAACAGTACATTTCGATATTTCACATACATTTGAACATCAAAGCCTCAATGTCCAATCTTTACCTGGAAGTTACTGATCTCCCTTCAGATGTAGCTGAATAGGACAAAAGCCCCAAATGCAATTCTCCACTGAAAAATTAAATCTCGAGAAATATTGATTACCGAGGAAGAATGATTGGTAAAGTATAGGCTGGTAGCTACTGAATCATTACTCACATACTTGACTAGATTTTTTAAAGTTTGAGATGATATATAGCGTGAACATCAAGTCTAATTGGACTAACTTAAGTTACCGTATTGAGAATTGAATCATTGATAACGTCTAACTTACCTGCAGCTACAGCTATATGACACTGAATATGAAATAGTTACTCTCAATTTAAGGTTGTTTGTGGCACGCAAGTAGTAGATACTAGTGACACCCTGAAACTATCCACGATTCTCAATTCTCAATTTGACATAAGGTAGTAGAGTTCAAGGGCCAACATACAACCAATGACTGAAGGAGATGATATGCAGCAATGATAGTCTGACAGCCAGTACTAAACTTCAACGGGCTAAAAAGTAGCACCTTTCAAAGCCTAGAGTAGAATTAAAGTACTCTAATTTTCATCAAATGGTTCTCTACATCAAAGAGACAAGTGTGCATTCATGAAGACTCTGGATGGGCTTGAAAAACAATCCAAACCCTCCAAGGAACAATCATAAATCTACACTTGATGATTTTATGATGATTTTCAATTTGTTGAAAGTAGTGAATTTTTCTTAGTTCGGTGTTCGAACCGATTTGTTTTACCATGTGACCTCGAAATTTGGATGTATATTTTATGTAGGGTCTGCTCAACCCTCGACCCTCGCACTTCCACCTCCACATTCATTTTCATCAACAATCCTAAATCAATGACAAAATGAACAACAACGCATCAGCTGTTTCATTACGCAAGAGGAAGAATTCAGATGTTAGCGAAGACATATCGCCAACTCCAAGTAAAGCAATCAAGATTGAGAATTCCGATAATGTCGAAGAGCGCACCGATAACAATCATGCCGAAGCTACCGTGACGCCTTCAGTCAAGTCTGAACGATCAGCGGTGGATGTCGAGGAGTTCGATGTGCAATCGCACATTTCTGAACTCTACAGATTTATTATCAGTGAACGTGCGCTTGGCCGTGAGTGCATGACTGGCATCTTTCATCCCCAATCATGGCTGACTAGAATTTGATTTAGGTGCCCCTATGAAGATCCAGAGACTTATCAACATGGATTCTGCGTCTAGAAATTTCTATGCGTCATCCATACGTGATTGGATCGATCAGGATCATGGCGAATTTTTGGAGCGATGTAGCCACAAACCAGATAGCAGAGTCAATTTCAAAACAACTAGGAAATACTTGGCGGATATCGGAAGACTTTCACGAATGGCTCGTGGAGCTTCACTGGCTTTTGAGCTTTCCCTCTATCTCTGCGAGCACTCCTATTTGCCACCGGACAATGGCAAGATTCCACCTATAAGCCGAGCTGTCTGCGGCCCTTGCGACTCCCTAGTACATAAACTCTGCTTAAGAATGAAGGACGAGTATCCAAATTTCGAGCCGGAAGAACACCTTTCACGTGTGGACGACCAACGAAAACATTTCGAGGCAGATGATGACGGCCTTATACCACACTTATTGAGAACTAGAGATTTACTAGTAAGCTGGGTAGAAGGACCATCTGCCGCTCAGGCTATTTATGATAGCACGAAGGAATTGATATTGACCGACTACAACCATATAGTAGAAAAATTACAATCGGCTGTGGCCAGAAACCATAGTAGCTCTTCACGCAACTCAAATGTCCCTGGTCACTTGGTTCCCAGTGTGGAAAAGAGCCTTCCACAGGTCAAACGACTGTTGTCCATGGCTGGTGGCAAGGGGTTGGCTTTTGACCTGCTTCTGTTTGCTGGTCGGCACTCGTATATCGAACGCAAAAAGGACCTTCTTGGTCGTAAGGTGACTGAAAATTTTGACCAGGCTGCCGACAATTTACTTGTCCAAATTTCAAACGCTATCAGGGAAGAAGACCCAACTTTCAGGCCGGTTGATGCCATGGAAATGCTTATCGAGGAGATTGAGGCTACTGGTCATAACGGATATTTCCCGGAATCTTATAAGTTATTCTCGTCTTGGATGCCAGAAGTAGGAACGTCCCATGCACGAAAGGACTACGATGAACTCCACGCAAAAATAGAACAGGCTCACGCCGCTGTTGAGCGCAGACTCGAGATTTTCGTCAAAGATGGATCTCGTCCAACCGTGGATTTGCTTGGCAGAAAGATGGTTGGATTTGTTGATGATGTCAACAAACTCAGCACGAAGTTGGGAGGGCTACTTCCTGCCATAGAAATCGCGATCTTCTTGGGTGAGTGTTCGTATACAAAGATGGAAGCCTTGGGCCCGCTCTATGGCTGGGATAATAATAGCTCATTCCGTTGCAAGAGAGATTTCGATTCTCTGGGAGATGATTGTTTGAAGGAACTGCTTCAAAGAGTAAGCGCTGCCCATTATTCGTTGGATAAGGATTACTACGGGCGTTTGAAGGAGTCTGTCGATTACCTGAGAGGATACGGAATCACTACTTACTTCCCGTTGTCCTTTGAACTACTCCGCCAATTATCTTGAAGAAAGTTATGGAATAGCATCTACTTTTTTTTCGAGGCTCAAGTTAGTTGAATTGTGTTGTTCGCAGGACTTGATTAGATGAGGACACCGGAGTGTAGCACTTACTGTGCAGAATCTTAAACTGGCGATATAATGACATGGAAGAGGGCCAAAGATATCAGATTATAGCAAAAATGGATAGCTGCGATTTAAGCATTTCAGCGATATTAGCAAGGCGCAGGCCAGGATACTCTATAAAAAGCCATAATAATTGATTTGTTCCGCATGTTTTCAACGACTTACAAGTACATCTATTCAAGGTACCTCTTGTCAATGCAAAGTGACCACAGTGTATCTAAAACAATCAGTAATCAATGGACAGATGCCAAAACTCATGAATATCATAGAGGACTGAACTATAAAGCTGGAGAGGCAGTCTCTATCCCGAATTTATATTAGCTTTGAGCATGACGTTTTCCAACTCGTTTCAAACCAAGATCAACAAAAGTCTTGTCTCACTATCTTGTGCAAGACTGCGTTATTTGCTCTAGTGAAAATCAGAACCTCGCCACAGTCTTTGGCATTTGAATCGCGGGTAAGCAAGTAGATCCCCGTTGAATCCACCTACCCCTCTCGTCCAATCGAAGAAACATAAGCTGATACCAGGGAGGGACTGGTTCGGCTTCATGGATTGCTAGTTGATGATCTTCCTTCAAGAGCTCATAGTTCTCATAGTTCACAGCTAGATGTGAAGTAACATCTTGGACAACCTGCATTAGAGGTCTCATGTCCATAAAATGCTTAGTATTTGAATTTGAATATACAATGAAGTACTATCCTCGAAGGCAAGAGGAATATGGATTGATGACTGTGATAATCGTTTTGTGGAGGTTTGTGGAGGAGAGTGAGATAGCATGAAGTGAAGTCTAAACCCACAGCTACCCCTGTCAAAATATCTTGGCGCTCGCGTCCAAACGCGACGTACAGCAGCATTAAAGTAGCAAATTGGTAAATTCCACTGATACCACAACCACCATCTCGCCTTACCTACTTTCCGCCATTTGAAGGATTGAGAATTAAAACTTCAATCAAAAGTCTAGCATCAAACAACCAAATTCCAGGTTGCCTGCTGGCTCTCCCTCCATCCCACTACTCCCCACAATCAATATGGCGGACACACTGCATAATGCTCCTATCGTTTTAGATAATGGTTCCGGTACGATTCGAGCTGGGTTCGCTGGTGACGATCTGCCAAAATGTTACTTCCCCTCATTCGTCGGGAGGCCAAAACATTTGCGAGTTCTAGCGGGTGCCTTGGAAGGGGATGTGTTTATTGGATCACGAGCGCAAGAATTAAGAGGACTGCTGAAGATTAAATATCCACTGGAACATGGCATAGTCACAGATTGGGATGATATGGAGAGGATATGGGAATATGTCTATGGAGAAGGTCTCAAGACCTTGAGCGAAGAGGTGAGTTTTTTGGTTCAGGTCTAAAGTGGAGTTGTTTGCTATTGCTTCATATCTGGCAAGTTAAGCAGTAGTCGATAGATCACTAATATCATTCATGCAGCATCCCGTTTTATTAACAGAACCACCTCTCAACCCCCGAAGCAATCGAGATACGGCTGCACAAATTCTATTCGAAACTTTCAACGTCCCCGCTCTATACACTTCAATTCAGGCTGTCCTTTCACTGTATGCATCGGGGCGAACGACTGGAATAGTGCTTGATGCCGGAGATGGAGTCTCACATGCAGTTCCAGTATATGAAGGTTTCGCCATGCCAAGCTCAATACGAAGGATAGATGTGGCTGGACGAGATGTTACAGAATATATGCAAACTTTATTACGGAAAGCTGGATACGTTTTCCATACTAGCGCAGAGAAGGAGGTTGTGAGAATGATCAAGGAAAAAGTAAGCTATGTTGCAGGAGATCCAAAACGTGAAGAAAAGGAATGGTCTGGTGCAAAGCTGGGGGATGGGAAAGTTGTTGAATACGCATTACCTGATGGTAATAAGATCAAAGTAAGGAATCTGCCATTGACACACAGTGACGGCGCTGACCACTTCACAGATTGGAGCAGAAAGATTCAGAGCACCTGAGATTCTGTTTGATCCCGAGATTATCGGTTTGGAATACCCGGGTATCCATCAAATTGTGGTGGACGCAATCAATCGCACAGACTTGGACCTCAGGAAGTCTCTATTTGGAAACATTGTTTTGTCCGGTGGTAGCACCTTAACTAAGGGTTTTGGAGACAGGTTACTTCACGAAGTACAACGATTAGCAGTTAAGGATATGAGAATTAAGATCTTCGCTCCACCGGAGAGAAAATACTCAACCTGGATTGGTGGTAGTATCTTGGCTGGTCTGAGCACATTCAGAAAGGTATGTTTCAACATCTCTGAAGTCTTCTGGTGTAAGATTACTAACCGATATTGCAGATGTGGGTAAGCATTGATGACTGGCATGAGAATCCCGATATCATTCATACGAAATTTACATAATACACTCCTGACTCTATCCGCGCTTTTGGCACTCCCCAACTCCCCGTCCATTGGCCATCCATCGTCCGAATCCAAATAATAATCGAGTCAAGCCGAATATCCGCTTCTTCGGTCCAAAACTCCACGCAAAATCTTCTTCTCCCACTTCTTCAACTTTAGCGTGGTTTAATCTGCATATGACCTACCATGCATTCGGCGGCGTAGGCAATATTGTTTGCAGGTCTGGAGCTTGGGCTCGTTGCTTATATTTATGGATGTACAGCTATGCTACCTGTATGAGAAAAGATAGACTAAATTCATGATACCCATTATTGAAATGTTTATTTTATTATGCCATGATTTTCAATGTGATATGTGATAATATGATCATCTTATAAATCAATGGCGCAGTCGGCACCAGAGAGACGTCTACAAGCCCTTCATTGTTTGGGGGTATCTAAACTCTTATATTACTCGCTCTAGCTCTGAGTACTGGTTTTCTACAGAAGTTGCGAGTTTATGTCAAATAACTCATTTAATTATACATTCAGAAGATCTGGTTTTCATCCAACTCTTCCGATTCCTTTTCAACTTCCTGAACTGCTTCCTCAACAGTCTTTCGACTTGTTTGTCTCATGAACGCATCACATAACATGCCGGTTGCTACACTAACATTCAAACTATCGAGTCTGCCACGGTTACCTGCACCCTTGATCGAAAGATGCACATCAGCGTGATCTCTCAAAGCTTTGCGCAGACCCTCGCCTTCGCCTCCAACCATCAAGATACAAGGATCATCTCGTAGAGGATCTTGAAGGTCGTGAGTCCAGACGAATTCTTGAGAAGCGGGAGGCCACATGTGTCGCGAATCTGCTTTCCGAGGAGCAGGTGGCGCAACTGCTGCGTAGACTTTCCATCCAGCGGCTTGGGAATCCTTGACGAATCCTCCGGGTTTGTTTACGGAGAAGATCTCGATGTTTTCGGCGGCGCCGGCGGAGGCTTTAAAGACGACGGGAGTGAAGGAGGCGCTGTTGCGGGTGGAGATCGCGACGGCTGTTACGCCCATGAATAGTGCTGTGCGCAGGATGGCGCCGAGATTTTGAGGATCTTCTATGCTATCTAAGAGAAGAATAAGGGGTTTGCGACCAGTGGAATCTTTGGCGACTTTGATTATGGTGTCGTTACCGTTGACTTCGATCTCTTCCCGGGATTGGTGATCAGGGGTAAGTTTAATGGCGAAGCTATCATCCTGGTCGATTATCGAGCCGAGACTTATGAGTGGGAGGCGAGGGAGAGGAGAAACTTCAAGTATGTATCCGTTGTGTGGACGGCCTTGACTCATCTTGTCTAGGGTTCGTAGCCAGTCGTGCCCTCTTACTATAGCAACTTCGACTCCTTTCTTTTGAGCTAACTTGGCTATGGCGCCGTCTCGCTCTGCATTTTGGCGATCTTCACCCTTGAGGATGTAAAGTTTGTAGAGCTTTCTGCTTCTTTTGCGTCGCGCGTTCAAGGCGGCTTCGATGACAGATGTTCCATAAAGGAATTCAGAAGCTGGTGTCGTGTATGGGATGGCGATAGGCATCTTTTGGGCAAAAGTGGAACTTATTTTGGGTGGCGAAAAACTAGAATGAGATTCCGAGGAAGGTTCTGAAGAAGGAAATTCTGTAGATTTTTCAGATCTGGTGGCTTTCGTGGCTAGTCGTTCTTCGCGGGAAGGGTATTTTGAAGGGTACGTATGACCCTTGCTCCATTTTGTTGAGCTATCACGCCCTACCCCGAAGGACTTGTTTGCTCTTTCAGGGTTTGAGTAGGATTTCTGCTCATCCTGAGAACTGTTGTCACGAGACTTGCGCTCATAATTCTTCCTATCGAAACGGCGTCTTTCTGGAAGTTCTTGAGATCTGTTGAAAGATCTCTTTTCATAACCAGAGCCTCCGTCCCGGGCCTCGAAAGAACCATAAGATTTCTTCTCATAACCAGATTTGCTACCTCGTGATTCGTTGTATCTGTCAGAAGATTCTCCTCCATATGAAGTTTTGGCCCGAAATTTCTGTGACTTTTCAGGTGTTCCATCCTTGTAGTATTCCCTACCCTGACGATTTCCGAAGGGAGAAGGTGTTTTATACTCTGACTTCAATGCATCGTTCCGGCCATTGCCTTTGACTCGTGTGTACATAGATTTGTTCTTGCTTCCGAAGTCATCACCGGAGCCCCTATCCTGCCGGGGATTTGAATATGAATTTGATCCAGAGATCTGAAACCCTCGGCCGCCACCATCGTCGTTTTGACTGGGACGTCCTTTATCCTTCCCTCTGAACCCAATTCCTTTAGACTTTCGAAGCCCACGGTTTATGCCAGAATTGATCGAAGCATATCTTACAAAGCAAGAAGATGAATATAATGGTTGAAGAATGTAACTTACTCTTTGAGAAGCTTTTGCTCCTGTTAAAATTATTGTACTCATTGCATTGATGGTGCCATGATGAGATTTCCACATCATTTTTGGCAATAGAAGAAAATTGAGCTAAGAAATTTTGATAGCGGAACATACCGAAGCCGACCAAAAGTACGGGTCTCGGGGTTTTAATCCTGGCGTTCATCGACGCGCTGCGTTTTATCAGATTCACTTGAATTTATCTTCAATTTGTGAACTCAAGATTGGTCAACATCAGTGAATGTAGGCGTCTCTTTAGATTTCTTTTCTCTTTCGCGCATTTCTTTTCTTTTAAGTTAGCCGTATTTCCTTTTTCTTTCCGTACCCTACAACAAACTTTATTCCTACATTATACCGCGTCAAACGGCCGGTTAACAGTAAAAACTACCAAATTTACAAAGATCTTTTTGAAAGTTAAATCGCAAGCAACATTGATCACCAATATTTTGTCTACTGCTTTTAATATTAGGTACCTAACTTCTATTACTCTTAGTTGTATATTCTAACTTAATTTTACCAGGAATATCCTCAGCCAAAACCCACGAGTGCGCCAGTTCGTCTTAAACAAGCAAACGATTCCTGCAAATCTGCGAGCAATATGGCTCAACCCAGCCGCGTTGCTGATAGTGATGAGTCGGAAATAGATTCGGTCGAGTCATTAAAGCCTCGAAATTCTCGTCAGCCCACTACAAACCCAAATCGAAATCCCGTTTCTGCATTGGCGCATCAGAGTGGAGAGTCTGTCCAAGATTCGATTGAAAGAAATGACAATGTAGATGAGGACGGAGATGAGATTGCCATGGATGGCGAAGATGAGTCCGAGGAAGAAGTGGAAGACGCAGAAGAAGTGGAAGGCGCAGAAGAAGACGCAGATAACACAATCGTCGTCATGGTTCCGGGACCCAGGAACCCCGACGAATACGTTCCCTATCAAGACGACACAGTATATTCGGTACTTGAGGAGATAAACGGTTCGGATGGCGAGACATTGTATCGAGTAGAATATGAAGATGAGAGACAAGAAAACGTAAGTTGGGATTTTTTTGCTTCAAATAAACACCCAGCTCTCGAGAGATACTGTGATACCACCCTACTATCAAATTGCACTTCCAACATTCACCAGAATGTTTGGCTTTTCCAATATTTGCGCACAATTCAAGTGGCCATCCCACCCTGAAGCATCTGAACTCCTTCTAAAAGAAGAAGGTCAAATTAAGTGGCCTAATTTTTGCCACATATTTTGCTACACAACTTCTACCCTTTACATCGTTGACTTCAACTTTGACTTCACCACGGAGCTCGACAGGTTTGATAACTTCACTCTTGCCTAGTATTGCTAGTATTGGCAAAATTTCAAGTAGTTCTTGTAGTTGAGTTTGCCATGCCCATCTTTGGTCTTCAATTAATCACAATAAAATACTTTTATTGAGAACAACCTCGATTTATCAGGCATCTGTCCCTTCTATCATCTCCTTTGCTTCAGTCAAACATCAATTCTTCAGTTATTTCCAGTGTCGATGGAGCCATCTGTGTTTCCCGTTGTGGGTGGCAGTAAACTGCGCGTATGTATATTGATGAAGATTTTCATATTATCTCATAAGTCTTCACACCAAGAGGTATCACTTTTAAGCTCAAACTCTGACTAAACCAAATTATAGATCACGTTCAACAGGCTATCTCACCTTCCAAATGGCAACAATGCTTTGAATGAGTTTAGAAGCAGAGAAGCCTCGGAGTCGATTACGGTTGATGATCCATCAAATTCCAGCCGGAGCATGTCTTCCAGAGTTGGCAAACGCACTCGCCGACAGCTAACTGACAACAACTTTGTCGACATCAGCAGCATTCAGCTAAGCTCTGACGATGACAGGCTCCCGAAAAATGCAAAGAAAAAGCGTCGTCTTGTGAACAACATGTCAACTGTTGAAATTGAAAAGACACGCCGAAGTACTCGTGCTGGAAGTCGACAGTCTTCGCGACCCATATTTGATGACGATGAGGAGGACGAGGATGACTCGGAATCGGGACCTGTTCTTTCAAATGGCCATGGCTCTCGAAAATCAGGACGTACAGCAACGAGATCTGCTGCTCCCAGAAAAGCAAATACTCTCGCCAATTACATGGAGGACGAAGAGGAGGAGGACGAGCTTGCTGGTGATTTGCAAGTTGAATCTGAAGGAAGCGAAATTGCATATGCTAAACCTAAGAGACGACGCGCAAGTAGTGCTCGAGCCTCGAAGCCTGACAAGCGTGGACGGCCACAAGCCCATGGTATTAAATCTGATTATAGTTCTAAGTTACCTACAGAGCTCCCGTCTCGCATATCGAGGCGTGGAAACAAAACTGGCAAGAACATGGAAGAAGTTGACATCGACGAAGAGGTTTATGCTGACGAAGTAGCTGGAAAGGCCGCACCTAAAGTCATAAGCATTCGAGAGATCTATCGACCGGTATCCGCGAAGTCTTCCTTTGCTTTGGTTCATGACCAAGACTGCGATGTTTGCGGTGGAACCGGCAAGAATTCTAACAAAGGACGAAGTGAACTGATTTACTGCCAAGGATGCTCCTCGTCGATACATAGAATTTGTCTAGGATATCGATCAGGTCGGGAACATATGGTCACTAAAGTTGGCGACGAACATTTCGTCATGCAGTGTCGACGCTGTATCGGTCTGTCCGTCAAGAAAGATCCTCTCGCCCCTCAACTTGGTGCTTGTAGTAGCTGTAATGAGCCTGGAGCATCCTGTGCTGCATTCTCCGTAAAGAAAACCGCGAAGCAGGAAGAGAAGTTGAGGGAGGAAAATAACGGCGATGACCCAATCACCAATGTTCGCGAAGATCTTGTCAACAATCCAGAAAACGTTTTATTCCGATGCCGAGGGTGCCAGCGTGGATTCCACTTTGAGCATCTACCATCACGTTCTGAGAAATCGGTCATTCCAAAGAAATCGGAAGAGACGCGCTTCAAGAGAATACAAGAATACACTAAGGACTGGCAGTGCAAGGAGTGCTATCGGTCTATTGCTAAAATGCAAACTTTAGTTGCATGGAGACTATTAGACCCCAAGTCTTATAAGAAAGGCAGTGTATTCGATGATTATCGCGAAGATGAGAAGGAGTATCTCATCAAGTGGGAGGATAAGTCTTACTTTCAATGCTCTTGGATGCCTGGATCCTGGGTTTGGGGTGTTGCACCGGCTACAATGCGGAAAGCTTTCATTCGTAGAGATGAGGGTGCTAATTTGTTACCAAAATGGACCATTGAAGAGGCCATTTCGGAGGAATACCTACGAATGGAGATTATTTTCGATGTCGAATATGACATGTCCTTCAGACCAAAGTCCGAGGAACACGACAAGGCTCATATCAACGACGTTGTCCAGGTTCTAGTCAAGTTTAGAGGATTGACCTACGATGAATCTGTTTGGGAGGAACCACCATCCCCAGATGAAGCTGACCGCTGGAGTGACTTTGTCTCAGCTTACAACGAATATGTTATGGGCAAGTACTTCAAGCAATCGCCTGCAAGCGCTGTAAAGGAGCGTATTGATGCATTTCGTTCTCTAAACTTCGAGAAGAAAGTTGTACTGAAGAAACAACCTGATTCGTTGATCGGTGGCGAGATGATGAAACATCAATTGGAAGGCCTAAACTGGCTACTGTTCAACTTCCATCAACAAAAGAACGTTATTCTGGCTGATGAGATGGGTCTTGGCAAGACAATTCAAATCGTCGCCTTGATCGCGTCACTTGTGAAGGATAAACCAAAGGTAAGTGCTAAACAATCTTCGACTGACCCTTACTAACATTGCGCCAGTGCTCCCCTTTTCTCGTTGTTACACCAAACTCGACTTGTCCCAATTGGCGTCGAGAAATAAAAAAATGGGCACCTGGCCTTCGGGTCGTTGCATACTATGGTGCAAGGTCTGCTCGCGAAATGGCCATGAAGTATGAAATGTATCCCAATGATTGCTCTGATCTCCGTGCTGATATCGTGGTAACTTCATATGAGGCACCAGTCGACGACTCCAGCAGAGTCTTCTTCAAAAAAGTCAAATGGGCTGGCATGATCGTAGACGAGGGCCAACGGCTGAAGAATGATGGAAATCTTCTCTATGGTGCTTTGAAAGCCTTGAAAATACCATTCCAAGTTCTTCTTTCTGGCACACCATTGCAGAACAACAAACGAGAGCTTTTTAACCTTCTACAGTTCTTAGATAACTCTATTGACGCCGCGGAGTTGGACGAAAAATATGCTGAGCTAACAAAAGACAATCTGCCCGAACTTCATGAGCTTATTCGACCATTCTTTCTCAGGCGTACCAAGTTACAAGTGTTGAAGTTCCTGCCTCCCATGTCACAGACAATCATACCAGTCTCTATGAGCTCTCTACAGAAACAGCTTTACAAGTCAATCTTAGCAAAGAATCCCGAGTTGATCAAATCAATCATCGGAAAATCAGAAAGGGCCCTCCGCCCCACAGAAAGAGGAAATCTGAACAACATTTTGATGCAACTGCGTAAATGTCTTTGTCATCCTTTCTTGTACAGTTCTGCTATCGAGGAGACTTCATTGAGTCATGAAGCCCTTCATCGAAATCTAATCGATGCCTCCTCTAAGTTTCAATTATTGGAAATCATGCTCCCGAAGCTGCAAGCTCGAGGACACAGAGTTCTGATCTTTAGTCAATTTTTAAAGCAGCTTGATCTCGTCGAAGACTTTTTGAATGGTCTCCAACTCCCTTTCAAGCGTCTAGACGGTACCGTCAGTACGCTTGAGAAGCAAAAGCGCATCGATGCATTCAATGCGCCCAACTCAGAACTTTTTGCGTTTCTCCTTTCTACCAGAGCTGGTGGTGTCGGAATTAATTTGGCGACTGCAGATACCGTTATAATCATGGATCCTGACTTCAATCCTCACCAGGATATTCAAGCTCTCTCTCGAGCTCATCGCATCGGCCAAAAGAAAAAGGTACTTGTCTTCCAACTAGTGACTAAAGATAGTGCAGAAGAGCAAATCGTACAAGTTGGTCGTAAAAAGATGGCTCTCGATCAAGCTCTTATCGAAAGTATAGATGTGAAGGACGATGCTGGGGACAATCTTGAGGCAATTCTTAGACACGGCGCTGAAGCGGTTCTTCTTGACGACAATAGCAAAGATATTTACTACGATCCGGCATCAGTTGACGAACTCCTCGATCGATCTCAGGTCGAGAATACTACTAATGATGATGGCACCGCAGAATCTCAATTCTCACATGCTCGTGTGTGGATCAAAGACAAGGGTGATTTGGTAGAAGATTTCGGAGACACAGAAGACGAACCGGCTGCTCCAAAGGCGCTATTATGGGATGCTATATTAAAACAGCGTGCGGCAGATGCAGCCCTTGAAGCTGCCAAGAATATGCAAACGTTTGGCCGTGGAAAGCGCGCCCGACAGGTGAGTCACGTGCCAGTCATTTTAAGACAGTTAACGAGTCATTCACTAACTGCTTAGACCGTTGACTACGAAAAGTCACATCCTGAGCTAATGGATCTGGATGATCCCGAAGGCTCGCCACGAAAAGATGGTCGCCGGACTCGAAAATCTGATAGCGATGACGAGTTTAGCGGAAATGCTGCGAGGGATTCCGAAGCTGAGTCCGACGCAGATGAAGTCGCCAATGCCCGAGAACTGGAAACAGAACAATCAAGCGTCAAAGGTACGGAATCTGAAAGGCGTATAAACGCACGTCCACTTTCCAATGAATCAAAACGCAAAATGAACACTCAAGGAGGTGCTAAATCACGTCTCCGATCACTCACTCTTACGTTACCATCCCCTAAAAAAACTAGTAAGCAGGAATGTGGCTCTAAGATTCAGCCAGATAGCTCTGTGATGAAAAAGCCAGACAGCTCTGCACTTGAAACAACAACAGTTAGCAACAAGAATCTTTCCGTGAAATCAATTCGCGGTAAAGATAGGAAGCATAACAGTGATATCTAATCGTCATTGTGTTCATTGACTATGGATGGTCGTCAAAAAGTGGCACATTCGCACGTTTCAGGGGCCGTTAAGAAGCGAGCTTCGCTGAAAGAGTATCGAGACAGTCCTGCCGATGAAGCCATTGTTTCACATAGAACCACTTAAGTGTTCATGCATTCTAGCTCAAAGCAAAATACCACATCCAATGGATTACTTGATTCTGCAATGCTAACTCCGGATTCTGTCAAGGAACAGAATTCTTCAAGCCACTATTTATAATTTTTCACTTCTTCTCGTGGTTTCTTTGCAATGATCAACAATTTGGGTTATCAATCCCGCTAACGATAAGCAGATGATAACTATACTGGAGACCAAGAACCGGCGATCGCACTTCAGAAGATTTATACAGACCAAGAAAATTGGCAACAAGTGAGCACTAACAACCGGCGCGTCTTTTTCAACACTCGACAGATACAAGACTGGATTGATATCGGCCACAATCTCCTCGAAATTTGTAAGAACAACATACAAGGATTGGTAGCATCGAATCAAAATAAGCTCGATATCGAGGATCAATACAAGTATCTGCAAGAGCGTATTCGAGAAGTTCTCGATCAACCACTATGGTGGTTTAGTCAAGAAGAAGAAAAGGTTCGACTATTTTGGCAAGAGCTCTCTCCACAATTGGTGGAAGAAAATCATCAACTGCAGCAAGACACCGCACATTGGGTACAAGCGAGAAATCAATTAGTACCACCACAGGATAATCGTGCTTTAGACTACTCACGGCAGCTACAGGAATACCAACGACGATCAGAAGAGTGGCTTGATCAGGGTAGCAAACTCATCGAACGTCACAATGAACTCAAACAATACTGCGAACCAGAGTTACAGAAGCGAGAAGATCCAACATCGCGATATGTTGCGCTTTGTAGCGAAATAAAAAAGTTACGACTGGTTTGTGGCAGTGAAAGAAAGAGACTTGAGGAGCTGGTTCGACCATCCGGGGACAATCCAGGGAAGTATAGGCAAGAAAATCGTCAAGTTGAAGGAATGTCTATGGCTTCAGATCCACAGAAATCAGCAATCCAGCATCATGGACAACAAGAACCTCCCAACGGCGAGACGAGGAAGCGAGCACCCTATAAGAAACGCAAAACAGCCGAAAGCGAGGCAGTCGACAACTCTATCAGAGACCAGCTCGTAGAAGCCGGAACTCCTTTTCTAAAAGAGCTCGAAAATGATTTTGCATATCTGGACAACAATCCGCTAAGTCTTCCAATTCATGACAACAATGAAAGTTACTACGAAAAACTCAAGGATTACGTGCAACGAATTGAAAAGCGGGTACAGAGATTACAGTACTATCAAGAAGCTTTCGACCAACAATTTCGAATTTATAGACCACGTGACGCAGAACGAGCCAAACGTGACTTGGCTTACAAGAAACGCAAAATAGCTGAGAAAAAGTCGGGTGTCAAGTATTTTCCTATTGAGGATCACGCAGCACACATACAAAAACTTGATCAACAGCTACGAGAAAGTGCAGAAAGTCAACTACAGGCCATGAACTACGCCGTTGGACTGTTGAAAGCAGAGGAACGTAATCGATCGGAGCAAAGCTTTCACAAAGCACCATATCCAGCAACTGTACCAGGATTCGCGGGATCATTCCATCAAGGAACGCCGTCTAGAACACCAGTAGAGGATCTTCATAGAATGCCCATGCCAGTTACCGATCTACAATATCCGCCATCACATTTCAAAGAATCGCCTAAAATGCCTACACCACTTGCCGCATCATCTGGTCAACATGCAAGAGATCCTATCCAACTTGGTTCGGAATTCAGTGTTTCAAACAGATCTAGTCCAACTAGTCGATTGATTCCAGCCATAGAGATCCCTGTGAAACGTAAACGAGGTCGCCCTCCTGGATCTACGTCACATCAGCGGACTTCCTTGTCATCAATGCCACCAATCCTTCCAAGTCCATCTCGGCCTCAGGTACAGTCTTGTCCAGACTGTAATTTTGCTTACTCGAAGCTGATACCTGCATGTCCCAACCACGCTCCTACTGCAAAGATTCGTCTAATGCTCGACAATTTGAAAGGTATCAAAGACGATTCTCAGCAAGTGGCAGCTGCAAACAAGTTGTTGAAAGAAGCATTGGCATCAAAATCTGCTGCTCAAACTTCCCTTCGAAAATAAAAAAGATCTTGCGTAATGCTCTATCTATCGTTCGTCAAAACCAGATGGTCTCTATTTCCACTCGGTTACATACGACTGTTTAGGTTGACAATGCCCTTCTTCATCACATACCACAATCTACCACTATGCTTGTTATTTATGCCTCAATCGACGAAATTGCTTTTTCTCCGCGTTAAAAACTATGATAACGACCTGGAGGAATCATACATCCGAACTTTCTTTAACTTTTCTAAGAGATTCCATAAGGTTCTGGTGATAGACTCAGCAATCAGATGGTGTTTAGAGACGTTTTAAATAATGGTGGTGAATTTATGCATGACTTATCCAGGTCTTGCGCAAAACTTTTTCCTTCAAAGATTCTCGTGCGGCCTTGGAAAGAAAAAAATATTTGAGAGGAGTACAATGCCTGGAGCATCAATTAGATGGTTGTGCAAAGCCAACCATTGTAGATACAAAAAGAAAACAGAATTAAAAAATTCAATAACATATCAAAACAGCCGAGTGCTCGAAGTGCAATGGTAATGGTGATCGTAATGTGGACATCTACTGCTGGTAGATGAGCGAGTGCACTTGTGATGGATGTGATGAGAAATCGTGAAAGGTACATATATAATGTTTCCCGAGGAGAATACTCATCAATGTATAGAATATCCTGCGCGCAGTGTCCGAAGGTATAGACTGCGGACCAATAACCAGAAACTTTCAATTTCTGGTTCTAACTAAATTGGTCTGATAACTTAGCCCCACTTAGGGTATGTGAAGAAGTCTTCACTACTTCACTAGATGCTAATGGTAGATGAGTTATCCTCGGAGGAACAGAATGCAGAACGTTCGCCGATGAGCTACTCTGCTGATCCCCATTCTATTACAGAATCATATCCCATTGCTATTTCTATTGCCATGGATCCATATCGTTGCTAATAAACACAGTTTGCTATTAAAACCCTCATGCAATGAACAATCTCATTACCCAGTATCAGAATCTTTCCTATCTATCTTACTGACCATCCCTTCCCGCATGCTAATGTTTTCGAGATCTACCTACCTACCTGTTCGGTTTCTCAACTTCGTAGCAATTGAAACGTCTTCATAGCTGCATACCTAGGTATATCCCTCAACCGCATTACTCAAAACTCGAAGCGTCAACTCAAAACCGCACAGAGACCCGCAATACCATCGACTCAAAGTACCTACCGTAAGCTAGAACAAATCACCTCAGATAATATACCACCAGCTTATTCATCCATCTCGACGTCACCTCCAGCATCGTTCACATCATTGACATTCTGCTTCTCGCTCTCGTTTTCGGGCATTCCATCACTTCCATTGTCTCTGGTAGCACTCATGGTATTGTCGGAATCGACATTGCTCGCATCCGATCTCTCCACCCGAGCCTTTTTGTTCTCTCGCTCGTAACTCTCTTCACCAGTATAATTACCATACACACCCCGAATTTCTCCATCTCCGCTCGCAGTGTTCTCATCACGAGCTCCGGAGAAGCCAGATAAGACACCAGCTGCAGTATTAGATGGCGCGAGAGTCGAAGGGCTGGGAAAGTACGGAGGAGGACGACTCGAACCTGTTTGATTGAGATGGCCAGCCCAGAAGCTGGAATTGGCATCTACGGGCATGGAGGGATACCGAGGCCGGTAGAGATCATGTCTTCTTGGGGATGTCTTTTCTAGAAGCGGAGCTCGGTGTCTGGGAGAGCCGAGATCCATGGCCTTGTCGGTGCGTGCAGAGCTGGATCCGTGGCTGGAGTTCGATTTGTCGGTATTGTATTTGGTGTGTGTGCCGGCGAAGGGAGGATTGAAGTTGAACTGTGAGTGAGGGGTAGCGGGACGATCGGGCTCGGCGCCGTAGAAGAAATTGGTGTTGTGATTGTGGAATATTCCTCCGTCGTCGCGGGACTTTGGAGAGGTATATTCGTCTTGGTTGGTGGTGGTGCCACTTGCACGTGTAGGGTCGGAGAAAGAGCGGGCGTTGTTGGAGGACCATGGGACTGTATCTTCTGGGTCGACTTCAACCCTATAGGTTGTGTTAGTTTGTGATCGACATTTGTATAAGGGAATGGGATGATATACTTAGGCTCTGGCTTCCAATCGTCATCAGAAAATTCATCATCGCTGCGAGAATCAAACATGTCATAAAGAACATGATTGACAGTCTTTCGACCAGGAGCAGGCTGTTCCTTCTCCGTGGCCGTCTCCTCAACCTTAACTCTGGGCGGTCTATTGTTCTTAGTCACCTCTTGCCACTCTCTGATCTCAGATTCTCTCTCCTTATGACTGTCGTTATCATCAGCCTCAAGATTCAGCTTCATCCTATCACACAGCTAGTTAGTCACAGTCAAAACTTTACAAGTCAAGTTTTGCTGGTAGGCTTGGGATCACAAAGTGCAACGGCGAACATACCTATCTTCACCAGCACTGACATTGGCTTCCATGCTATCCGCTCTCTCACGAGATTTGCCACGGTTCTTACGTTCCCAGCTCTCCCAACGTTTCTTGGGATCATTGGGGTCGTGTTCAAACTCGTAGTAGTGACGTGTGCGGTGGGAACCATGTCGAAAAATGCGGCCATCTTCGAGTTTACTGCCTGATTTGAGGAAGCATGTGTTGGGGTTTGTTCTGTAGGAGACATATTTATTAGTTCTTGTTTTGGTGAGAAAGGTAGGGGAGTTAAATGAAAGACTCATGTATAAGAGATGAATAGGGGATCCGAAGTCTTGTCAGAGATGGAAGTGCATGCTGTATGCTCCGAAGGTTGACCAGAAAAAAAAGCAACTTCATAGGATCTGGAAATCCAGACCAATGGAAAGACCAAGAAAAGTAAAATTGCACACTCTGCTTACCTCATTGTATAAAGACCTTGAATCTTCTTAGGACATGGATTCCTATCTTCTTGCTTAAGTGTATGCTGAATATGATCAAAACAAATTGTTTTGATCATAATCTTGCAACTGCAAGCAGTGTAGGTGATGAGAGTATCTACACACATCCTGGCAGAGCTGCAGACTGAGAGATGTGATGAGACTGACGATCAAGTAATAGAATAAATTGAGTCTTGAAGTTCGAGTCGGAATAAATAAGGGTGGAGGTGATGGAGTTGCAAAAGTCGGGGTTTAAGCTGAGGTGGGCAAAAAAGTACACAACAAAGTTGTTGAAAGACTTTTCCCTATATTGAAAGCTCTAGCTTGAACTCAAAGATAGATAAAAACAACTTTTTTAATGTACAGTTATTGTTTATATCTAGTATGGATGAAGTCGGGAATTTTCTGTGACAAAGTCGAAAGAAGCTTTGTTGTGCGGGAATTGGAAATTGAGAAGATTTTTTCCTTTTTATGGCGCAAGAGATTGCAAAGGAACTTTCTGGAACTATAGCGGCATGATTGTCTATTCACTGGGCTACAGTAAAGTTTTGCTGTATACTATCTAGTCAGATGATATCAGAGAAGTCTGGATGCTGGAATTAGTGAATGAGGTTGTTGAAATTTTGGATAAGAGGTTCATGATAGTGAAAAATGACTTCAAAGCATTAGAGCATTATGTTGCTTTTATGTTATTTAGCAAGGTCATTCACATCTTGGAGAAGCATAACAGAAATTTCATAGAGCACCAGTTTCTTCCAAAGGGCTGTAGCATCGTATAATCCCACTGGTTGTGAGTAATGCAATTCAACAACAGAGCTTTTCAATGGCTTCTCTTTATAACCTACAGCTAGTAGAGTCACCGTTAGTAGATCCGCTGCAAGCACATTGACATCAAGCAGGATCAAATATTGCTATTGCTAAGTCCATAAATCAAGAATATGCTGCGCACTTGATTTTAGATTGACAAGTGTTTGTCCTACTACCCTGCTAACTACCGAATGACTTCCTAAAGGACGATATCTACGCAAAGAAATTACTTGTACAAGGCACTGTTCCCTCCCAAACCACTAGCCAATGTTCACCCCCATTCTCAATCAGACGTCAAATCAATAGCTGTCTCGACATTGCTCCCTGCCATAACTGCATCATTGTGCTGGACTACCGCTGACAAATTTGTATCGAACGACTGGAGTTGTTGCTGAGATCTGAAACTACCTACAGCTATGTTATTAAGTTTAAAAGCTCCAGTGATGCACCACTGCGCGGCGTGATTGTATACGGGACAAGTCAAGATGGACAGGAAAAGAACTCACCTCTGCTTTGCGATCGGCTGCCGCCTTCTGTCTTAAGGTAATCATTGCGTGTATTACCAACTTGTTGCTTCTGTTCCTCAAGTATTCTGGCGTCTTGCTTTCGAAGATATTCTTCTCGAGCAGAACTTTAAAGTTAATTAGCGAATATTCAAAACGTCTATTGGGCAGGTGACTAGTTTCCTACATATTCTTCGCTTGACGCGGAGGTCTTGAATTTGTCATCTCCTCATTCATGGCATGCGTACCAACTTGGTTGCTCAAACTCGACTGGTTCATACCTATCGTATATCTAGTAAGCTCTGCATGATTCTTCTTTAGTCAGATTGGATATGAGATATACGCACCTGATGGTAGATACTCCGACAGATCCTCATCACTATTGGCTTGTTCTAGATCATTAGTCACATTGCTACTCTTAGTGCCTAAGCCAGCTGATTGACGTTGTTTGTATTCATCGCTGACGATGTATGCAGCAAGCTTTCTCTCGCGAAACTCGAGCAGTGATTCATTTGGCCGTTTCGGGAATTGCTTCTGATACGAGCGGTGAAAGGCCAAGGGGATTCTGTTCTAAATGTTAGCTTATTTTTCAATCAGATTTAGCGCAAAATTTACAACATCTGACGATATTCTCGTTTATTTTTCACAGTACGTGTGTCCTGAGCTTCGTGGTCAATGTCGATCCGTATTTTGCGTTCAGAGTTCTCGGTCTGGGGCTTATTATTGCTAGACATCTCATCTTTTAAGATCATTGGATCAGAATACTGGGAACTACCCTTCCGCGTATCTTGGTCTCGTTTGTTCTCGACATGTAGTTTGGCAGCGTCAGCCTTCTCAAGACCCGTGACATCTTCCATACTCGCAATGAGTCCAGAATAATACAAATCCCTCAATCTCTGGTTGCGTGCCTGTTTGCTCTCACCATCCAGCTTATTTTCGCTAGGCTTCCTCTTCTTGGCAGGCTTACGTGGAGCATAATCAAAGTATTGGACGTCTCTCTTTCGTTTTTGTTGTACTTCAATATCGGCTTCGTCATCAGCATCCGTAATATCTCCCATTACCTGATCTCCAAGTGAAGTGCTGATCACTTCCTGTTGATTATTTGTAACTTCAGCACGACCAGTGTAATTCGAAAGATCAACACCATCACCATCACCATCTTGGTTTTCCTCTTTGGAAGATTTGCGATTATTGGGATTCTTCTGCTGTCCTTCTCCACGAGTTCTTCTCCCTTCTTGATTTCTTGCTGAAGGTTCAAATTTCCTGAGTTGCTCGCGAAGTCTTTAAATAGTTAGCGAAAGCAAGAATAGTACAACAGGGGGTATTTTGGTTCCTACTTTCGATTGACCTTTGTCAGTATTTTCTCCTGAACTTGCCTAGTAGAACATATCAGTATTTACAGTCTTCTGAATCAAAAAGGTCATTTGTACCGGTGCTCCTCTTCACTACATTCAACGTCCTCGGCATAACTTTCTACGCCTTCACTGACCATGCATGCTCTGATTTGATCGAGGAGTTTCTGTAAGCGGCGATTTACCATTTTTGCTACAATATTCCAACTATCATTGGCTAAGTTCTGTTGCGGAAAAGGAACATCCTGCACAAATCTCTCCTTCATGTCTTGATCATGTAGCATGTTTGTCATCAGTATTTGCTTCCGCTTTTTTTTGAGTAGATGATGTAATTCAGATTTCAGCGGGAGGTGAGAGTTATTCGTAGGTGAAGTTTTGTTTTGAGGAAGAGACTTGTCTTCAACAGATTTCTCTTCAACATCATTTTCCTCGTTGATTTTCTCTTGACGCGGCTGCTTGAATACGTTGTTGCTCACACGTGGACTATCTGTGGCCTCTTTGTTAGGAGTAGTAACGGTTCCATAAAACTTACCCAACTTCCTATCAACCCTGTGTTTTTCCTCCATCCACATCTCCCGAGCAGTATCTTGCTGAGAAAGCGTGAAATCTTGTAGAAAAGCGTCAAGCTGACTAAAATCATGGAGAACATCTTGCTCGTTTCGGTTGCCTGGTATCTTCGACTGATCTTGAATTTCTTGGAGCTTTCTAATTGCCTTTCTCTGGAAATTTTCCTGTGAATCACTTGGTTCTTGTTTAAAGACATCGGATCGTCTCCAAGTCTGTATAGCATCCTGAGTTTTCTGTTCCCGCTCAAGAGCTTGGAGTCTTGATTGCTCTGCAATTTCCTGATGCTGCTTAGCTCTTCTTTCGGCATCTAGTTCGATTTCACTGGGATTCAAATGAGGATGAGACTCAGGGCTTGCATATTTCGCTTGAGATCTTTCCACTTGGTGTAGCTCAAGAGGTGTCGGATCTCTGCGGGAAGGATTCGAAGCAATTTGTGGACCTACTTGCGGGTTTCCCACAAGTGTGACTGAAGCTTGGTGCGAAGTTTCATAGAAACCTTTAGGTGTAGAGTTCGATGCCTCATTAAGGTCTGCCACTGGGACTTTTTCTGATGGCTGTTCGGAAGGAGTGAAGTTGTTCAATCTGAAATTCCTGTCATCAGACTCCGGCAAAGTATCGTTATACTCTTGGGAAACGACAAATTCCGATACTCCATTCCATGGTCTATCTAAAACCTCGATGGTCTCAACGGTAGAGGGATCATTATCCTCTCGGCTAGGGATGTCCGTGTTGAGGTGTTGGAAATTATCCTGAACAGACAGACCAGGTTCGTGTACTTGATCCTTCAATTTCTCCTCCCGGAAAACACCTCGTTGTGTGTACGCATTTTGTAAGAATTCGTTTCTCTTCTGATCATGTCCCCTCTCGCGCTGATCTTGCAAGCTTTCACCAGCAGCAACAGGAGCTGAAGAAGTTTCCAAGGAAGCAGGGACTTCTGGTCTTGCTTCACTTGCGTCCTGGTCGTGAATATTATTCTCGCGGATGACAGTAGTAGTAGCAGGGTCTATCAATCTTTGTTGGTGATTTCCCGGCGGTGTTCCAAGATTCTTTTTCTCTTTTTCCTGTTTCTCCTTCAGAATTTGAGCCAGCTGCCAAACAGGCATGAATTTCGGCCCAATTGGAATGGTTGAACGCGCTTTCGTATCTGCAGTCGATTGCACTCCCGGTTGAACTCCTTGGCTTTTCTTTCTCTCTCTACGCGGTCGCTCTGCCTCTCGAATTGACATAGCCTTTGGACCGGTTGGAAATATGGGTTGGGTTCGAGCAGTAGTAGTCAATGATGACAGCATACTTTGTTGATTCTGACGATCGGTGTTTGTTTCCAGCTGTCTTCCATATTCAACTTGGTTGATGTGTGGAGCCGAAGCTTTCCTCTGGTGTTGTGGCAGACCAACGCTTGGCGGACGAGATGGCAAATGCAGACGACCATCTGCAGCGGCTTCTTTCTGGTCTTTCAATTGCCTCCACTCAACTACAGCATCATCAATACTGCCAATATGATGGTTTGTCGCATTATACCGTGGAGGGAGCTTCTGACCTTTTGATCTGGACAAATTGTGCTGGGTCGAAAACATTTCGTTTTTCTCCAGTTGAACCTTTTGGTAAGTTTGAGTCTCCGCAGGGAGCTGAATACCTCCTGGTATCATCGGATGTTGAAAATTACTGGGCTTTCGAGTTTTGCGGCTCTGCCACGTAACCATTCCCTTCTCTGCCAACATGACCCAATCTTTGTCTCTCCAATCTACCTGCTTATCGTCTCCATCCCACTCACTATCATTCCATGCTTGCGCACTTGGGTTGTAACCATCTGGAACACGGCGAACTCCTCCTCTAAGTAGCATATCCACGTTGGTGCAGTTCTCCCATTCTCGGCCGCGAAATTGAAATTTTACTGCAGATCCGGGATTCATGCTACAGTTAACACTTCCAACAAAGTCACCTCCCCACATCCTGTTACAAACAGTGTTGAAGGCTCGCGGATTGAGTTTGCAATTACATCTCGAACCTCCGATGTTGATATGCTCAGATTTCAAGTTTGGACATTTCAACGCCGAAAGAACGCGATCTTGCGGAGACGTAAGTTCATTCTTATTGGATGATTCGTTGGCGCAAATTAATAAGTGAGTGTACTGGCCCCAACACTCATCATAAGTAGTGATCCTGAACATACACATCTTGATGATGGTGTACTCCAGTCGTGGTTGTGTTTGTTTCGTTTGTTGTGGAGGAATAAACAAATCTTGACGAGAAGTTTACTTCATGTTCATTTCAGCCTCGCGGTCTGAACGGCGCTAAGCAGAATGAGAATTTAACCTGGTGTAGGTAGGTGGGTAAAGTGAATTTCAATTATGGTGGGCTGTAAGCGGAGTGAAGAATGAAGTGAAGTTTCGAAGAAGTGAAGTCAAGAAGCTAGTTATCACCTGATTGTCTGGCGACATCAAAATAAATAATTTTTACTCGAAAGCCTTATCAGATCATCCCGAAAACGTTACGAAGTCAAATTGTTAAGAGCTCTCTTCAAACTGAGATCTTGAGTAATCCTTGGGTTTTCACTTTTGTATCAACTTGACAGAGGTTCCTAAGCTCATTCTCTCGAGAAGTCAACTTCTTCGCCTCGTGCAGAATCTTCCTAAACGAATTATAACTTCTGCATATAATGCTGAGACTGTCAACACCGAGCAATATTTCATACACAACGCACTTGATGAACCATTGATCCTACTTTGCAACTCAGCTTCCAAAAGAGGCATCACATCCCTTCACGATTCCAACTACATCAATATATCACCAACACACAACAGCTTCGCCAGTGATGCATGCTCATTAGCAAACGTTATCATGCCTTCGCACCATCTCCTAACCACAACTGCCCTCCCAATACTCACCATTACATTGTCCCGGGTATCTTCCCTGATCCCACCCCCATCCAACCATTAACACTCACTCACTACGCAGTCAATCACAAACACAAGGACCAAGATTACAATGCATGTATGGGTAAAAGTATGATATTCAGCGCTAGCTATAGCTACTTTCCATTGCAACACCTTCAATTCAAGTTCCGCTCCTCGAAGCATCATCCGCTCTAACAATCCAATCCTACTCGAAAACACCCATTGACCATCTCGTTTTTGTCTGAGATCATTCCTACAAAAAACGAGTCATCTATCTTGATATTTCACGATGTTGAATGTATCCTTATCCGAACCAAGTTTCAATTGTTTGACGCTTCTCGGATGCGATGCTGGTGATGCCATTCTTCTCTACGATGGAAGCAGTGACTATACCATTGCTATCTGTCATCTACTTCTTAGCCCTCGGCTTCTTACCCCCTGACTTCTTCCCTGCCGCATTCTCGTCACTTTTATCACTTCCATTACCGTGCGATCCACCAGCCTTTCCATCAGATTGTTGGTTAGGCTTATCACCCGTTGGATCACGATATTGCCGCTTATCTCCCCCCCGCTTATCGCCTCCACCTCTACCAGGAGCACCACCGGAATGGGTGCTGGTAGAATTGGTTCCTCTCTCCATCTTGACTGTCAAAGACTTAATTATAATACTGGGTGTATAAAAATAGATGATCCCGTTACAATGATGTAGAATAACGAAATCTAATGTATTGTTGAATATTGTATAGATAAACCACCGAGGGGGAAAACGAACCTTTATATAGGAAATCTAACATTACAATGGGTCTGCATGTAAAGCCCCAAGGAATTTACTTTCCTGTACATCAGCAACTAAAAAGCCGATCTACACGTGCAGCTGCAAAAAGAAGACTGTGGAAGAACATGTTCCGGTCGCCAATGGGTACTACCGGCTTGAAAAAAATGTTGATGAATGCGTAGAGACAGGACTTGGGCTAGGAATGGCGAGAAACGTCTCAAGACACGTGTATGTTCATATTTCTATTATGCCAAATCAAGGTTTTGAGAATGCATGCAGACTTCAAGCACAAGCTCGATCTTCTATGCGAGCTTTTACTCGAACCATTGCTTTCCGTTATATCACAGCTTAAAAGGAACGATAAGGCCTCCCTACTAGCAGGCCAAGTAAAACAGTCTTTTGTAGTTGAGTTCTAGACGTTGAACAGTGTTTCGCATAAATCAAGTCACGAGGCGGAAGTCGCATGTAAAGTGCCAGAAAAAAGACAAAGATGATAAAATCACTTACCTCAATCACAAATTCACAAAAAACACGCACGCATCAAATTTCAAATATAAAAAGAACGCAAAGATCATTGCCACCTATTTACCCATCCATTAATACTCAGCCAGTGTAAAATAAAAAGAATGAACGCCTCAAGTGTGTTGGTGCAATATCAGACCTCAGAAAACATCTCTTGATAGACTACGCCTATTGCTATTACACCTTACCAAAATGCGAAAGTCCATTCGTTCCCTATCCTCCCTGCCCTCCCTGCCCTACACAGCCCGCTCTGACGCAAGGAGTAATAATGAGGACGAACGGACGTAACGCACGCAGCAAGCACCCTTATGATTCAGATCCATTCTTGACCGCACGCATGAAAAAGAAGATGAGAGGAAACAACAAAGATCTTGCGAGAAAAAAGACAGACACAGAGAAGAAACTAACGTGGCACAATTTGCGGAAGAAAAGAGACATATTTGTCCGTTCGTATGCCCTGAGATATTTGTGTCGAAACCCAGATGTGTAGTAAGAAAGAAGTGTTCGGTATTGGTGCGAGAAACTTGAAGATGTTGGTCCATGTATTATCAATCAAGAGGATGATAGATTAATATGCCGGTGAAGAGCAATGCACTCCGTAAGAACAATTCCTTCTCGCTAGCATGAACCTGTCACCCAACCGAGCTACTTTCGCAGTAAAATAAAATCCGATCGCATTAGAGAAAGAGAAGAGTCGATAACAGTAGCTTTACAGGACAATGCACTTCTTCTTCTTCTCCTTCTTGGTCAAGAGTGCAGCACGTGTGGCATGTTCAAACACCTCACGGACACCCTCATTGGTCTTTGCTGAGCACTCAAGAGACTTGTAAGCACCAATCTTATCAGCAACACGTTGAGCCTGTTGATAGAATTGTTAGCATGATTCTTTCTTTCATCAACTTCGTTCTCGGTCATGCAGCTGTCTTCAAACTGCGCCGTATCTTGATGTATCCTTACCTGATCTTCTGAGACCGGGGTTTGGTTGGTCTTGTGTAATTCCTCGATGGTTTTTGGGTCGTGGCGCAAATCCTTCTTGCATCCAACGAGGATGATTGGGAGGCCCTGGCAGAAATGGAGGACTTCGGAGATCCACTGTTCAGGCACGTGTCAGTAATCGTCTTATCAAGGTAACAGCAGATGGAATCATCTATCGAATCGTACCTTCTCCTGAACGTTATCAAGGGAATCGGGAGAGTCAACGGCGAAACAGATCAAGATAACGTGCGAATCTGGGTATGATAGAGGTCTGAGACGATCGTAATCTTCTTGTCCAGCCGTATCCCATAGAGCCAACTCAACGTGCTTTCCATCGACCTCGACATCGGCGACATAGTTCTCAAAGACGGTTGGGACGTAGACCTATAGTAGAAGATGCATCAGTTATTGGATCTGATGATATAATGAGATTCCATCAACAGCTTCGATGCTCGCCAGTGTCAACAGATAGTTGACGCGATGGCCGCGTTGTATGTGATTCGCATATCATTCCAAGGAGTCGGTGTAAGGCTTACCTCTGGGAAGGTTCCCTTGGAGAAGACACTGGAAGATTTGTTAGTGGATATAACTTTTATTGATTTTATCAACTAGAGAGCCGTTGGAAGGTAGATGGGTACTTACATCAACAAGCAAGTCTTACCGCAAGCACCGTCTCCGACAATAACGAGCTTTCTTCTAATTTCCGCCATTTTGGCAAAGGTTGTGATAAGGTTTGTTAAAGAGAGCGACTGAGTGAAGTAGTTGATTAAATTGTTGTGTATGTAAACTGATCGTATGGGTCGTTGCAGATGAAAGTTCGTTAATTGGAAAGGTTGTTGAAGGTGGAAATGAGTTCAAGAAGGCAACCTCTGGAGAAACCTAATAGCTAGTCGGTTCCAATGTTATGGCCTTATGATTTGTGATTGCAATTATCAGGCAGCCAAATATTCAATTTGGTTACTATGGGAATCATCCAGCATAAATAAAAAAAATCTGGGCTATGGGCAACTGGGCTGATGCGGTGAATCAATCCATCCATGAAGGGATTGGATTGGATGGGGAACAGCGTGAGGAATCTTTCAAAGGAATCGTGAATGCTTTGCGATTCATCTGATTGGATACATTGTCACTGATTCTTTTCTTTTCATGATATCTACGATCCCGTACTAGAGTTCATCCAGAGTGAGTGATGGCCATCGACAGTATGTACCTATTCTTGTTCGTCTATTGTATGTGGGAAGGAGGCAGTATTATTCCATTAGCTGTCTAGGTGGCTTGGGTGGGTAGACCAGGGAGGATTCTGTTTGATTCATTATCTACGGAGCATCTATTTTCACATCAAGCCGTCGGACATGAGGGATACTTGTTATTACGGTAGGGAGATGCGATGCTACTACTGTCTGCTGTCTGCTGTCTGCTGTCTGCGGTCTGCTGTCTGCGGTCTGCGAGGGACCATCTATCATCTATCCTCTATCCTCTATCATCTATCATCTCCGGCTATCAACACTAACTCTCCTCAATCATCACCCTAGCCATCAACTAATAAGGGGCTACCAAGGTTCATACATTAGTATCTGCTAGGTAAGGTGACATGCTGTACGGAGTATTCTCCACGTATTTTATGCACCCATCCCATACCATACCATCCCATACCATACCATCCCATACCATCCCATCCCATACCATACCATCCCATACCACACCATACTATCATTCACTCCACCAACCTCACACCATGTCACCATGGGTAGGAAACAAAAAGATTGATGACAATGAACAAGGAAGTACCTAAGCCGTTTGACGGTTTGTTTACAATTCTGCCTCTACCAAAAGATACATTAATTCCTTTGAATCTTCTTTCTTATTCCTTTTGCCTGGTGTCTTTCTCTGTCGTTCTCAGCATCGGTGTACAATGCAAATATGAAAAGGACTTTTTAGTGATCCTTACATTTGATATTCATTTGAGTCACTACATCTACGAGTACGTACTAAACATTGTTCAACATGAAGGAATAGGTAGGTACTTTTAAAAACATATATGTATATATACATACATTTATGCGCTAGCGACAACCTTCCACTGCAACTTTAAAATCAATACAGTATCGTTATTGAATGATAACTGTAAAGAGAGTGGTCACTGGTAAGCTCCGATATGTTTCCTTGGCAAAGTCCATATTTCTTTCCTTCCTTCTTTCTTTCTTTCTTTCTTTCTTTCAATTCCTCTCCTGACTCCTGAGTCCTGACACCAAGCTTAAAAGTCTAGTCTAGACTTGACGGGATGAATGAAATGACTAGTATATAGTTTGGCTCGTACACTTGAAAAACATGACTCTGATTACGGATGCTTCCTTCTACGCTTTCGATCAGGCGTATATACCGGCGTATCGTATCACCGCATACATACACTGTATAGTATCTCACACACCCGTGGACGGTATCACAACATGAATGCCCTTCCAATTGTTAAGTGTTGAGTTATCTAAACTTCCCTTCCTTTGATGGAGATGAGCACGTCCCCAACTTCAGGAGATATCCGTCAACCTTGGAAGTTTACGCACTTCATATGGGGCTGAGCTCCTAGACAATCTGCGCCTCACTCATTCATTCGCGCCTCATTTCCTTTTTACCAGGAAAGACAGGACTGCGAATGAGAGTCGCAAGATTGATGGGTAGGTATTCCGATACCTTCTTCTCTCTGCTATGGATGACATTTGTCTTCTCTCCACCCTCTTGATGTCATTTCAACATTTTGTGAATACGATCGAGGTCATCTTTGAAAATCCATTGTCTGGGGGATGGATTCAACACAACTGGACACTCAAGATAATCAATGAAATCTGCCTCACGTGCCGTGTCCCTGAAACTTAAAGATAATGTTTTGATTGGATAGCCTCACTTGGCACATAAACATATGATCCATTAGCCCCTGAACCAATTAAAGTCCAATTCAAGCCCCGGGCTTCCCACGTGACCCTCGCCCCGATCAAGAATTCTGCGCTAACCCAAAGGTCACTAGCCTATTATCAACGAAAGCTCCATCCAAAAAAAGTTGAACTGAGCACCCTCACCACCACCAAACGAATCCCCCCCCCTCTCCCCCACCACTATGCAAAAAGTCATTCGGCGTACAATCCTCGCCGAAAAGCAAGCCTCCCGCCGGCTTGCAAGGAGGCAGCGCAAAAATGAGCTCGACGCTTTTGCCCTTCGGCAGGATAGGATGAAGCAATGGGGTGCGGAAAATCTAAGAAGGATCAAGGAAAATAAGGTGGTGCGAAGGGAGGATTGGGAATTGAAGGAGTTGGCTCCAAAGAGAGATGTTGGCTCGCAGGCTGAGACGTATGGAGCCATTCAGGCTCATTTCAGTGAAGTTCCGGTTGCGAGGAGGAAAGAGATATTGGAGATATTGGATTTATGGGGAGGGAAGAAACATCTGAATATTACGGCGGGGGATAGAGTTGTTGTGATTTCAGGGCGGGACAAGGGAAAGATTGGGAAGGTAGAAAAAGTTGACAAACAAAGGGCGGAAGTTACATGCGATGGATTGAATATGGTATGATTTGTGATCTTTTGTGCCTTCATCTCCAATTACCCCCCACCATGAATGTTTCATTGCCACAAACTAACAAAATTATCAGATCGATATAGCAGTACCAAAATGGATGTTATCAGACTCCGAGCAAGACCGTCGTCCCACCCGTTCCGTCCCTCAAGGCATTTCCCTGAAAAACGTCAAACTAGTATTTCCATACACAGACCCTGTGACCGGCCTGACGCGCGATGTCATTGCTAAAAAGCTTGCCCACCACAAGATGTTCCGAGACCGTCACGCCCAAACCGTCAAATGGCAGCGCATAATTCCCGGTGCCGGTGACCGTCCCAATATTATAATTCCGTGGCCTAAAGTCGAACCTCGAGAAAAGAAGGATTACGATTGCGATACCTTGCGAATGGAAGTTGAAGAAAAGACATTCGTGCCCACGCTCATTACGCCACCGATGCCTGGAAGTGTGATTAACGAGTTGAGAAATAAATATTCCAAATTCAGAACGAGACACGATCCCGAATACGTAGAGAGAAAATTGGAGGAAGATAGACAAAACGAAGCAAAGAAGAAGACAATTGCATCAATGAGGACGCCATTAAAGGAAATTAATAAGAGAGAAAGAGAATTACGAAAAGCCAAGGGCAAGGGTAAACTTACCAGAGGCATGTTATTGAAGATTGGACAGGTAATCTCGAGGAGGAGAGGAACGATCATGAGACAGGTGGGTGTTAGCACGGATGGAGAGGCTGGAGCTACAGAAGCTGGAGAAGCCGAGAGCACTTCTACACCTACATCTACACCCACAGAGCCAGTGCCAGTGGCTGCTTGATGATCATGCATGTATATTATGTATTTGGAATGAAAGAAAAATGTAAAGATATGAATTGTATGGCACATGGACCTTTGAGGCATTCGTGGTGTTGTAGTATGTACAACAAATCCCAGCGCACATCACTTCCGTTATATTTCCACATGCACAAATAGATGCGTGGATAAGCTGCGCATGTAAACTACGTCACGTCCACAACCTTCAAAAGCTCTGTTGAGTTTCCAACTAATACACTTCTGAGCGAGATTTCTGAAAAACCACAACGTTATTTTCCTAAACTACCTACCCAGAGAACCTAAACTAAGTACCCAACAACGTCAATTTTTCAAACGCAGAAAGATGGGGTACCTCCTTCTTTCTCCCCGCCGCTTGCAAACTTTCCGCATAAACCGCATCACCACCTACTGGTCTGTATTCCTGACCTTCCGCGCCTGCTTGTTCATTTGCATTTGCATTTGCATTTCCATTCGCAGCCGCATCCACCGTACCAAAAACCTCTCCCACACAGCCCTTACACAAAGCGACCACCTCTGCCATACTACCCTCAATCGCTCTCGCTCTCTCCCACATACCTCTCCTCACGAGCCCCACAACCAATCTCTCGACTTCACCTCTGGAATCCTCGACGCGCGTCATTAATCTGCCGACACTGGCGACGAGATATTCTTCTTCGTACACACTTCCCTTTTTACCTCGGGCTCTTTTGCGTTCTTCTCTGCGTCGGTTTTTAGATGTCGCTCTGCTGACTCCCGTTCCAACGGTTCCGACACTTCCATTACCCGTGTAACGAGTAAACAGCGAGCGATTCGTCGAAACGCGAGAAGAAGCCGCGACGGAGATATCATCTGGGATTTCGCCATCGCCTCCTCTTTCGCCCTCGTAGAAAGCGAGTGGATCGGCGAGTGCTTTTTGTCTCAGTTCGCGGATACGGGGAACTTGGGCTAGGAGTTGTGCTTTGCAGTCTGCTAATAACTCGGTGCTTGAAGCGAGGGCATCGCCGAGACCCGGGTCGATTACGCTCTCGAGGAGATCGGGTCGAGCTTTGAGTGCAATAAGGTGAAGGGCGTCGGCGAAGAAATATCCTTTGCAGAAGGTTCTGCAGGCGGTTTCGAGAGAGGAGAGGTAATCGAGTTGGAGGGTTGCTGCGGCGTAGTAATCTTTGCTTTCGATGAGGGCATCGTACAATGTGCTTGCTAACTCGGTGAGTGCGGAGCCGCTCATTGGGTTTCCATCCGCACCGCCGGTGAGAGCACAGAAAAGAGTTTCGCGCCATTGAGAAGGTCCGGAGGCGAGATAGCAAGATGTAGCTTTTGCGTAGTTGTGAAGGGATTCGTAAGCGAGTGCTGCTTCTTTGTAAGAGGATTTAGACTCGAGATGTTGAGCGTAGAGGGCGGTAATGACAGCGAGGGGTTCAGGATTATATCGGTAGATAGCTAAAGCAGCTTTGTAGAGAGCGTGCTTCTGAGTATACTTTTGAAGTTCCTCAAAGGCGTTGAGTTCGTGGAGATGGTTAAGCGCTTTGGTGTGGCGAGATAAATAATCATCGATGCTATATTTACGACATAACTCGGTCATTTGTTGTAGATTTTGCATGAAAGGAAGATATTCTCTGGGATCCTTCTGCGATTGCTGGGCGACTAGAAGAGCAAGATCAAGGTTATAGAGACCAAGAGCATTCTCATATAATCGATTGACATCCGCCAAGAAACAGATGTGCTCAACTGCTTTATCAGCCATAGCCTCATCTTCCTTCATCAACTGTGCAACAACCAATAATCCATCATCCAATGCAGGTGGATTCTTGCACACGTTAGATGTGATAATGTTTTGTAGGTTAGTTGCAGTGCGAGTTTTGAGGACTTCGAGAACCGCGTCGCAGATCTTGTTAACCTTTGAAGCTTTGGTGGCTGTAATATCAACAGGGTCTTGAGGAGCGATAGTACCATTGGTGGTAGGTACTGCGTTGCCATTTTGGGAGACAACTCTTGTCTCTTTGTACATTGTTTGGGTAACATCCTCTTCTCTCAATGACGATAAGAACAAATCGATATAAGTGATTTTCTTGACCTGGTCAATAAAAAGTGCAACATTCGACAAGAACTGCTCTGGAGCATGATCATATAAAATGTTCATATCCACTCGTTGCGTTCTGCAATGAGTGAAAGCCTTTCTGTAGTTCTTTTCCTCGATAAGTTTTCGAATACCTGCAAGGACCATTGCACGAGGAAAAATGGTCTCCAAGTTTCCACGAGGCATTTGTAGGATAAGACTGAGAGAGGTTGGCATTGCAGTGACAAGTCGAGCTCCTCTTTCAATGCTTCTACATCTCTCGTCAATTTCTGGGTCATCTGCCGGAACTTCAAGGTCTGTTTGATATTAGCATTGAAACATGTGCATCAAGATTCAGAAATACGTACCATGGACTTCTGTGATGTGCACAAATTTTAGGAGGTGTGTGGTGGTAGTAAATATAAGATGTGCCGGTGTAACTAAGAATGATGTGCAGTTTCGGACAAGTAAGCGTGTGTTTGCAAACAAATGACCGTTACTAGACAACCCAAAAGCTATGCGGCCGTCTCCATAAGCATTCGGACCGTCACCGAATGGTATGATATCTACCCAAGGTAATTGCTTGGAGAAATTGCAAGAAGATAAGGACGCATCGCCGAAAGCTAAGCTATGAAGGTCACCAGAGCTAGTTTGGACGTATGGATGCATTACACCATCTTCAACAAAGCTTGATAATATCGATACAGACGATGTAGGGTAATTTTCAAGAGCCTTCTCTTTCATCTCACCAGGCACCTCAGTGAGATGGTACCCTTGAACAACCGGGCCAGTTTCGGTTCGACCCAAGGCGAGTATTTCATTCTTGCCACTGAAAGTAATTTGTTGATAAATGGTAGATTTTATCGCAGAGTCAAATGTATATTGACCAGACAATGTCGGAGTAGGTGCGACCCGTTTGGTAGCATCTATTTCGAAAATTGAAATACCATCTTGATGTAAAACGGCAAGTAATGAAGCATCAGCATTGATGGCAACATCGATGGCATTGGATTGTATTGTAACTTCGTGATGACCCATGGGAGGTGGGACGTTAGCTACCCGGAAAGGAGTTACCATGAGATTTTGTCCATCAATAACTGCGAGCACTCCAAAATCATGTGGTGGTGCCAAAGTACCACGCGCCGTTGTGAAAATATACTCTGCAAGATCAATAGTGTCCTCAGCAACGGACAAGAATCTCAGCGGCTTTTCTGGGTGCCAAGCGACAGGGTTAGTGGCAACCAAAGGGGCGTGATGGTTTCTAATCTCTTGCTTGAGGTACCAATGATAATTACCCATTGTCCATAATTGAGTGCAATCAGCCATCACAACAGCCAACACCGTAGAGTCAGAATTCCAAGACAATTTGATGTACTGGTTAGGAAGTTGGCGTTGCTCTTGAGTGAGTCTGAGACTGAATTCTCCATGTCGTAGTCCATTACGCTCAAAAAACACTACATCGATTCTTTCTTCCAGTCGTTGGATGCCGGCGATCAAATTTCCGGAAGGTCTCCAGCTCAAAGCGCCTTCGAGGCCATCTACGGGCTCGCTGACACTATCAAGTTCACCTTCTCTAGAATATACTCGTATTATACGACGGGAAGCAGATTCAATAGTGGATATAGCAAGATAAGCTCCATCGCCTCTCCAGCTGATAGTGACACTCGAATCATCGTTTGGACTTAGAACACCTTCATCAGTCTTCTCAGGCATAGTCGGATCTCGTAAAGCTTTGGCTCCTCTGCCTTGGAATTGCGTTTCCTTCTTACCCCAACCAACAGATACATGGTTCGAAGCTTTCAGGTCCTCTTTGGTCATGGTAGTATCCGCAACGCCATCGAAGCTGCGACTCATCCAGATGACGGTATCTTCCTTGGTTGTGATTGCCAGCAATTCTTCGTCAGGTGACCATCTTGCCGCAGTGATACCAGCATCAACTGAGCCCATGATTTCAATCTGACCTTCACCAGGTTGAGGATCTTCTCTAACGACAATGATGTCGCCCCCTGCAAGAACAAGACATGTTGTCAAGCTATCTCCAAAATGATGAAGACTTAAAACTTTGTCACAGGCCAAATCCGGGTTTGGTGATGGCGCTTCCCATGATGTGATGAGAGTATCCTCACTGCGATTTCAAATCAGCAAACTTCAAAGACGCTCAATTAGAAAATTATATATACTGTGAATTTGAGGTTGTCTTGACTCTAATAAGTTGTATTACTGCGTCGTTTTCGGTAGGACCAGCGGTACAAACGACAGCATCATTTGCCAGATCCCACGCCGCCGCCGTTATAGGTCTATTCTGATATTGCGCAGGAGGCTTCCATTGCTCATATTGGATCCCTCTTAAATTTCTCATCTTCTCGATATTAATATACTTTATCAAAACATGTGAAAAATAAAAATTTATGCATATAAATCTCCAGTCATCCTTTTTGTTCAGGCAATGATTCGTCGGAAAATCGTATCCCGGTCATTTTCACAAGCCAGTTTTTTTTGTTTGGTGCATTCCTCATACCGTGTAAGCGAGAAACGCTAAATCTTTAGTGTGTGACTTTCCCTGTAACCCCAGGTTTAATCAGAGGATTGGTGGTGAGACTTCTCTTCTTACTTCTATCAACATTCCACTTCTCTGCCCATTTGATTCAATAGACATTCGATTCTTCTTCTACGGTTACTATCGCGTCATTGAGATACTTGTATATTGTAGACTTTATATTCTAATTCTCTCCGACAGATTTCTTGACCCTCTCAGATAGACCATAATGGATATCGCATTCAACCAACACTCTCCTCATAACCGACGTCACAATCGATCTTCATCCAATCTCACAAATCTTACCATGGCACCACTAACTACCAAACTTCCTCCCTCAAACGACGATTACTTTCCCGACCATACATCCTATATTGACAATCGTTCTTCTCCTACAACGCCTTCAATCCTCTCTCGCTCGTCATCCCGCGTTTCCGTACGCAAACCCGCCCCAATGAATCTCTCAATCCCCAAATCAAAATCGAGCATTCACCTCGCTCCTACTCCTCTCACACCCCGCGCACCAGGCCACCGCTCCGGCACAACTACACCCTCACGCCACTCGCATCTAAGAAACACGATCGCTCCAGATAATCTAAAGATCAGTACATTCGGTGAAGATAACCCTAATGATTCAGATTGGTTTCTGCGAGCCGGCGCCATGATATCATCCTCCACTCGAGAGTCCAAGGGCCAATTATGGCTCGTCTCACGCGCAAGTTCAACAAGTTTGCAGAAGGATGAGGATGAAGATGCATTTGAGCGGGAGCTCGCCAGAGAAAGAGAACATAATAGCAGGAGAGGAAGTAGACGAGGAAGTTTCGATGCGGATGATGAGTTTTCACCGCTCACAACGAGACGGAGTTTAAGTTTTGGGCCTGCACACAATAGGCCAGCGAGTAGATATGGCAGTCGAGCAAATAGTAGAATAGGAAGTCGAGCGAATAGCAGGAGAGGGAGTAGAGCGGCGCTGATTACACCAATGACAGCAGATAAAGATGGAGGATACTTCGATACAGAATTTGCACATGAAGAATACCCTGCAGAGCCAGACTTTGTAGATGTGGAAGAAGAATGGCTTGAGGATGGTGACGAAGCAAGAAAAGACGAAGCAACGGTTAAGAAGTTGGCTAGAGCGAGCAGACTGGGACTCGGAGGCTGGGTAGAAAATTTACTAGGCTGGAGTTTGTTTGCTGTTGAAGAAGATGGAGAAGAAGCCGAACTCGACACATCAGATGAGAAAGGAGAAGAATCATCATTGTCATCACGACCGTCGCGACACACCCTCGATGGGATGAGTGACACACCACTTACCGAGCAAATGCCACCACTTAATCCAAATGAAGCCGATGGATGGCATGATGCTGCTTGGCTTCTGAGCGTCGCAAGTAAGGTATTACTATGATGTCACATTGCTATACCCTTTAGCTTTTCTTTCTACGATTCTGTTCCGTCTTATAGTACAGCTTTCATTATGAATTATAATAAGAACTCTCGGCATGTTCCCCATATGCATCAATACAACTCGTATACATATGTGGTCGTGAAGATAAATATGCCACCCAAAGTTATAAAAGCGCCAAAATCGCTCCTGCCCAATGATCGATCAAATCCTTCCCAATACCACTTCGCGGAATTTTCTTTCGCCGGAATCCTTTCTCCCATGTTCATTCATGTGTAGCAGTTGCAACTAAACAGTATTGCTTTTCCTCTCGCTTCGACCCGCTCGATTCAGTCGGTAGTCAGATCAATGATTTCATCTTCGGCTGTAAAGATGTGTCGTCTTTTAACAGGACGCTCAAGAATAACTTCGGGTTCATCTTCATCGCGTTCATCTACATGTTCGCGCTTCAGTGTCACCTCAGATCTGGCCTGTCCTTCGACCTCTGCCTGCACTTTTTCAACGACTCGCGAGATCTCTTCTTGGACCTGCATAGGAAGTTAGTGTCACCGACAATACATCAGAGGTGTCTGATGGCCCAATCCGGATTAAATCTTTGAATGATGGCACATACCTCGACTACGTTGACAACGTTAAAACCCTTTGCTATGTCTCTTAATTGACCTAAACTTCTTTGGATTTCCATCAGTACTCGTGTAAATGGGGTGGCACCAGGCTCCAAAGCTACTTGGCTGATAGGCTTAGGTCTAGCAGGTGTGACTGGAAGTGTTGAAGGCTCTTGATTGTTGTTTTGGCTGTCTACTGATTTTCCTCCTTGATTGCCGGTGCTTTTCTCAAACATTTCACCTGATGCGAAGGCCACAGCATTCGGTTTAAACATTGCTTCTGTTGGTGACTCTACTGGCATTGCCGGTCTAGCTTTCAAAACAAAACTAGGTGCTGCTACCTGTGAAATTGATCCAAAAGCAGGAACTGATGGATATCTGATCTCTTCTCTGGAAGCAGTTGGCTTTACTGGAGGCACGTTCGGGGATGGTGCAAACGCAAAGCCAGTCGTAATTTTGGGAACCATTTGACCGAATTTCTGTGCTGGTGGTGCTAATGAGGAGAAGGCACTGGTGGACAGATTGCTCGTTGCCTGGTCAAGCGTTCTGCCAGTAACAACTGACAGCGGGGGTAGTACTGGCATTGACAAGAAGGCACCAGTTACCGGATCGAAAGATCTTCCTGTGATCACTGACTTTGTGGCTGGTGGGGGTGGTGTGGCCATTTCGGATATAGCCTTATGCTTTGGAGCAGTCGATGCTTGGATTCCTTTAACAACATCCTTGTTAAGACCACAAGGCCTTTTGCTTGTGCTTTCAATCAAGGCAGGTTGTACTGCTACCCCGGGTAAAGGCTTCGAAGGCAAAGGAGCTCGATTAACTTTTGGTGTCAATCCCTGGTCTTGAGGAAGTATCTTAATTCTACGGTCAGTTTTCCTTATCTAATAAAACATTTGACAATCCTTTGATAATCGGAGGTTGTTTCTCAGAAAGCAGAGTACTAACAAGGCACTTACCATCATCTGCTGCAAAACTTCCCTTGATCTATATTTGAAATGGAACTCGGCCAGTGGCTTGCTAACTGGATCAATATATTCAAGCTGATAGAATGTCTCTTGGTCCGATATTTTTTGTGGTTTTCCAAGCCTGTTGTAATAGGTCAGCTTCCGCATTGAATTGTAGACCGTATCTTCTCATATACTTTGTTGCATGAGTTACAGCTCTGCCCTTTAACTGTTTTTCGTGAAACTTTGTGTTTATTGGCATCGTTTCCTGTTCCGGTGTGGAGATCGGAGTTTCCACCGGAAAGACTTTACGGACACGCCAAACCTGGACTATGAGTTCTCCGAGCTGCGAGACTTCTCTTGGGTTGTGCGAGAAGGGGACATCGTCTCCTACAGAATCAACATCAGCTATGTGTGAGATTGAATTGAAGATCGGTCTACCTATTTGAATCTCAGAAAACTGGAAGGGTCTCAATTTTGTGCTGCCGGGTTGTCTAAGGCGGTCTCCTGTCAAAGTATGATCCCAGATATTCGGTTTGAATCCATCTTCATTGCAAATTACAGTTGAACTGTTGAAATGCTCAGCTTAAGAACGATGCTTAACAAGATGTGATTTTTATAATTACCTCGTCTTTTTTCCATCAACGATAGCGAAAAATCCCAGGCAGTAATTTTTCTTCTTTTTATGCTTTGGGATCTTCGCAGGATCAACGAGGTATTGCAATCCAAAATTTGCACCCGACTTCGACTCTATATAAACGGACATCTTTTGTCGAGGGCCATTTTGCGTGTTCTCATCCTCATTGTCGTCAAGATCGGGATATTCTGCTGAAATCTTAGGAGCGTTAACTGTAACTCTGATAAATGGAACCCCAGGTAGAATCGCCATTTTTGCAGATATTGCTGGTGAATGGGAGGATTGCTAAGAAGGTTGTTGGTTGTATGTTGTGATTGATGGAAAGGAATTGCCTGGTGTAAATAGAAGAGTTACCCGACAGCGCAACTGCCATTTTTGGTTTATTGGGCGGAATTGCAAGCGCATTCTACCCTACCTTCCTCCAGTAATCGTGGTTTTGATAGCTTCATTCCAGCCGCATCATTGTTATCTATTTATTGTTCACGAAGTTTCACGTTATCTCATGGTTATCTTGTACATCTCGACTAACAGATTCATTACGGAGATGACCGGTCTTTGATCGCCATGTGAGTGAAAAGTAGAGTTTGGTATGTTATATTTGTTACCCATATTTATCTTGGAATATCCCCTATGCTAATAATTGTCGATAACTCATCATATTCCACCATACACTGCTGGTAAAAGACCTTTGATACACCAAAAAAGATATTTGCTGGATGTAAGTACCTCAGGTCTCCTACTTCTTGAAAATAATGCCCTTTACTTTCCTCGGCGTCCTTCAATTCTCCTTAAGTGACTTGATAAATCCAATATCATAAGCTGCCCTCAAATCATACTTCAGGCGTTCTTGACGTCTACGTCTTGCCATTGTATCAATATTCTTGATCTTCTTCATTTCTTGCTTCAACCATCTACGTCTCTCCCAGAGTCTGCCCCATTGTAACTTTATATCTGCCATTTCAGTATCTGCATCGCTCTTCTTGTCCAGATTCAAGCATGCAATGCGGTATCTGAACCATTTGATTTGCTCTTGAGTGGTCGCGGAGGTGTATTCTTTCTTATATCTTCTGAACTGGAGCTTGAGCTGGGGTACATTAACCATGTTCGTCATGGCAGGAATTGTTGTGTTTCTCGAACGCAAATGCGATAGGTTCCAGATTTGTGGGTAGCTAGATGGCTTTTCCAGCTCGACACTAGTGACCTGCGAAGTATCGGTCTGTGAGCCACCTGTGACCGACCAATCACTAGGATGAACGGCGCTAGATCGAGTATCCTCGGTTTCCGAAGTTTTCATTTGTGTGAGACTGGTTGGCGAAGAGTTGGTCGGTGGGTTGTTAATGGGTGTCCAGCCACCAAATCGAGGAAGATCGGTCTGGACAGGTTCAATCTGCGAAGTATGAACAGCGTGCCAGTTTCCGTCTTGAAGAATACTAGCTTGAGCTAAGATGTCAACCTGAGCAACCTCAACCCCTGAGATGCCCGATTGTGTAGTGTTGAGGGGTCTCCAAGCGATGATTAGGGGATTTGCTGCTTGAGTGGTTGCAGTAGTTGCTTTATTGACTTCGATTTCCGGAACCTCCTCCTCGATATCGGTATATTCTACATCTGCATCGTACTCGCTTTCTTGACCCATAATGTTGACTTGCTCATCATAGGAATCGAGGTTGATAAGGCCACGGGAGACCGATCTGCAAGGCAAGACGAATGTGTAAGCCATGAGGAACAAAGACTGTATCTCGTTGTCAGTTCGACTCGGTACAAAGCATTGTAGCCAAAGACTGCAGCAGATAGAACTTACTGAATAATTGTTGCTGTTATTGTCTTTAGAGATACATTTCTATTGTAGGCCTTGAGGAAGAAGGAGGTCAAGTCTTTGGTTTCAGCTTTGAGGCTTCAAACTATCCACATTACTTTTCATGCTATTGAGCTTTTCATTTGGGCATGATGGAGTGAATTCACTTTCAGGTTTTTCTTTAATCTTAAGTTTGGGAGGGGTAAGAGATAGTGAATATTTGAACTAACTTTATCACCAGATCTTCTTTCGACATGGGACTTCGAAGTAACTTCGGAACTTCGAAGTCCCGAGGTCTATATTGGTCTGTTTCATAGACTCTGATCTGACAAAAACCTCGAAAGCCCTTCAAAGCATATTGTCTTTTTGTCTGCAGGATCATATCCTTTCATCAGGATTTTGCTGCAAAGATCGCATTCCACAACTATTCTGTCTGTCTCTAAAGGCCACCAAAGTTGGTGGATTGAATGAAATACTCAGATCTGAGCCCAGGAAGTCAAGCTTTCATCCAAGGAACACCTCGAACCTACGCGCGAGATTTCCATTTATTCTCATGTTACCTTTCCTTCATGTATTCTCCAATGTTAATAGTTGACTGTCCTCTCACTATTTCCTTTGCATCTCGTTGTAAACTCGGAAATAACGTTCGAGCAGGCAACTCTCAAGTCAAGAAAGGCTCCATTGGCATGCTATTTTCGAGTTTTGAGTATATTTCAAGCATTGGAAAGACCTCACTAAAGATATCCATCGAGTATTGCGTTTTCAAAACGATTTGATTGGTAATCATAACTACCAGCAAGTAGTCAGATAGCCACAAGCTGCAAGTTGAAAATCTCATCCGCCCAAAATATCTTGTGTCTCATTCTATTCAAGCACTTCGTCCTATTTTCCGCAACCGAAAACCGTTGCCGCATGTTCTTCCACTCATCTCAAACCTTTGGCCCATTATCCCACCTCAATTGTACAAGGCTGCAGGAGGTTTGTGCTATTTATGGAACAATGTTTTCCATCGAAAAAAACCAACAACCAACCTCAGGTCGCTGGCCCAACTTTGCACATATTCTTTTATATTCAAGCACAACCGACACTTGTTGCCTCTTTAACCACTCTTTACTCTTCACTACCCTCCTTTGCCCGTCGGTACCCAGGAAGAACTTATCAAAATAAAACACCAGCATTGATTTTCTCAACTTCACCTTTTGGTCCAAGAGAAGTGCTCGCTCGTCTCCTGCTATTCGAACTTCTTCAGCGGCAAATTTTGCGAGTGGATGGTTGGGATGAGCAGCAACAAACGAATTTCCGGCAGCATTGACGGCAGCCAAATGATTTGGTACTGGTGGTAGTGGTCGTGGGGAAGGTATAAAAACGGGAGCACGTGGATTTAGGGAGGACATCGCTTTGAGATAATACGATGGCGCTGGTTTTTCGTCTGGGTTGACTGCTTTAAGGCCATTTATATCAGCAACATACCTTCAAATCGATACAATTCAATCTGCATAGACATAGCTTACTAGTATAGCTACTCCTAAGGTCTGAGTTTGTAGGAATAGGAGAATTCGAGATGTCTTCGGAGCCTGTGTGCTATTGCTTTGTCGGGTTAGTATCGTACCAACTGGATCTTTCGACTATGGATTTACCAAGTTGGAATTCGATGGAGATGGCTTGAGGGAGCGGTTGGTCTGATTAGTGGTATTGGTGCCGTCAAAGACTATTTGCATTAGATTGTTCTGATGTGCGACAGTTTTGATGAAATAGTACTTACAGACCGAATGAATGTTGCTGACGATGTTGATAAAAATTGGACGGTCAAAAAGTGAGATGTCGGAGACGGTCTCGGCAAGTCGGCAATTTGGAGGTAGTGAATATGAAGATAAGATGAATCAGACGAGAGGGATATTGAGAGAAAAGAGTCATTGTTTGGGCTGAATTTGAGGGTTGGGAGGACTTGAAATAATTTTTGGGGCTCGTGGGAGAAAACGAATGGGAAGAAATGGGTTCGGTGATAGCTGCTTTTGCGAGTATTGAGATGATTGAGGAAAAACTTGGGGGTAGTTTGTTTTTGGGAATTAGCTAGATACATTCTAGATTCTTGTAGCTCAGTAGAGCGTCAGATCGTTATAGTTGAGTGATTCAACCGAGAAATGAGTATTTTATAATAGACTACCGAGAATTTCGGTTCTCTCGCCCTTTCTGATGTTGTGGAACTAGACATCATTCCATCTGGCTTAAGATCTTGGCCTGGCTTTATTCATCTCATAGATTATCTCTTCTCTTGACTAGTCTCTTCGCTATCAAGGTACATGCATAAAGAATATCCTTTTCTCTTTCAGTCCATTTTCTCATCGATTACCTCTTGATCTCCTTTCGCTTATTCAACTTGTTGTTACACTAGCTCAAGATGAGAATTATAAGAAATGGTGCGCCTCTCACCGTGACGACAGTGATACCCACTGATATCTCAGCTGATTGGGTGGACAAGACTAGGAATACAGCATTGCAGACAAATCATCTCTGATGATAAGTGATGTAGATACATTAAATTGCTCTCGATAATTTCCAACAATCAGGACTTCGGCTCTTCCGAAACCCTCACTTGAGTAACTTGGCCCTTCAACCTCTGCACTTCCTCCGCGATCTGTTCCTAAGTCTCTGCTCAATCGTAACCGGATTTTTCTTCCACGTTCCTATCGTTACTATAACACAAACACTCGCAACTATCGCGCATACTATCATATCCTCGCTAAAAGAATCTGAGTAAGCTTGTCTCACTGCGTGGAGTTGCGCCTATGTCATTGTCTTTGCCGAAGACTCTAATGAAGCAAGTTGTTCCGGACTCATGATGCCAGTTAATTGTGTTTGTTGTGCTAAACTGAGAATAGCGGTACTGGCTGCTATTCCTATGCTGCCGCCTAGAATACGTGCTTGCGATGTGATTCCTTGTGCGACCGCGTGGTCGCGGATGGATGATTCGTAGTTTGACTTTAGTGTCGTTAGTTAAAGACAACACAGTGAGAAATAATTTAGTAGGGGTACTTACTAGCATTGATACTGTAGATACCGTCAATCCAAACCCTAGCCCAACAAATACCAAAAAGCCGTAGGTCTTAGCTTCCACGTATTCAGTATTCGCTAATGTAGATAGCGAACTAGTGCCTATAACACTCAGTCCAGATCCCGCGAGTAGAGTCAAAAATACTCTGTTTTTCGTTCCATTAAGCATTCCACCGAGAAAACTCGCTATAGCTGTTGATCCTAACATAGGTAACAACCCCAGTCCTGCGGTTAACGGACTCTTCCCATTCACAACCTGGAATCGTAGCGGCAAGCTATAAATTACCACAAAGTAAGGAAATCCCATGAGTAAAGTTGTGGCCAAACCGAACATGTAGACTCTGTTTTTGATAAGTCTCCATGGGAACATCGTTGCGAGCTTTTCTTCCCATTTTCTCTGCACTATGAATTCCTAAGCGAATAGTAAGATCTAAAAGACTATTCCCACTATGAGGGGAATCAGGAATAGTGGTGTATTCCAAGAATTTGTCTTGAGACCTGCTTCTTGGAATGCAAAGACGAAAAGGATAGAAGCGATGATCAGAATACATGCCCCGACAAGATCAAGTTGCCGAAGAGGTCTACGTTTGGATTGATGGAGTTGATTTTCATTTGGCCAGACGAGATAGAATAATATTAAAGGCACGATTCCGATTGGTGCACTGTGTGTCTGTTAGCTTTGGCTCTTTCTGATAGGTCGGCTCATTTACTTTATCCAAAATATCCATCTCCAACTTGTGTATCGGGTAATGATACCTCCGATGACCGGACCAAGCACTCCGCTCATTGCAACCACTGCGCCAGCCAAACTTCCAATCCATCTCCTCATTCCCGGGGGACTGATTTCAGGGAAGATGACCATTGTCAGAGAATAAAGACCCGAACCACCTATGCCTTGCAAAGCTCTGAATGCAATGAGTTGGTTGAGTGTTTGCGCAAACCCGCATGCAATTGAGAATGCGAAGAATATAATGAATGCTGCAATATATGCATTCTTCCGACCAGCAATATCACCAATTCGTGCGAATAAAACAGCACAGCCCAAATAGGATAGAGTATATGCGAGAGCTATCCATGAAACAGAGTTAAGAGAATTGAATTCAACACCAATGTTGTAAAGAGCTGTTGCTACGATACTGGTATCGAGCAGCGCAAGGAAAAGACCGGAACATAGACTTTACAATGTTAACGTGGTTCCAAAAGTCTAAGGGAGATCGGAGAATCACCTGATACATAGACAGACGAGCCTCCATTTGGGGATGTTAGGACCATTTCCTCGCGCGCTGGGTTTAGGTTCGGAAATGGGTTCATCGGAGGCTGAAGACTCTAGTTTGGGGGTATTTTTATCCATGGTTCTCGAGGTAAGTTGAGTTAAAGATGATTAAACTAGTCGTTGGCATTTTGTATCATGCATCTGAAGTGGCCATCTTATATAACATCTGATTATCTGGTGATTTGAAGCAAAAAAAGTTGGTGAGATTGAATCCGTGAGATTAAATCCGCACGCCAGTCTAGTAACCGGAGAGATAGTCCAACCGCTTCAGCCTCAACATAGGTGAGAAGGTTCTGAAAAGACAGTTGATGGATGAAATAAGTTGGTGTTGAACGAATTCATGGACGGACATCAGATGTTGTTCGGCCGTAAGCGCCAAGCGTCCAGGGATGCGGACGATACGGGCGTAAGCATTGAAGCATCTCGCAGTTTCTTTCCTATTGAGCTTCACTTGGACAGCGACGGCATTCCATGACACGTCTTTAAGGATTTTTGATATGGCATAAAAATATGGATTTCATGTTCATGCAAAGTTCAAAACCGGAGCAGAATGCACTAGGGTATCTGGACGCCAACAGGCAGATGATTGTTGATTCTTTTGATATCTCACGTGCGAGCTCATGAAAAACGTATACAAGCAGTCGCTCTCCAGTATATTGAAATGATTCTAAGCAAAAGGTCTAGAGCTCTTTCATACTGAGGGCAGGAAGATGCACGTGTTCAGGCGAAGATTCAATCTACCGGGTTCCATGACAAAACTTTTAACTCCCAAATCTCTAGTAGATGTCCAAAATGCTACAATGAATTGTAGCCGAAGGTAATTGCTCGTCTGTCCATCACACAACTACCCATTTTACTATGCACATCAATATTATCATGATTGAGCAGAAGAGACTAGAACTAGTATGGCTCAAAGCGGTGGAAAACTGGGGGCTTCAGCAATGTTTGACTGAGATTTACTGATGGAATCCGACGAAGACCAAAAAAAGCAGTTGAAGAATTAAGAACCGCCGCATAGTACAATTATACTCTTGTATATCACTTGATATTCGAGCCAGCATCAGGTGCCGATTTGTCAATCGGTTTAACCGTTTGTAGGTGCGATCATATACATGTTGGGGTGTGAGAATAGCTTGTCACGCGAGCTCGGCTTCTTTCAGTACATTGTGCCCGCGGTGTGCGGTTAGTTGGTGAAGATCTGCACACGGAGGACGACTAGCCGGCTATTAATATCCAATCAGAGGTTTAGTTAAATGTACGAAGCCAACATTCAAAGAAATCCAAAGTGGCTCAGAGTGAGAAAGTGCCCGATGAAATCTGGGGCTTGCATGGTGTGATTACTCCGCGTTACAATTCGATTCTGACTCTTACCCTTGTACGCTACCACCCCGTTGCTGCTTTGCGGCCTCATGAGCTCTTGCTGTGATGGGTCAAGCTAAACCCTAATGCAACGTCCAATTCGAACTACTGGTAGAGATCGGCCTGGATTTTCGCCGTTTTGAAGGCTTACACACTAACTTTAACCTTACCAGAGATTGATTGCCTGATATTGGCCACCCAACCGCACATCTTCACACTTTTGATATCAGAACATTGAATTTCACCTGCCACATCTTTACCATATCCCTCCCAAAACAGGAATCCAGACGGGGCTCTTGGCTTGCAACGTCCAATAGCATCCCAAGAACTGAATTCACCATTCCACAGCATGAGTGAAGCTTTACACAACAGACGTCAGGCGTGCACTAATTTAGCCTAGGATTTACGATAGCAAGAACGATTCATAAGTACTTAGTGAGGCCTGCTTCTCAGGTTTCAGCAATCTTGATGAGGTACCAGAGATTACCGACCAGCGAAGAAGCTGAAATGGCGAACGAGACTCTTATTAACGGCCCTGCCTCCTCAAATGAAAACGATGGTGAACCTGATGTCAAAGACGGAAATGTCAACAATGATTACATACAACGGTCGGAAGTTGAGAGTCTAAATTTGACTGCGATACCACCTGGAACAATCGATCCAATATATGAAGCAAAAGCTCGAGTCTTAAATGAAGCTGTAAGATTGGAAATCTTACCACTTCCAGGTGGCTCTGCTCAAACGTGATGTTCGCTAATCATGTGATGTTACTCAGATTCAAGATATTGGCATGGGATGGTATCAATGGCAACTATTTGTTGTGGTAGGATTTGGCTGGGCGAATGATAACTTGTGGCCAATTGTTACATCACTTATATGTATATACTCGATCTCGATTTGTCTTTTTATCTAGTCAGAAAGCTAACAATGAACACAGTCACGTCGATTACCAATGAATTCTCGCCCAAGCACCCGCCTCTACTCACTTTAGCTCAGAATATTGGTCTTCTGGCTGGTGCTATGTTTTGGGGTTTTGGTTGCGACATTTTCGGTCGACGTTTAGCTTTTAATGCTACGCTTGGTATCACCGCTGTTTTTGGATTGATTGCTGCCGGTTCACCAAATTTTGCCGCTATTGGATGTTTTGCTGCTCTGTGGAGTTTTGGTGTGGGCGGGAATCTTCCCGTCGATTCAGCAGTTTTCCTCGAGTTTCTTCCTGGTTCTCATCAATATCTTCTTACTGTTCTTTCAGTCGATTGGGCCGTAGCTCAAGTTATCGCGAATTTAATTGCTTGGCCTCTCTTGGGAAACCTCACGTGCCAAGAAGGTTCAACATGCACTCGATCACAGAATATGGGGTGGAGATATTTTCTTATCGTTATGGGAGGCATCTCTATGATTGAGTTCTTCATTCGTTTCACTTGTTTTACGATATTTGAAAGTCCGAAATATTTGATGGGAAAAGGAAGAGATGAAGATGCAGTTAAGGTTGTGCAGGAAGTTGCGAGGAGAAATGGGAAACAGTCAAATTGTAGGTATACCCCATTCGTTTCTCCCTATTCTGAACCATGCTAAACTTATATCAGTGACTGTCACCCGTCTCCAAGATTGCGGCACCCTTCCTCATATCAACGCCTCGGCAACCCTGTCAAGAAAACTCCATCAAATGGACTTATCTCATGTTCGTGCCTTATTTGCGACAAGGAAGCTGGCCTTCTCTACAGGTTTGATTATGCTCGTGTGGGCATTTATTGGTCTTGGATATCCACTCTATAATGCATTTCTTCCGTATATCCAAGCCACTCGAGGTGCTGAATTTGGAGATGGAAGTACATATTTGACGTATCGCAACTCTCTGATTATATCAGTGCTTGGGATCCCTGGCGCTCTTATTGGTGGTTACCTTATTGAGGTACCAAGTTTGGGTAGAAAAGGAACTCTCGCTCTTAGTACAACAGCGACTGGGGTATTCTTATACGCTTCCACCACAGCCATGACGTCTACTGCATTACTAGGTTGGAATTGTGCTTTTAACTTTTGTTCCAATGTGATGTATGCTGTTTTATACGCATACACACCGGAAATATTTCCTACAAAAGATCGCGGTACGGGAAATGCTCTTACCGCGACTTCGAACAGAATATTCGGGATTATGGCGGTAAGTTTTCCCTCATTTATTGATTTAGATTACAGGAAGGTTGAGAATTCCCTATGAATATTGACTAATCTTTCTGAAGCCGATTATTGCAATGTTTGCCAATCTCGAGACTTCAGCGCCAGTTTATACAAGCGGGGCTCTTTTTATTGCAGCGGGACTGTTGGTGTTGATATTGCCATATGAAAGTCGGGGAAAGGCCAGCTTATAAACCGGAGTATGAAGCCCGTATTCATATGGTATTTCTACCTTTGAATCCTGCAGAACAACAAAATTCATATCAGTAATCAGTATTGATCAACAATTCGGGTCTTGGAAAAAAGAAGCTCGGCTCATTGTCGAAACTTCTTGAGAATTATAATTTGGCATTACCCTCATTCTAATCTTGTCTAGTGAATACAGGTATAGTGTAAATGGAACAAGTGACTTCAATCTCATGCCCTCCCTCCCAAGATTTATCTGTCTCTTGACCAACCAGAGACCAAGATGTTCCCGCTGGAAGATAAACCCTGATATTCTTTGCCCCAGCCTCAAACACAGGACAAACCAAATACTTTGGCCCAAACATATATTGTTCCTCGATTTCCCAGCATTTCTTATCCTCCGGGAACTCATAAAATAGAGTTCTCATAACTGGACTTCCCTTTTTACTAGCCTCTTTCATCAACCCCCGAGTATAATCCCTCATCTCTTCTCGAATCATCATGTATTTCTTACAAATTCCATAAACCTCTTCCCCATAAGACCAAACCTCATTATCCGCACCACTCAAACATGTTGATCCACCTCCCTCTCCCACCTGTGGCTGTTTAGGTTCCCGATCCCCATGTAACCTCATAACCGGACAAAACGTTCCCCATTGAAACCATCGTACAAATAGTTCCCTAAAAGCCGGATCCGTTGGATCTCCTCCATGAAAACCCCCAATATCAGTCGTCCACCATGGGATTCCCGCAAGTCCCATATTTAATCCAGCAGTAAGCTGATTGCGAAATGAAGACCACGAGGAAGCTATGTCGCCGCTCCAGACCAGCGCGCCGTATTTTTGAGACCCGGCCCATGCGCAGCGGAGAAGATTCACGATGTTGGTTTGCCCCGAGGCGGACATGCCCTCGTAGAAGGCCCGGGCATATTCGACGGGGTAGGTGTTGCCGATTGAGAGGTTGGTGCCTCGATGGTAGCGATAGTTGTCGAAATCGTAGGCTGTATATTCGGGTTCTGGGCGGCAGGTCAGTTATCGATATCCACCTACCTACCTAGGTAGATTACTAAAGTCTACAGACGCATAGTATCAAACTCGATGAGATGAGATGATGGAAAGTACTAACCCGCTTCATCTAACCAAAAAACCTTAATTCCCTTCTCATAATAATTCTTCTTCGCTTGTTCCCAGATAAATTTCCTCGCCCCCGGATTCGTTGCATCGAAATGAATCGTATCGCCTTCAAAATCCATCACAATCCTAATGCCCCGATCAGTCCTTACCAAATAACCTTTCTCCAGCATCTCTTCGAAATTCTCCGACCGCGTATCCACCGTCGGCCAAATCGACACCATGAGTTCAATCCCCATCTCCTTCAATTCCCCAATCATCGCATCCGGATCCGGCCAAAAATTCTCATCAAATCTCCAATCTCCCTGACGCGGCCAGTGAAAGAAATCAATCACGATAAGATCAATCGGTAACTCTCTCTTCTTGTATTCACGCGCTACTTGCAAGAGTTCTTCCTGCGTCTGATAGCGCAATTTGCATTGCCAAAACCCCAGTCCGTACTCGGGCATCATGGGAACCTTTCCCGTGACGTCTGAATAGCGATGTACGATTTCCGCCGGGGAAGCACCAGCCACAACCCAGTAGTCGAGAAAAGAAGTAGAATAGGCTTCGAAGCTCATGATATTTTTTCCAAACACCGCGCGTCCGATTGCGGGATTGTTCCAGAGGAATCCGTAGCCAAGAGAGGAGATGGCAAAGGGGACGCTGGCTTGGGAATTACGATGCGCGAGCTCGAGATCGAGACCCTTGAGATCGAGATACGGTTGCTGGTATTGTCCCATGCCGAATATCTTTTCGTGCTTGTCTTGCGATTCGAAGCGTTGGGTTAGATGATGCGTTGAGCTGCCGCCGGGATTGGGCTTGAATTCCCGGGCTTCGACATTTATGGCGGAACATTTGGGGTCGGTGACGTCGAGACGATGACGGGCGTATTCTTCGAGGAGAATTTTGCCCTCGCCGTTGTAGATGATTATCTTCCCTCGAGAGGAAACTGTTGCACGGATGGATCCATTAGTGATTGATGCTGATTTGTCTTCGATTTTGATAGTTGGTGTTGGCGAGTCGATTTCTTGGAGCGCCCAGAGTTCAGAGGGATCGGGATATTGAGATTCTTTGGTAGAACGGATTCGGAATGCATTTGGTCCCCAGGAATCAATCCAGAGTTCTTCGGCATCGTAGCGATATATTAGACGGTTGCCTTCGGAGTAGAGCATTGTTCCTGAGTATCGATATAGACTTTCTTTGAAATTGAAGGAAGAAAGCGCATACAACGATAGCTGAGCTCCTTTTAAGCATAATCACTTTGCTTCCTGGATCGACGGTAAAAACATTCCTTCCTTTCCATTTGGGCATGAATCGATGAAAATCATGACTAGACAACATTTATTGGCTGATGGGAAATTTACAGATGCTGTGTTGTACCATTGCGGGGTCGTGGAATCACAACCCCGCATCATATGTAGAAGCGCACCAAACAAGTCTAATCGACAAGCACACGCTGCAGATTCGAGATGTGGGACTTGCTTTGAATAGAATCGATCATCATCAAGACTGAAAAAAATACAAGGTGTTTTTTGATATTCTTCATTTGATGCAGTAGATATAAGCAATGGCTAAATACAATCAGGCACCGGAAAAGCTTCCCTTTCTATGATCCCTGCCTCGCTCGACTAAGAAATATAAAAATCTAATCATAATGTTGGATGTTCAAGTGTTTCGAAAACAAGCAAATATTGTCTAACCCCTCAATATGCTCTTTAAAACAAGCAACAACTTCTCCTCCGGTCCATCAACCATTTCCATAGCTCTCCAAGCTACAAATCTATCCGGCCTGACCAACACACAGCCACTCTCCCCAATTTCTCTGCGTCTCGCCCAATCAAAATACACGTCCTCATAATCTTGTTTCCAACCGATGGAATATACATTAATCTCAATCCCAAGAACCTCTGCGGCCTTCGCAGCAGCAGCTCTCCATTTTTCTCCTCCAATTCCAGTGAAAAGAGAAAATTGCCCATGTCCAGCTAGATCGATAGTCGAAAACTGTTTTCCTGGAAGTCTGGTATTCAGCCACGCATGAGGGAAACGGCTTCCAGGATAAGTCGTAATCTCATGCTCAAGAACCGGGTCTGCCGGTAATGCTGGTCTTGGTTTCTCATCCGCGAGGTAGATCGCAGCAGATTCGTAACGTTCATTCATTTCAATACCAACGCCATGAAACTCGCGTGCCGTTCCTTCAATCGCCGCTTGAAAGCGTGCTCGCCGAGCTGCCCCTTCAGGTGTCGCCTGCGAGAGTTCTGCAAAAAGTTTTCGTCGCATTTCAATGGATGGCTCCATCATTCCTAAAGCTTCCCATACTGGACCGTGGTCTCTAAATCCTTGATTGGCTCGTGTGATGATGGATTGACCAACTGGTTGGCGTTCTGGGCTAAATGAATCGAGAAGACTGCTTTCCGCTTTTCCCTTCAAGACATAGGCGATCTTCCAGGCAAGATTATATGCATCTTGGATACATGTGTTGGATCCTAGGCCATTGGTTGGTGGATGGCGGTGAACTGCGTCACCGAGGCAAAATCTCATTAAAGTAAGTGAGGGAATTCTTTTGATAAGGGGGCTCGGGTACATACATATTCCCATCAGAGTAGTATTCTGCAACGGTTTCATTGATCGCCCATTTGGAGACTCCAAGTATTTCTACAGGAATTGAATCATCTCCGATCATATCTTTGACGCATCTTATGTACTCCTCGTCTGAAGGATTAAAGTTCGGTTCGGAACCAGGAGCTGGAATAAGAAGGAACATCCACCTGGAAAGTCAGCATCTTTCTATTCAGACTGCATAAAGGACTTACTCATTCCATGGCTTCACCATTCTTATCAAGCCATTCCAACCAAAAGTGGCATCTTTGTCTTCAGGTCTTATGATCCAATGTAAGTTTCCCATTCTATTTTCCATGACGTGTCTCAATTCGGCCTTGACTAATACATTGATAGCCAACCCTTGTTGAGGTTTCTTGATCAATGGGATCTGTAATTGCCTCAAGACTTGACTTCGAGCTCCATCACATCCAAATAAGTACTTTGATCGAACGTGATATATTTGTTTCGTCAAATTATCTTGCAGTTTGCTGGTAATTACCCCCGAGGTTGAGTCTCGCTCAAAAGACAAAAAGGATGTATCAAATCGACAATTAAATCCACTGTGAGTAGCCCGATTGATCAAAATCGGCTCGAGACGCGTCTGAGGAATATCGACATGATTGCATGGACTAGCAGCATCATAATCACCCTGTGAGAATTGTTAGTCACCAGAATGCTATCATCACCTGCTCGTCGACCTACGGCACGTTTGGGATCATTTCCCCAAGAGTAAATCCTCGCATACTCCTCGCCAGCCAAAGAATGACACCATCGTGTATGCAACATCGAATCACCCTTGACAGCAACTTGCAAACACTCCTCTTCCAAACCTATATCACGCAGACATTCCAGTGCGGCCATGTTGGTTATGTGAGCTCGCGGGGTATCGGCTGTACCGGGAGTGCCCGCGATAAGCATTCCTCGTAGGCCTACGAACGTCAGTATCATTATTCATTTTCTCTTTGCACCTTGAACTTCCGCAGTCATCTAATCACAAAAGACAGTCTTTTGGAAGGCTCAATAAAGATCACGTGCCGAGACACCAAGAAAATCGCATCGACTCACCATGATGTCCCAGAAAACAAGCCAAAGCCGCCCCAGAAGGTCCGGCCCCAACAATCAACAAGTCGGTTTCAATAACTGCTTCCGTCACTGTGGGGGTTTCATTCTCAGTATTCCCCTTATCATCTGTATAAGGCCAAGTTTTGGAAGGCGACATGTTGAAGTAAATGCTATGATAATGCGATGAATTGAAGAAGATGTATTGATCTTTGCAGTGTGGGTTGTGGCTTAATTTTATATCAACGATCCCCGGTCCATTTTGTGTTCAAAGATAGTATCAGAGAACGCTCACGATGATATTGACATCCCGCCGTTTCAATTGGAAGCTTTGATTGGTCTCGTCAACTTCTAGTTCTGAGTTGTCCACATGAAGTGCCGAATTAATGCTGTGCGCCCCGCATTTGTCATTGTTAGATGAGCATTGATAAGTCTTTAGAATGGATTTTTATAATATCCATATAATTAAATCCTATCGTTTAAAGTTTGCAAAAAACTCTATTGCTAAATAAAGAAATTTTATGAATATACCTATGTAAACAAACTTTATCTGTAAAAAGGGGTAGCTCATATAATGATACAGTACAGCTTATTACATGCTGATGAATCATGAATCACGTTGTAGAGTTATTGATGTTTTTGCTCGATACACGGACCACATCGGCGCCCGCAACTGGCACCCTCGGTACCTTAGTGGGTCGAGTGGGTGTGATAATATGGGCTACATGCTGATAAATCACGTTAGGTAAGCTTATGAAAACTCTATCATGACTTCATATGATGTTTGAAAGCAATTCAGGGTGTAGCTGGCGAGGCTGGGTGAGTACAAATACAGAGGCAAGAGGCAAGAACTAAGTAAAAGTGGAGAACATCATCAAGACATCGATCCTAACATACCAACCATCCTACCCATCGCCGCTCTTTTAATAGTACTTCCTCATAAACTGAGCCATTTCACCTCACTCATAACTGTACAAGTTTGACCACCTCCATCGCCAACTAAACGACTGGTGGACCTGCGTAGGGAAAGACTACTTTAACAACCTCGGATTACGTGTGAGGAAAAACAGCAGCAGACATGAGATGAGCCAAAAGAATGTTAGGTAGAACACCCATCCGATCCAGGGCGTAATACGCCATTCATTTATTTTGCCAGGTGAATGAATCGACTATAATAAAGTCGCTTATGGGCGGAAAGGAAATCAATTTCGACATCCTACCCTCGATAGTTTGATTGGCAAGAGTAGATTGGTGATGTGGTTCTAACTTCCTGGTATCGTGATTTATGACCTCTCGTTTAAGCATGAAAGATTTCACGCCGGCAGGATTTGAAACATAAGCTTAACACCAAGCTTTGAGTTCATCAGTCTGGCTTTCTTCATCTGCGATTACTGTCGCTTCGGAACTTGGGATCCTGCCAGCTCTATAACCTTTGATATTGTTAGGCAAACACTGAATTACTCCGTTCAGACCAATACCTCGAGTGAGAAGATGAGTGATGTTAACCCGATTCAAAAGGTCGGTGATTTTACTTTTGGTCCCCTTGTTTCCTTGACGCTTCGTTCATTGTGCCAACCAGTGATATTCACGTGATATCCTAGTGATCACTTAATTTGCTCTCGGATCATGTCATATAAAGTAGTTGCGTTTGTGGAGAAGTTTGGGAAACGAGTTCCGAATTCGCTGCCATCAAGGTCATGGGGCGAGAATGGAAGATCGGGAGGAGGACTGAAAGGTATTAGATATAAGTATGCAGCTATCAAAACAGAGAAAAAAAGGTAGTTGTACCAGTACCATACTCCTCGAGTTGGATGGGTAGGTACAGAGCTCGCGGATGGCGTTGAAGTGGGTTCATCGGTGTACGAATAAGCGGGAGATTGTTCTTCTCAATCCTCATACCCATCACTGGTAGCAGAGAAAGTTGAGGCATCATTGAGAGCTGGATTATCTCTGTACATCATGGGTGGGGGGAGAATTGTCGCTTTGCCCATTTTTAAACTTCTTTATTTGGTGAGCTATCAAGTTTAATTCTGGGGAGAACGATGATAGCGAGATTAGGATTTTATACTAGAAGATTGATGATGGATCAAGTCAGATAGTTTGTAGGCAGTCGAGGATGTCTGAAATGTACTCTATCCTGTGGAGAGACTCTCCAATAAGACAATCTCTATCTGTATAAATCCGGCGCAGCGTGATCATAATCCATGGGAAGCAATCCGTCTATTTCGTCGAGGATTTTTGACGATGGTAATCTCCATTAATGTCATTGGAAGATAGAAGAATAACTTCACAGCTTGGGCATCTCAAGACATAGTACTTTGAAGATACCAAAAATACCTAGGATGGCTGCCGATTTATCATTGGCACATAGGCCAAGCTCGCCGGCATGCGTTCGAGTGTTTATTTTGGACTTGCATAAATGATTTCATATAGACGGGAGGAGCACCTACTTATCGCTGGGTGTCTAGGTATTGATAAGGCAAGGGCCACCGATCGAAAATAAGATGGGGAAGATGGGAAACTAATCAACATCGCAAACCTTGAAGTTTAAGCTTATTACTCCGTATTTGTGGGGAGTAGTCGTGGGGAATCAACACCTAACGTCTCGCGAAATCGATTGCATGTTTTTGAATTACACCAGTTCTTATGCGATATCATCTGGAAAAGATCAAGTAAATTTTAAACAGACATTTACAGTAGTTGGGTTATAAGACACATAAGGCCACTTATCCAACTCAGCTGAAATAATTACAACAACCCCTCATATGTCAATATCAGAACAAAATAAACAACTCCATCTAGACTCATCGATTGGGAGTGTATACATTGTCCTTCATTTCCTCACCAAGACCTCCAGAGTATTGTGAAAATTAAGTACAGCCCGGCCTGTAAAACAATCGTGAATATGAAAAGACTAGAATACACATCATAAAGCGGAATCCGGACAGAGCGCCATTAAAGTAAAGTTATCCGAATCGTGCTGGGGTTGTAAAGGAGATCTTTCGACGCCGCACAACTATCGTGTCTTCTGGCACTACAGGTGATGGTAATGGTAATACCAACGATGACGGTTCATCGATAATTTGAGAGCCATCACTCCTAGGTAATCCTATGTCATCGAGTGTTGTCGGTCGTGGAACCTGGGGTGTCTCCAAGGTTGGAGCTTTCTTGCTCTTCATCCCCTTGCGTGGTCGACGTGCTGGCTTATACAGATCACTTTTTTGTCGCGGATAATGAGAGGAAAAGGGATCCTCTAATTCTTGGCTACTGATGTGGTGTTGATCTAGCAGGAGATTTAGATTCACCGAGTCGTACTCAATTTTTTCAAATGGATCGACCAAAGTTGGCGTTGGTGTCACTGGATTGACGGAATTGCATGCTTGAGATGATGCATCATCAGGGGATGTATTGATACCAATATTTTGACTCGATGCCTTAACATGGCTACCACAAGTAGAAGCAGAACTGATCTTATCCACTATTGTCGACTTTGAAATGTTCGAGCTACGTTCTTCGCGGGTTTGAGCGCAGTCTCCTGTTAAAATCACTGAAGAGATTGTAGTTCCCAGATCGTCGATCTCCACTATGTAATGGTTCCCATTCTTGTCCTTCGTCTTGACCAGGAAGGTTAGAGAGTCTCCGTCTAGGTGGAGCTCCAGGGAGTATCGTATATAGAAATACCCCTTCTTCTTTCTCAGTACGGAGTGGTCCGAAATCTTTTTGCGAAAATCAACATTCAAGGTAATAGTTTCTGAAGTTTCGGGAAGAATTAGCTAAATGTAGGCTGTGAGAATGAGAGCAAATGCTGATTACATACCGCACTGTGCCCCTTGAAGTTTCTTTGGAACAGTAAATCTACCTGGTCCAGGATGAACATCCCAAGCGTTTATAGTTTCCTGCCAAGAAAGGTCATCGTATTCACGGACGAATCGTTCTCGCCAGAGATATTCGTTGCTATCTGAGGTGAAGATTTGTTTCGACGAGATCTTCTCACCCTAAACCAATTCATTAGCCGACTAGAAACTGGGTACCTAGTAAGATGATAAGAACGAGGAAATATACCACTTTACCCATCCAATCATGAGCCTTGAATTCCCACGAATGATCAAATTGGTTCCGGGAGGGCTGATAAATCTCACGTGGTCCTTCCTTTTCCGACCATGGAAATTTTGTTAAAATAGAATATGAAGACTTTAAAAGTCTTGATTCCACGATATCAGGATTTGCGGCCATATCAACAGCCCCAGCTGCCACTGGCTTGCTTGTGAGAGTCAGGATTGTTTCTTTGAAGCTCTATTTTAGATTCATACCTATCTTGATGTTGGCAAAATTTGATATTCAATTCCTTGCCAAGCTCGAACAAGGCATCTTTAACAATACTCATCATGGAGTATCCACCGCCAAGAATCACACGCTAAATTTGTTAGCATCGAGATACTTGTTGATCGGTCAATGAGAACTTACGACTGGTTTGATAGGGAGCCGCTTGATAAAGATTCGTAACTCACTTACAATTGGATCAATTGATGCCTCTTCAAAGAATCCAACGATTATTTTCCTAATGTTTTGTTAGTATGTATTGCATAAATGGGATACTATGTCATACCATGGTATTCTTAGCATGCCAGCCGACCAAGGCGGAGATCTGGTTTCATCTGCACGTATCAAGGCATGATAAAAGACGTAGCAATTATCCGAAGCAAGATGGCCCGGTATATTCTTTGCCTTTTGAATCTGCCAAATCCAGAGAGGCAAAAGATCATCAAGTATACGTTTGATATGATCCTCGATGTAATCATTCTTCTCTTCGAGTAAAGAGCGAAAATATTGTTTCGCGATGGGCCACACACTTTCGGAGCCATATGGTAGACCTTAAACCGTGAATTGTAAGTAATATAGCGGGCGAAGGACATAGTCTAGAATGACAGTTGTAGTGGCTACCACAGTGTACTTACTCAAAGGTAAAATGCCAGCTGGGGAGACTTGTGTCACCGACTTCTTGTCTTCATTCAACCCAACTATTTGGTAAGCGTCAATATCCTATATTGAATCAGCATGATGGGAATAAAACTGGAAGTGACAGAAGTTTACAAACCACAGTATAACCCCCGCAATCAGCAATAACAATTGCATCATCTTTCTGTACGATTGTAAGCAATGAAGGTCATTGAAAGAAAGAAAACTTACACTCAAACTTCCTCCACTCTTGAGATACTCTCGAAAGAATGCCTCTGTTTCAGAAACGAATTTGATCTGACGACGAGTAAATCCAAGAGATTCTGCAGCATCTTGAAACACTTTGTAAGTAGACATCTGCCAGCCTGATGGTTTTCCAAAGACCAGACAAACATCTCCTAGATTGCATGATGCTCGACTCATCGTCAATTTCAATAAAGCAGATTCATCAAAGAATAATCGATTCAGAAGATGCACTGCCATTTGAAATGGGAATTGATCAACATTGAGTTTTAGAAGCTGTGATTTGGCGACGATGTCCATGTAAGAGTGGGAGCCTGGTTGCAAACCGCTTTTCCAATATCGAACTAATCTACAAGAATCAAAATTCATCGATAATCTTGCATCTGTAATATCGTCTCCCCAAAGAGGGACATTGGAATCAGGGGGGTAGTATAATCCTGAAGGGATAGTTGTTGATGTTGTCGAGCATACGTCGGGGGAGGTTGTTGACCCAAGGAAGATATCATGCGTTGTTCCATTTCTTCCAACTCGATAACATACTTTCGTGAGGCAGGTACCGATGTCCAAGCCAACGAATAGTCCTGAATTAGAGTCCATGACTGTTTATTGAAGTGGAAGAAGTACTAGGATAGACTTTGCCAAAAAAAAAGTGGTGAAAACTGAGAATGAGTGTAAAGATGGAAGTCAGAAAAGTTGTTGCAAAAGACGGAGTGATTGAAAGAATAATAAGCTGGAAGATAAAAGATGTAAACATACCTGGAATAATCTGAATTTCCTGAGTTTCTGATGGGTTTGTTGACAACAGACAACTTTTCTATAGACAATAGTCGCGTTCGCATGAACGATTGACGTGACTTTAAGGCTTTACCCGTCAGATCTCCGCATAGAGAGGGGTGATTTTCTTTTTTCATCCTGCACAACACCCCTAATACAGAATGCAGGAGATTGGAAATGCTCTTTCAAGTACATATTCTCCTTTTACCCAATTACTTTGAATCTTCAGTGCAAACTGAAACAAAGTGATTGCCTGTTGCTGTAGAAATGTGTCTTTCGCTGCACTGTGCGAAGCCGCACATGCACCATCTGCATAGTAGCCCCCCTGTAATATCTGCAACGTATCCGTGATCAAGTATTGAGCAAAAATGTCGGGTATTGATATGGTGAAGCGGGGGATCTTTCAAACAAGGACTTTTATTAATCGCGCACACCCACCTGGGTTTCCATTGATTTTAGAGGAGCCTTCCCTCGACGCCACCAAGTGGGGCAATATTAAACCAGGGCTAGCCGCGATGCAGGTGTCCACAGAAAGATTCAAACCACTACGCCGAGTGTGTCTGCCCAGCAGCAACTATGTAGATACCCGTCTGTAGTCCCGAATATATTGGCATTGTATTCCTTGATCAATACCATATAACTTGCCTCATTCGCTCGGATGGGTTCTGTTGGAATCCGTGACCCGAAACTGAGCCATTTTCTGTGCAAATCTTGACATCCCGATCCGAATTTCTTTACTTTTTCTTCAGGTGGTACTAGGGAAGTCTCGAACTCCAAAACTTTCGCAGTCATCGGGACCAAAGAACAGAATATTGAAGACAAACGTCGAGTTGTCATGTTTTGGAATAAGGAATCCTCGGGACAACCTGAATAATAAACTGTTTGAAAAGATCAAGATAAACAACACACAGTTTGTTTATTGTTTATCTTCTGTTGTTTATTGTTCCTGATTTGGATTTTGGTTGTGTTTTTCGATATCTTAAGTTTACCTAGTAATCTTGTGTTTAAGTATTGGGTGTTCTAGCATCTATTTGCAAGCACTCGATACATCAATACCTGAGTTTCTACACACGTAATATCTTCATCCTCATTTCAGTAGAAGCTCGTCATCTTCGATCGATTTATTTATTCAACATGCCGAGAGACGCAACCAGCGAAACTACAATTCGGAGGAGAGAAAAGGCCGAGCAAAAAAGGATACAGGCAGAGAAAGACAGTGAGAGAAAAGCAAAGAAGATTAAAGACTTGACTGATTTCGGGACCGAGCGTTCACCAGCATGTGAAAGCTGTCTGTCAAGAGAAGTCAAGTGTATTGTGTTCCCTCCAAACTACAAGTTCGATTCAACGAGCCATCCACTCGGGCACTGTGAGTTGTGCTATCAAAACAAGACCAATTGTGTATACGACTTGAAGGATGCCGATGGAAAGTGTGACCACTGTCACACACACAAAATGGAATGCACAAGGCGGCCGAAAAGAATGGAAAACGTTCCGTCCAAACAGCTAACGATGCCATGTCTAAATTGCAGTAAGTGAAACCATGACATATTGACTTCCCTTAATTACTAGAAACTATCTTTTTGGTGGTGTGGCTTCTTTGCACTTTTTGATTTCCATCGTTGAAACTTGCTAATCGAATTGTCATAGTGAAACTCAACAGTAAGTGTAGCCTGCCAGTAGACCCAAAGACATCGAAAGTTCTTGAAATCCCACAGGCTCCGAGGATACTGGGGGTGAAGCGACATGTATTTGCTGTCCACACAGCGCCATGGTACAAGAGCTTGTCACAGGGTGACCAAAACAAATACAAAGCTGAGCAAATACAAGCCTCTGGTATTCCAAAGTCCGGCGGACCTTGCCAGCGCTGTGTTGTACGCGGATTACCATGTAGGGTGTTAAACCCAAATTCGAAAATTGCAGAGTTCACTCGGCCGAGCAGATGCGCACTTTGCATCGTTGACGAGAGCACGGCCGAAAACATCAGCAGAAGTTGTACATTCAATGATGATGGAATAACCCATGCCGAGCACGAGGCAAGCCTTCCGATTTTTACAGGAAATGTTCCTCTGCTCTGGGGCCCTTCTGGTCTGGAAAAGCCTACACCAGCACCGGTAAAATGTACCGACAACAAATCTTCGATATTTATTCCATCACCACTGGAGGACGAAGTGATCATGCAGTATCCTCTTGAATCTGCAGAGGTACAAGAACGCCTGGAAACCATTCATCGCTTTGTCGATTACACTTTAGACATGCTCGCCAGCGAGAATATCATACGGAATGATTGTCTTCCACTTTCTGGGCCCAACATTGCCCAGATAAATGATCACGACCGGAACAATAGGAAAAGCATAACAACCGTTTCACTCCTTGTGAACTCTTTACGAATCATGAATCTAAGTGATATTCCCGACTACTTCCAATCTTCAAGCCTGGAAAAATTGAGCATGAGAACAATATTTCGGGCGTTGGTATCACGATATTTGTTGGAAGCTGTTTTTTCGCGCATGCCAAAAGACATAGAACAATTTCGAGCCAGTATAAACCCCCACTTGCAAGGTCAGTAATACCCTGTATCGTCTGAAGATGAGTGAATATTAACATACTCTAGGACATCCCGAGAAGATTGATAATGCGGTTGAGAATTATTTCTGTCTTCGGAACAACAGCACACGCTTTGTCGACGACCCAATAAGAACTGGATACGGAGATCTATGTTATCTCCCAGATAACTTTACCTTTCAGGAAATTGGCAAGGAGTTAGTCGACGTACTTCTACCTCTATGTCTTCTCAGCGGAAAGACTCGACAAGAAATCGTCACTGCTTGCACGTCATCGTGTACCGAAATTGCTTATCTAGCCAGCGAGTTGAATCTCATCGTCAAAGCCAGACCTCGATCACCGGTCACATTCTATAGTCCTGTGCGAGGGGATGTTGTTTCTGAGGACAATTTTCGTCTGTTCCATGATAACCGCAGACAGTTTGGTGAGGTACAAATAACGCTATTGCTCGGTATCAAACCTGCTGGCAATCCGTCGAGGCCTTATGCTGCTGCACGAGTCGAGCTTTTGAGAGATGGAGAGGCATAGATCGAGGCTGGAAGTAGCCCTGAACTAAATGAAAAGAGTTGAGCAGGTTAATGGTTAACGGTTGATGGTTTGAGATGGTAGTATTTGTATCTGATCACGTTGAATGGCGATATATTTAGGTAGTTATACAAGGGCAGTATGAAGATCAATTCCATTCTGGTATTGAAATCTTGCGTCTTGATCGATTGTGAAGATTAATCTTTTATGCATGGGTGGGTGAGTGAGCGAGCGGTCATGAGGTATTATATACTTTCGGGTGGGATGAGTAGCGCAAATCGATAAAAGTCTACCTAGATAGGTAGGTACGAACTCAATATCAGAGACAGTGCACCGCATAATTAAGGTTATACAGGATGCGAGTGACCTATCGTTTGGTGACACTGTCATCTATTCCAATCGTGCAGAAAGTTACTATTAATAGTTATCGTGAAAATACTGAGCTCATCGATATGTTATTTTGAGAGGTTCGCCGGCTTATCTTCTCCCGGATACAGACAGCATTGATGATATTAGGCAACGTATGCCTTTGATATCCTTTGTTGCGTTCTCTCAATGTCGAGATAACACGATTCCGATATCTTGGATGATAATGATGATGACGACGATGGGAATGAGGGTGATGCAAGACAAACCTCCAAGGGGTTGTAGGCCAATCCTGCCCAAGAGACGTGAAGAAGATGACTGATCACTGCTGACGCCGATCTCATGGCACAACTAGTGACATCGCCTCAAAGTACAACTCCAACGACCATATCTCCGTGAAACTTTTGGCTTCACTTTCAAGATCGATATCACCCACCGCCATGAGTTTCGCCTTTCCATTGAATCACCGACATGAAACTCGGCCTTATACGTACGTCCCGAGTCCCAATACCGCCAGAAACGCTCGGGCTAAAAGAAGATATTGAAGAAATCTTCCCATGTCTCATATCCACTCTTGACACCTTCCACGATCTTTCTCCACATCTTGGGCGATCTTAGCGCTAGCGAGTCATATAATTGGCGGATATAAGAATATAAGAGATCCTACCGCAACATCCGCGGTCTACTTGTATCAATCCGCGCTCTCAAAATTGTGAATCTGTTGCTAGTTTCTCACTTCAAGACCTTCTGAGCGCGAAAGGATGGATATAAGAGAGGAGAATGTACTCGCTTGATATACACGGGATAATACTCAATTGATACCATCAATTTTTGAACTCCGCCGAAAGCCACATACCGGTACCATAGTAACCAAACATACTTTCCACAATCACGAATCTGAAACCGATCCCGTCAATCGCCCGACGGATCAGATATCCACCGATATGGATCAAAATACTTCGGCTGGGGGATCGATTGAATCAAAGGAAGAAAAATTATCGGGTAATGATTCTGACATTATTGCCGAAGAACTTCCTCAGGTTGCCCCGAATCCTCATGCCGATATTCCAAATGGAGGAGTCGTTGCATGGCTTCAAGTGGTCGGGAGTTTCTTCTTATTCTTTAATTCATGGTATGTTTTTCATTCCAAGAAATGGCACCCACTTAAAGCTGACAATGACAACAGGGGTATAGTAAATATGTTTGGTGCATTCCAAACTTTTTATGAAAATGGTTTACTATCTCACGAATCACCATCTAATATCTCATGGATTGGTTCTATACAAGCTTTTTTGCTCTTACTTGTGGGGGTTTTCACTGGTCCTCTCTTCGGTAATCTTTCCCCCTTTACCTCTCTTAAAATAACGAATTACTAACTTCTTCCTAGATGCCGGTCTCTTTCGTCCCCTCCTGTGTACTGGGACATTCATGGTTGTCTTCGGGATGATGATGACATCTATCTCCACAAGCTACTGGCAAATTGTGCTTGCACAAGCTATGTGCATGGGGATTGGATTGGGATGTCTTTTTGTTCCTAGTGTTGCGATCGTTTCTACTTATTTCTCAACACGGAAAGCTTTCGCAACTGGTATTGCGGCTAGTGGAAGTTCACTTGGTATGTAATTTCCTCATTGATTATTATACCATTCAACACAGCGGGAACGAGTTGGTAGCTAATATTCTCAGGGGGCGTACTTTACCCAATTATTTTCCATAATCTTCAACCTAAAATCGGCTTTGGTTGGACAACAAGAGCCCTTGGATTTATATTCCTCGCTACTCTTTCTATCTCCATCAGCATAATGAAGATGCGTGTGAAGCCATCGCAAAAGCGAAAGCTGATAGATCTGGCCGCATTCAAAGAACTACCATACCTGCTCTTTACTATCGGCCTCTTTTTCGGGTTCATGGGTCTTAATATTCCTTTTTACTACATCTCATCCTACGCCATGGATGAAAAAATCATGAATTCAAACTCGGCATTCTATATGTTGAGTACCATCAATGCGGCATCTATCTTCGGTCGTATCATCCCCAACTATTTTGCCGATAAATTCGGTCCCTTAAATATCATCATACCAGGAACACTCATCGCAAGTGTTGTGGCATTCGGCTGGACTGGTGTTCATTCTGTTGGCGGTCTGGTCGTATTCGCCCTTCTCTATGGATTTTCCACAGGGTGTTTCGTATCAATTCCACCCACGATCATCGTAACGCTTAGCCCTCACATGGGCGTCGTAGGCACGAGAATGGGTATGGCTTTTGCAATTGGTGGATTGGGTCTTTTGGTCGGTACACCAGTTGCTGGACAGATCCTCTCGAGTTCCGGATATGTTCCTACCATAGCATTTTGTGGAGCATTGCTTATCGCAACAGTGGCTTTTTTTATTGCAGCTAGGTTGAGCAAAACTGGGATGCATGTTAAGAAGTTTGCTTGATTTAGGAGAAGATGCTACGGGATAGATATGGGAAAAGCGGACGAGTAGCACGAATTACTAAACATCATTGATATGAGCCTCAAAAGAAGCAAACGTCACCATAGATTAATGACTTGTAAAATAGATTTCAAGATAGCATTGGTTTAGAAAAGTATATACGCAACTTTTACAACTACACTCTCTGCTTTTATCAGCTTCATGAGACATTACCTTCGACGCATTCTTAGTCTTCGACCTCCTTGATTCGAATATCTTTCGTCCTTCCGCTTTGTATATCATTGACATTAATATGAAGTTCATGCAAGCGCTGCTTGCTCTCAGCTGTCAACGACAAATTGCAAACGACAAATTGCACTTAGAGTTCCTCACAGAACCATCCACAATAACATTTAAGTGAATATCATATACTCGCTAACATCAAGATGCAACAAGCATACTAGAATTGCCCAATCCTCAGGATATTACCAGTAAGCATCAAGTCTCCAAACACCAATTTTCCTGTTTCCACGACGCCTTGTTGGAAGTGAAAGTATCAAATCCCAAACAATCCCATCAATTTCCAAACCCCCAGCTCCACAATGCTCTAACACTATGTTCACCTCCTCCATCCATCGTATTTCTTACAGGCACCAACGGCACTTTAAGAACTAACTCCACATTAGCGTCACCCCTGCCAAGAACACAACATACACTTACGAGTCGAGATATCCCTAATAGATTCCCTAGCAATTCTCCTCCCCAAATCAATAGGTTCCTCATCTTCATACACAGCTCTCACATGACCCCTCTCATCTTTCACCATCCTCCCCCTTCGAATCGGTTTTGGTTTTGAGAAAAGTTTTCCTGAAGCTTGGCTATCTCGACGACTCGCGCTATTTGCATTCTTGTACTTATTCCCCGATTTACTTTTCCGCGCTGCCTTTCCGATAAATACCTCCCGACTCTTCCCCATTCTCTCCCGCAGATTCGCGATTTTTGCCTCTCCGATGTAGAATACCTTGATGTCTTCACCATACTCGAAAATGACAGGATGGCCCTCGCAAGTTAGATGTTCGTCGTTGAATATAGAGGTTCGTCGAGAAGTGAATGGTCCTTTGGAACAGAAATGGATGGTTCCCCATCCACTTGCATATCCCGAGTCTATGGATGCAGAATTGGAATGTGATGGTTTTGGGGGCTTGGGGTCGGTGTTACTGCGTGTGCGGGTTTGGTGAAGGGTTGAGGAGATGAGAGGTTTGTTTGTGAGGAAGGGCATGCTAAGATGAGATGAGATGGTGTGAGATAGGTTTAGATGGAATGAAATGGGGTGTTTGTGGAGTAGAAGGTTAGTGTTAAGGTTACTTTAGAATAATGGTTCTCCACTATGGATAGTACCGCGATGCTACAATATAAGATATTACCAACACTTGCATGGCATTTTTGTTCGGTCATTTGTATGAGAAAAAGATTCGTTGTGGCAGTAAAACAGGATTCATGACGGTTAGTTGAAACTTTGACCTGGAGTGGTGTGTGCTTGAGGGGGTCGGAGGTTGGCGGTTAGCGATTGTGAATTTGCCTTGCTCCAGCCTCTTGAAGGATCAACGGTTGGTTTTCTTTTGTAATACAACAAAAGATCAAAAGTTGATGGTTTTTATGACGCAAGTTGATATTGATATTTAGAATGGTCTGTTGCTCGAGTAATTCGAGGGACAGTTAATCAAGAATTCTCGTTGAAAAGGAGTAGACACTCAGTATTTCATGAGTGTGGAGAAAAAAAGTAATAAAGATATAAGTACAAATTGGCTAACTAATAAATCACCTCAATCAAAAGAAGTGACAATAAAAATAGTAAAATACCGGCTGAAAATGGAGGGAAAAGAGCGAAAGTAGAAGTAATTACATCGTGACTCCTGTAGGACTAGACCTTCACCATCATACACGAGTCCCTAGCTCATACACACGATGCTGATTGAGAGATGCTAAATTAAATTTTCTGTAGTCTTGAACCTGATAAGTATGAGGCTCATGATCATTGAGAGGGACTCTCGCCAAATATCTATTCCCAGCAGTTTTTGGGGCCGAGGAATCGGGATTCTCCCTTCTCCTAGAAGATGGCTTATGTCCATTGCGTGAGAAATCGTAACCATTATTGGGGGGCTGGACTAATTTGTTGTTAACTTATTACTCTAACAAAATAAGTGATGAAACACAGAAACATACCTTTCGCGTCTCTCACACGATTTCTGCTCGAATTCCTAACATCTCTTCCACGGCAGTATTCCGGATCAGATATAGCACCAGAGTCTTCGGTTCGATCTCTTGGGTCGTACACATCTCTACGCGGGCGTGGATTAATATGTGAAGTTGCTGATAATTCTGTATATGGTGATTTCAGCATGGTCGGAGGCGCATCTGATGATGTTGTTTTTCGTGGGGCCAATGAATTTTTCGAACTAGAACGGCTGCTTGGAATTTTTGGTTTAACCGTGGATTGACTACGAGTCGAACCTTTACGTTGGACTGGTTTAAGAGAAGCATTGTCTCTGCTTGAAGAACCCCCGTCTCTTACAAGAGACCCGTCGCCTTTACACTTGAATTCAAGACCGTCTTCATCTTCATCGTTCGAGCTATCTGAATGGCTGAATAACGATCTCACACGTCCATGCTTTTTTGATTTGGGAAGTTTCGGGCTCGGCTCACCAGTTGTGGGAGTATGCCATGTTTTGGATGTGAATAAACCAGGACGATGAGATGATTTGTCTTGGACATAATCCGAATGTCTTCTTCGTTCTTGCTTTGGCCTATCACTATTAGATTGTACCGAGGCGGTGGCTGGGCCTTTTGCCGCCTTGTCTTTGTTTTTTCCCAAAAACCCTGGCATGGGGTAGAATTGATTACACGGTGCAAAGAGATATGGTCTCTATGTATGTATAGCACGGGTGTTATGGTTCAAACATTGCAGTTAGGCATTGTACTAAATATAAAACATGTTATCACTCGCTTCACTCGGCAGCTGGTCATGGGCAGCGGAGGTCAAATCTTGGTTAGAATCCGCTTCATGGCTCACGAGACATTGAAGAGATCGATCAAACGGGTAAAGACCTATCCAACCCGATTTCTGGCCATCAATGATTGTTGGAATCTGAACTCGACCTTCAACGCGGCTTTTTGTGATGTCTTCAGTCTGCAAGGCGTAACTAGCACGACAAACCCAGGCAAAATTTCAGCTTTCCATAATTTAGAACGGCAATAACAATATAAACAAGCCTAGTAATATGAAAGGTATTTGCGATTTTGGCAAAACCATCTTGAGATGTGCCTTCTTGTACAATACCAAAGACTCCCCGCACAGAAGATGAGAGATTTTTTGATTAAGCAATTCAATAAAGAATTGTGCTTTGAAGCTCCTCGTATCATTGGTTCGGAGTCCAAGGCATCCTCAATTCCTAGTGACCAACAAGTACACCATGAACAGTACCGCGCGGTAAGAACCAACCAACAAATCTAGCGACAGCCAAAGGATTATTCAAGAACTAAAACCAAAATATGATTACACAATTATGGAGTGACAATTCTAAAGAACAATTGACTCAATTCAAACTGATGCAAGGTCACTCGACCATTATAATTTGTTGATTGGTGCGATGTGCATGGATTTCGAGTTACGGTGCCACATCCAATATGATCAAGATTATGTCATGGTAATACCGTTCTCATTGGAATGAGGGAATTTTGTACATGATAACTAAAGTCAGCCAGCCCCTGGCCTTCGACGATCATTGCGCAGTCAGACCAAGAAGACTTTCCGACACCATGAGCTATGTTTGTATTGAAACATACCTCAATCGACGATTTCAACGGCTATGTTGAGATACTTAAGCTAGCTGGAAAGAACGATACCAAATGGAATACTCTCAAGGGATCAGAATCTGAAGATGATCATTCTGAATACTAGAGAAATCGGTGTCTTCCGCGTCTTGATTCGCTAAATATTCAAGCTCGTAAAATAATCGAAGCGTCTGCAGACAGAATGGTGGCACGGGGCATGCTAGAACTTACAGAACATGGCCAAGCAAATACAACGGTGAGCTCAAATTTTCTCGCAAAGAACGAGATCCCTATGGATATTCCAGAAGGTTGGAATGCTCAGGCTCAAGAGCTCATGTCGTATGACGTGATACCAGCCATGTATAAATATGGATATGACCCTGCCCAGCATTGTGGTAAGTCAACAAGATCAATCCAAAAGTATGATACTCACTAAGAAAACGAAGTTCGACAAGTAACCATGGTTCATCTGAACCCTTTTTGAACTGGTTCGGGTTGTGAGCCATACTTGGGGTCAAATTCTCCTCGAAGAAGTGGCTTGGAAACACGGTGGACGGTCTCGAAACTATGAACTAATGAGACAAAAAAGCTGTCATCTTCTGAGACAGGAGTCCAATGCCGTTCGGTTCCCCACGTGGAATGATCAATGACAATGGAAATCAAAAGCCTTCCTGTCTACACAATCATATGTTGGTTTCGAGTATCAGATTGTATCCACTTCAAATCATAGGTATCTAAAGCCTGAAAGCTGTGAACATGTACAAATACAAAATCCTATTACTGTGCGAGAAACTAGATTGTTGAAGTCAACAAGTTCTTTGGCTCACCGCCAGTCGTCATTGAGATTATATATTTCTTCCCGCTGGATTACATACCTGTTGTCGTTTAGCTAGGTAACGAGATTTGCTCGCGATATGCTGATATGATGCGGGGTAAAATAGCGCACCACTCACAGACTTGAAACGGTCATGCATACGATCTGCTAAAGGGTGATCGTCATACCGAAATAATTCGGGGAAGTAAGGGGCTCTCGTAAATCTTCTTGGCAGTCGCTTGGCAGACGTTCAGCTTGGGTCAGCTCATAAACAGCTGATGAGATCGATGCACCTATGATGGCGTTAAGGGACATCTTATGAGGAGATAAAAGGATTGATATCCCATAACTTCATTCATTTCCTCATCGATAACTTCTCTCATATCTAATAATAAAACTTCCAGAAATTTGTCAGAAAATGAAGCTCAGTCAATCCCTCAGTATCTTCGCGCTCCTCGTAGTGTCGACTGTCGCCGTGGCTGTTCCTCAAGACAAAGCATGCACAGTATTTCTTCCTCTCCACCCTTACCCCAGGATTTTGAATTATCAAATCTGATTTTTGAACCATAGCAATGTCTCACTGAGGGTGCTTTCTGCTCTGGATTCGCCGGTCCTGTTGGCACATGCTGCGATGGGTTGTCGTGTGAAAACGAACCGGGAGTGGCAGATGATGCTCACTGCATTCGAAAGAAGAAGGTTCGTGCCATTTGTGACGTGTCCTGAGATAAGATACATGGTTGGATGAGGGTTGTACTGACAATGCCTTCCGATTTAGTGTTTGGCGAAGGGTGCTACTTGCGTGAGCATCGCTGGTCCCCAGGGTACATGCTGTTCTGGAAAGTGTACCTTCGTGGCAGCAGACTATAGTGTGTGCAAGTGAGGAGAAGACTATAGCAGATTGAAAATGCGCTTTTGCTGTGTTATCACTGGCAAACGGCCTTTGGGAATTCTCATCTTTTCTGTTGTTCGAAAATCCAAACCACTTTCTCCTATCTCTATCTTTTCAAAAGAAAATCTTAATTGTTATCATCGCATTTCTTCGAAGCTTGTCATTCAAAGATCTGAAAGCTAGCAATGAATTTATGGTCCGTCGTTTGAATTAAATTGTGATCTGAATGCTAAAAACTTCCCAGCGTTTAGATATTTATAGACAAACATCGCGCTTGTCATGACTTATAGCTATGCAGAAGTAAAAGCGTCATGTGCGCGATTCCTGGTAACCAAAATACTCTAAAAGCCCCGGGAACTTGTCTGCAAGAAGCGTAGCTTACTCTTCTTGTCTGTGTTGATGTTCTTTTTGTGTCGATTAGTGGGTGTGGAGAGATCTCGAATTGGTCACGGAAGAAGCTTTGGCGGTAAGCAAGGGCAGAACCTAGTTCCAACGACATCCATTATATAAATTCTCTCTAGTCTTCAAGAATTCAATATCTAATTTTTCTCTAGGCTCAGAGCATGATAGAATCGCCAATAACTTCTTTCCACCTTGTTTGATTTGCAAAACTGCACTTTCGGCACACCATACCTCGGCGTTCATGGCTACAATCTACTCTTTCTTGACCGTCAATCTTTGTCTCTGAACAAATCATGCTTATTTTATGCTAATCTCTATCTCAAACAACTACACAGCGTCTCGCCCCAGGAAATTTATTCATTTTGCTCTATGCCAATTGACTTGCTACTTAGGTAGATCACGAAACCTTGGATTTGCTTCATGAAAGGACTTGACTGGCCATGATGGTGCCGAATTATTGGGCTAGAGAGTCATAAATGACCTTGTCAGGTCTCTCAGTTCCAAGCGTCTTCATCTCAAGCTAATGGCAACCAAAATAGTCACCTCTGCTAGATATAGTAGTCTATTCTGTGTTTTTGGATTTTCCCGTCTGCTAAAAGTGTAATCACATAGGGTACTGCCCAAGACTACATTGCCTTGAAATGACGCGCTTAAGTACAGTGCTTAAGAAACTATGATTATACGTTCTTCTAGAGTATGGTGGCTGCGGTGTTTGAGAATCTCAAATTTCATCATATTTTGCTTTTGTATATGAGATCCTTAGAGTGGAAGTTGCACGTGCTTTCTTATGAAACCCCCCTTTCTTCCGCTTATAAGACTTCTTTTATGAACTAAAAGTTGACTGTTTTCATAATTCGGGTACCAGTTTTCCTGGAAATTGTTTCCATATATTCCTGTGACTTTGCATCATCTGCCTCAACTGTTGCTGATAGCCGGTCCCGAGTATACTGCTAAAACTAATCTCTTGGCATAAAAATACTCAGATTCCTGGAGTTTCAAAACCTGGGAATCTGTCTTGCATGTTTTTAATCATCTTCTCTATTTTGGCCTTTACAAGTGGCATCACCCTCTCACAGTCCGCCAGATCAGAATCATAATCTGCCAGCATATAATGCCTAATCAACCGTAAATCGACCTGTCCCTGGAAGAGAAGGAGAACATTCTTTCTTTATATCTCTACAGATTCGAGGAGATGGAGCCTTTCTCTCGTGTTTCTGGTATTCAGAACTCGTTCTGACTGCTCGATGTAGATCATTATGGAACAAATCAGCCATATATTGTGAACTATTATTGGCTTATAAAGAAGCATCGACGTCCATGGCAGCGGGGCTGTACCGTAGACGATCCGATAGCTTTTCCTTCTCGTCTATCTTCGCGTAATTGAAAACATGCTAATTCGTTGAATGAGCATTCCGTAGCATTTTCCCGTTTCGAGGCGAAACTGTTGATTGATGAAGGATGTGATAGGAGGAGTACAATCTTTCTGCCGCATTAAGTGCATTGCTTTGGGCTTTAGCACGAGAAAAAAATCGATATCTTCTTTCGTCAAAGACGAAGTCAACTCTTTATAAGCGTAGTGATCTCTCCTTGGGAAAACAAACAAGCCAAATCAGCCGGCAGACTATTGGAAGGCATCCGAAGCAGGCATCCGAAGTGGGCAAACTCCTTTAGACTTCCATTTGGTCTTCCCCAGATATTGAATAATTTTAATTTATAATCTAGAATTTCTCCCAAGAGTTGCAAGCTCGCACTGTTATCTTTGAATCTTCCAGTGTCTTTCTGATCCTATGCATTATTTTCTCGTGACGCATGAACCATTTCAATATCTCTTGGCTGCCTCATCTTCTTAACACTTGATTTATTACTAAAACGAAGATGCATGAGTAGCTCTGAATTTGGTTTGTCCAAAGGCTTCAGTCCCTTGTTCTTGACAAAAATATTTCCCTAGTTGATTGTGTCTAAATTGAGGGTTTAATGGTGACTCTTTCACTGAGTTCTCTTTCACTTCCTTGTTGCAACTCTATACAAACGTTCTGTAGATGGACTTTGTATATCTGGTTGATTCTCCTCCAAATTCTCAGCTACTGATGAAACTCGTCTTTGTTAAGTATCTGTATTTACACTGGCTTCATCGTTTGTAGTTTTCTTCTGTCTGTACCATATTGGTGATTTTTCTTGTTGGCTATTATCTGTCTAAAGGATTCTCGGGAATTCGTGAACCATTATGACCAACCAGAGTCTTTTATGATAAATCAGCTTACGTTATTGTGGTCCAAATGATTTTTGGGGGTTTTTTTTTGGCTGGCTGGGTATTCGTTGAAGGGTCGAAGAGTCAGATCCAGCCTAATAAGCCATGTCAACTAAAGGAGATAGTCAACAGTAGCTGCAAGGTTGAGAAATAATGAAATAGCCTCAATTTACAATCATGCACAAAGATTTACTTATTAGTTGTAGGAGGCGGTGTCCAATTAGATCATTCTGCCAACACAAACTTCGAATTTCTCGTTTAGTTGAGACTTACTAATCTTGATTTTCACAATACAGCAGCTACCTATGAATTGATTCGTTTACGGTTACAAGAAGATTTCAACTCAGATATCCATAGTATTTATTTTCTTCTTATACCAATCAGGGCAGGTTTGGTCACTCAGCTCATAATTGAGGAGACTAAAGTTGCATCTACGCCACATCTACTCAGTCTCCATCCATTGAAACACATCCATCACCCATCAACAACGAAAGCAACAACAACAAATTCCACAGCTTCTAAACTTTCCTCGACCCCAATACTACACTTAAGCATCATGTAAGTTTTATATTACTTTGAGACTCAATATCATTTCTAACAGAATTTCAGGGAGCCCACTACCTTACTTCCCAATGAACCAGTCACTGTCTCAATTGAAGATGGAACTTCTGTGATTATTCACAATGACCTCAAAGGCGATGGAATCGAACTACAGCAAATATAATCTGCGGAAACCTTTCAATATTTCAATCGTCTTCCTTGTGAGGTTCGAAGGAGGATCTGGCTCCAATGTTTCACTCCCAGAAGAGTCGACCTTCGTGAAGGCGTTAAAGATCCCGCAGATGAGACCAGTTTCATTGATCGACCATGCCCTAAAGCAAGATCTAGTCTCCCAACTACTGCGTTTGTCGACCACGAAAGTCGCAAAGTGACATTAACTTACTATTATCGTCTCATACAGCCAATCGCAACAGAATCTCGACGGTTCTCGCCAGCAACAATTAAAGTTCTTCAACATCTCTTCTCGGGAACTCATCTAGTCAAGCAGCCCAGCAGCCCTTCGAGCAGCAATTGCAATGTTATTTACTTCAACCCAAAGATAGATCATCTGTTCCTTACCATGGATGCTTTCCGTAGTTCCTCTACGCCCCGATATGTGCTCGATATCTTTAAAAGTTTTGAAGGATCCTCTAGCATTGTCAAAAAAATCAAATGCATTGAACTGTATTGTACCGGCCCTCCAGAAATCAACATTCATGGCGCTCGTGTTCTCAGAATACTTAAGAAACTTAAAGTCATGAACATTGTATTTGGTGGGGAGTCTGGAAAGCCTGATGAGCGGAGGGAGAAAGTTGTTACATTTGATATGACTCAAACAGGCCACGCAATTTCTGGAATGGACCATATGAAGATTACTGAAATAATCGATGGTAATCGTTGCATTCCATACTACAAGGAGAAGAATGAAAAAGAGCGAATCAAGTTTGCTGGTCAAAGACCTTATGCACTACTAGTTTCAATGCTAGGATTGGTAGGCTTTTACATTTATCACAATCGTCGATACTTGAAGCAAGTGGTCGACTATTTCATGTTCTGATCACCTGGTCATAGTCAAACAATACCATTTGGGATGAAAGCAGCTCGGAATGAAGGGTATGGCGGATATCAACTGGAAACATGTATGAGAATGAGAACCTTTGGCTGAGCTCTAGGACAGTCAACGACAGCGTCTCAAAAAGTTGAAGCTATATTCAACAATCAAAGCCTATTAGTCTTTGAATCCAATAAGCATTCAATTATTTTAAAATATTAAGTCCATTGTGTTTGTGATATTTAGTTTAAAAATTAAGTGTCTGTATTCATTTCACCAGCTCAGACAGGTCAATTCTTCTTCGGGGATTCAGAACCCCTTTGACCTGGTATTCAGTAGATGTTTTAATATGTTCAATGCTTCAGTTGAAGAAATAGAAGGAGCCATATTACAAATGATTTTGCAAAGCTGTGTGGTTTTGAATGTGCATTGCTCTGATATAATCAATTTGATATTGACAAAAGTCCATGGCTATTGGAGACGCACTGTCACAGGTAGCCTTGGAAGACAACAATAATGCTTCTGTTGTAGAAGAATAGTCACCGCATACAGTCTGGATCTGGATCATGTGATCATAAATAGGGCACTGTGTTAGCTAGTGAGGCGCTAGTGCTTCCTTTCAAGGTTATGTAAGTACTAGCTGCCCATGGATAATAATGACTAAAAACGGTTACCCATAATAGACTGAAACACTTCATACCAACAATTACACTCCTGTCAGCCCAGCTTCAGTAAAGCAATAGGTACTCTTGTTATCTAGCTATCCACATATATTTCCAGACTTTCATCTTGTGACTGGCAAAGCTTTTAAATAAACTCCAGTGTCAAGTCAAATCAAGTCAAACCAGACGTCCACCATGTAAGATCAACTTATCTTATATTACCTATTCAAAGTCCTTTAGACAATTCTCTGACCTGAAGCCTAGGGAACAAGAAAAGGCTTTTGTAGCCTTGAAGGTTGAAGTCTCATCAAGTACATCAGAGAATGAGCAATTTTCAATCACAGCTACGTAAGAATCATTCTCATTATTTACATCGGCGACCGCTAACTCTTTTTCCCAATCCAGATCCTTTGATGACTCGAAATCGGGCAATCATACAATCACAGATTTTAGTTCAGATATGCCGAGCATTGTAGACGGGGGTCTCAGTCAAGAAAAACTCACAGAGCTTATAAGAACCAGAGCTATTCCGGCAACAACCTTCTTATGTTTTTCTCATTTGCCTTTGGAACTTCGATACAAGATTTGGCGCCACTCTTTTCCACGACAACATCTCATTTTGAGCGAACACTCCTTCATGAGACCCCTATCGTCTCCCTTCCGACACATGCCTTCATCTTTATTTCGTAGCCATGTCAACCTCCCCATGGCATCTGCAACCCGAGAGAGCCGAGCTGAAACTTTGAAGCATTATTATGCACTCTACCAAGAAAATTACAGAGTTCCAAGAACAACGTCTTCTAGTGCTTTTCAGGTAGCGGTTTCCGGATCCAATGACTACTTGAGTGGTGCAACAGATTTGCGATTACCACGAGTAATGTACTTCAACCCGAACATCGACTGTCTCATCCTAATGTACTGGGATGTTAAAGCTATATCTTCCGATCTCCACGATATATTTCCACCATACAATCAGGAAATTGTGAGATGTCTCGAGAGTATTCGTGAGGTCAGGGTGTATCTCGTAAAATTGGGAATCCCCGGGATTGACTATACAGGACTTAACTATACGATTGATGTGGTTAGGCTGTTAAATATTATTAAGCGTTTCAAGAATCTTCAACGTATTTACTTGATCTTGCACAAGTACGCAAGAGTTCACATTGACAACCAATTACATAGAGAATTTACCAACAGGCTGATCAAGAAGCATTGGACTGGACAGGCGGAACTAGAAATTGTATGGGGAAAGGAGGACGAGGATGGCGTATAGGTTGAGTTAAAATGAAAGAGGAACCTGGTGGAATGGCAACAAGAGGAGAGCATGAGATCTGTTTCATTCATTGATGAATTTGAATGAGATTGAGATTTATTACAGGCTGATGACGGTTTGTCAAAAAGCTTTCTGTAGATTGATAGTTTGGTCCAGGTGACTTAGTTTTCTATCATTGGCAAAATCAAGCAGCAAATAATCAAACAATTGGGAATCTACTATTTCTTCATTTATGATCTATAAAATGAGATTGAATTCCCAAATTCCATAAAGTCTTGTAAAATTTGAAAAGTATCTTTCGAGAAGAGTGAATCTATAGGGCAATTCTATAGTTGTGAATCAATAAATTCTGTAAACTTAAGGAATAGACGTTCAAATTACAACCTTGGAAGTATCTAGAGATAGGTACCTGGTATCTAGGTAACTCATTATCCACCCTCTTTGGAAGTCTTATTGATAGGTCAGCTTTGTTAATTCATGGTAATAAGATATGGTGAATTAGATCCGAGCAATGTTCTTGATGCATCTATCAATGTCTTCGAGAGCCACATGATTAATATACAGCTTCCCGAGGTCATTTACTAATGGTAATACGGTATGGTGAATTATATTAGGGCAATGTTTTGATACAGCTGCCGATTAGCCGAGATCAATATTTTATTATATAAACGTTCACTTCGCACAACCTTTTCGAACAACACAGTCTCACAGTCTCGAGAATACAATCAACAACTACTCCATTGTAAAGATCTTTCTCTTTTGCATAACAGTTTCGAACAATACTTCTTCAAGAAATATACTCAACAACCATCACAAAACCAACAAACTCAATTAACAATTACGGATCATAGTAACACCATGTAAGGAACACTTCCCAATAAGTTGAATGACAACTAATTGTTCTTTCTCAAAGGACTCCAAAAGGATCATCCGGCAGTAAAGCCAAGAAGTCTAAGAAGTCACAAAGCACGAAGGTTCAAACCAAAAGACCTCTAGCTAAGACGTCTCCAGCCATGAAGAAACCATGGGGTGTCGACAAAGGAACCCAAACGACTGATCCACCTAAACTCACAGAGTTCACACCCTTCCCCAGACTACCACTCGAAGTGCAACGACAAATCTGGCGCTCCAGTTTCGAACCCACAAAAGTCGCGCTCCGATGTGGAGTCGTACGAACCATCCCACGCGGCCAGTACGTTCCCTACGATTATCCGTACGAGCAACGTTCTAGAGATCGTCTCATCTGCATGCAACACAAGACTCCGCCTACCAGCAGAATCCCCATTGCCTTTGTCAACCGAGAAAGTCGCGCCGAGACACTCCGCCACTACGTTCGTCTCTACCAGGATCTTCATACACCCGAGCACGGCGAAAATCTTGTGTACCCGTGTACGCTCTATTTCAACCCGGAGATCGATACCCCCATCTTCTCCGCAAACAAGACGCAATACACGTTTGACAAAATACATCTCTCCCTGGAGAGACTATTTCCCGCATACGACCCAGTTGCCGTCGAAACCATGAAAAGAATCCGCAAAATCGAGATCGAGTTCGCAGGATCATACGAATCCAATCGCGATTCATACGATCTCGATTCCTGTCGCGATGCCCTGGCGATGTTTGAGAATCTGGAAATCGTGCAGATATTGAGTACCAACGGGCGTCCCAATCCCTCGTTCGACGCGCATTCCTTCATCTCCCAATATTACTCCCGCGAGGGAAATGACCCGAGCTGGAATAGGAAAACTCCAGTGCTGGTGCGCTTCTGGTCTCCGCCGGAGTGGCTTTTCAACATCAACAAATCGAACGATCCTGAGGCAATAGCTCAAAGGTTACGCTGGCGTGAAGAGCAAGCTTCCAGACAATAAACCTTTGATTGCTTCTGTGTGAATTGAGAACTGGATGGCGCATCGAGGATGCAGAGTATAGATATTACATTTCAGGACCAGCAAGAAACAATCTCGAGTTGACTTTCAGTTCTTTGCAGAAGAAGCTGTTTCTGAATACCATATAATAAAATACATATCTCAACTCATTTTCCACTGTGAAAAAGAGCCTTGCAATAGTTTTATGTGCACACTAATGCAGATACCAAAGAATCAAAACAATCACCTTACTCACAAACCATAAACTCACCACTAGAAATCTTAAAGCCACTCTCCTTCCCACCACTATCTTTTCTCTGTCTTCTGCATTGCCCCTCTCAGTCTCTTATCACTCCCCACATCATCCCTCATCAATCTAACCATCAATGCTCACCATCTCATCTTCTCTTCTCCCAGTATTTTCCGTTCAATTTTCCACTTCAGTAAACACATTCAGTACCTCCTTTCTCTTTCTTTCCACATCATCTCCTATTCTTTCATGATTTTGTAAAGATTGTGTAGTTAACCTCCTGCTTCATACCCAACGTAAACTCTAACCACCCCCAATAAACCACACCACAAATATCTAATCCTCCTATCTTTCAATTCACTGTCATAGAAGGCACCAGAGCAACAGGTTGAATTCAACTCTCCCACCACATCATTCATCTACACAACAACATTTCTCACTCTTCGCTTACCATCTCACAAACCCCAAAGTGAGTTAGCAGATTCTTTGAGCCTTTACCTTTATGATTTACTACATCTACCACTCTCTCAATTTTCCAAAACTCCAGCACCTCCAGCGCCTCCAGCACCTCCATGCGAACCCAGCATAATTTGCCAGACTTACAATACTATGAAATTCTCATTCCCCCATTCTCTCAATTCTCAACCATCACCCACCCCTCTCACAGTTCCTCACTCACATACCACAACTCCTTGATTCGAAAGAAATTGCGTACCTGTGTAGGAATACACTCCACAACACTCACCAGCCCAGAAAATGAACTCTCCTTACCTCCTACAGAATCATGGAATCATCCTCAGACTCTCCATCCAGATCCCCATCTCCGTGTACATACATAGAATCTCCATCTACCTCTTGACCTCTCATTGCTCAGTGAGTTTCGGTTTCCCTTCTTTTCTCTGCTCGCGGAAATGTGTGAAAGTATTGACAATAGCCCATATCTTCCCTTCACCTTTGATATATCCCTACCTACCTTCTGAAATGCACTTCACTTAACCTCCCATCCCGACTTTCCTCTTCCTCACTTCCCTACCACCAACAAACAATCAATCAGCCAACCAACCAGCCAGACAAACCTATCAAACCCCCCAACCCTCCAACCCCCAAACCTCAACTCGCATCTTCACAAGACACCAACCATATCACATACAATCACCACCCACAAACCCACAAACCCACAACATTCTCCCCTCCTCTCCTCCCCCCTCCAACAATCCCAGCAACCCAGCCCAATCCTATCCACCCGTTCCAAAAAGAAACCAACGCAAACCACCCAAACAACCATCCTATCCTCATAACGCAATCATTCCCCCTACCATTAGCACTAGCCCCAAAATTACGAATCCGCCACATGGAGTGGCGATTTCTAGCGATTTCTCGCCCATCCATCCATCTATATGAAGTATCCCAGGACTAAACATTCTCTCCTCCACATTCTCAGCGCCCTAAGACCTATATTTTTGAAAATCACGGGGTAGGAAATGAAATGGAGATAGATGGAGTAAATTTTACCTGTAATGCTACTTTATAGGTGAGCAAGAAGAGAAATGAAATGGTAACCTTATATGCGGAGAATGCATTGCTGTAGATAGGTAGGTACTAGGTATATACGAATCCCACGTAGCCGCATCGCGCTCTTAGATTATATAACGAGTATAGGTACATAGACGTGCAAGAAATAGAAAAAGAAAGAAAAAGAAGAAGAAACCGTCTTCGTACGTACTGGATTAACCTTACCTACTAGCCCACAAGCCACCAGACTACACTTTACTACTTAGGTAAGTCCACTGGTGGTCCTCACCACATATTCCAGTCACGTGAATCCATCAAATCCAGACCACCACATTCCACCTAACCCTAGATATTCATGCTTGCTCTTTCCCTCCAGCTCCATTTAACTATCATACCTATTCTTCTCTTCTCGAGATTTGTTGCATATCTTGTAGGATATTTGGAAAGATTTTTTAAATAATATATTTATAGAACTACATTTGTTGACTAAATAACCTTAAACATTTACCGAATGCCAATCATAAGGTTACTCATCTAAGCTTATACTTATATATACTTGTATTCTTATAAAAAACCTAGGTAAACAGATGTGTAGCTGAATTGAGGAGAAATTCTAGATCAAATATAAGATTAATATGGATCAGTTCTTTTTTATTTATTCTGTAGTTTATCGTTGTGCAGTTATGGTATAGGTAATAGGTAGTAGGTATATACATTTCTATCTAGCATTTTCTATATATTTCTAGTCGCGTGGATGTATGCACAAGGAGGGATCTTAGTTGTTACATAGGCTTATACAATAAATGGCATTATGGTAGATAGGATTACGAATTGGGAATTCAGAAAATGCATACTGGTGTACGATAATGAAAGAATTGTTGAGTGGATGAATGAATGGGCAATCCATCCATCGTATAGGTAATCTCACGATAGGTCACGCGAGTGTCCTGAATGCGGCGGGGGTGAAATGGAATTGGAAGAGGAAGATTTACGTACCGAGGAGGACCGTAAGAAGTGAGATTTGATTTGAGTTTCCTGATGAGGGTGTGTTAAGTACTCCGTATGGCCCGGGTTTCTTTTGAGGTTTTGAGCTTGTGTTTTGCACTTCAATAGAGGTAGAGGAATCAATAGGGAAGCTTTTATTATCCAGGTAGGCTCTAGGTACTCGAGTGTATCGATCCGTCATTAGAAAATTCGATACATACCCGAAGTAATGCCCAATGCAATGACTCCTCTTCCAAAACAAGAGAATAAGAGAATAAGAAAATAAGAGAATAAGAAAACAACATGAAAACTTTATTAAATACCTATCTAGGTCTCTACCTACCTAAGGAACTGGTGAAGATTGGATTGGATTGTAAGATTAACCGCGATGAATCTCGGTACGTATAGTGTACCTTCCAGGTCGCGAAATTATTATATGTCTGAGATGTTGCCTGGGTCGTGTTTATTACTAGGTATGATGATATGGTATATTCATCTATTCACCACGAAATAATTTTTACATAGGAATATAATATAGGTATGTATGTATATACTATGTCTCAACGCACCAACCTTCCCTCATCCCAAAGTATATTTGTTTCCATCAGAATCAAAATCAAAATCAAAATCCGACCTGGACTTCACCGAACTGAACTCAACTGCACGGGGTCAGACTGAACCCAAAAGCGTCCGGAGAAACACTATTGGGAGCGGAGACCCCGCGATGGAAGAATGGAATTCGGATGGACTGAAGAAAATGTGGATGAGAGAGAAGTTTTCAGGAAGATGGAGACTTCTAGACTTTTTTGATATTTATCAATGAATGAATGGCATGCATGTATGCAGGTATGTAAGATCTTATGGATTCATTGAGGACGGTCTCGAATCATGAGGAAGTAGTTAGGGGTCGATACCGATTCAAGCTCACTGGTCATTGACCATCTCGTGACTCGTGAGCCCGCCGGGAACGAGAATTATTGAATGGAGAGATGGAAAGGAAAGTTCCATATCTCCAAGAGCAACTGACCGAGGGCCAAGGTGTACTTCGTAAGCATGGGATGTTGGAGATTGGGGTTTGGAGGAAGATCAGCAAATGGATTTGAGATTGATGCTCACGTTCTCACGTATTGTTACTATCCTGTCTCGAGCTTGTTACCTGTTTAGTACCTGTCGATGGATTGTGGTAGGAATTGAATGAGGAGGAAGCAATTCGCCACGGTTGTCACGGCGTGGAATCCTTGTGGGAAAAAATATATCTCCGTACATAGGCTCTACGTAACCGAAAAAAGCGGTGGAAATTGAGTACCCTTTTAATCGTCTTTTTTAATAGATTATAAATTCATTTCAAATTAAATATTGAAATTTGAAAAAAGTATACAAAAATTTGAGTCTTCTTTGTATTGATAGTAGATGTTTTTATTATTTAATATTATATCAAGAAGAGTTTTAGTCGTTGAAGTTCTTTTGGATTGTAGTGAATTTCCGCCGCTTTTTTCGGTTACGTAGAGATAGGATAGGATAGGTACTCGAGTACTAGATAACCTTAGTGGGGACAGATACAACAATCTGTGAAATAATTACGAGGGCGTGTCTTTGATGAATGCCGGGTCCGTGCGCAAGCACTTTTTCACACCAAAATTCACCCAAACTCACCCATTTTAAAATTCAATATTAAATCAATCAATATTATTATATATTTGAAATTTTATAAAAGTAATAAATTTTTATTTAAAATCTAATAATATAAATTTAGTTTTTTCATTAAAGTTTTCAATTAAATCAAAATTTATATTGAATTTTTATGCTTAAAATCTTTATAAGAAATAATGTTGATTTTAAGAATCAAATTTCTATATAAAATTTTATTATCAATTCAATTCCAAAATTAATATTTCTAATATCAAATGAATTATTGATTAAATCTCTTTATGCCTTTTAAATTTTAAAATATTATAATGAATATTTGAATTATTATATATTTATAAATATATAGAATAAAGCATGATTTTGGTGGGGAAATTCGCTTAAATTTTAGTCCGGCAATCATCAAAGACACGCCCTCGTAGAATAAGCAGAGTCCCATTTTGAAGCATTCCAGCTTTTGGCTATTATATGTATGCTTGCGTAACCGACTATGTCTCATGTAAGATCTTACCTCTCTATCCTCTGCTTTTCTATTCCTACCTACCTAGGTATTCAACACCATCCCAAGCCCACCCCTCATCCTCGGTTCTACATCGCCAGAATCGATCGGCAAATCCTTCTCTCCTCCTGCCCTGCCTCTCCATCCTCGCATCTTCCAGAACTTCACAAACTCTCATCTGCCGATCCATCACTTTCTTGCGCAGAAATGTTTCATTAGGTCCCGTTGGAAGTGGAGATCTCATGCCGTTTTGGGGTCGTGGTGCATGGGGTGGGAAAATTCTCCCACAGGGAAATACGAGATGAAACGAGCTATTGTTTGTGATTTTTGTGGATCCTTGTAGGGATAGGATAGGATAGGATTGGATGGAAATAAGGGAGTGGTCACTGGTCCTGAGTATGGAATAATTCATCTCATGTTTTCATGTTTACCTAGGTATCTAGGTATCGAGTTTGTAACTCTATAGAGGTAATAAATGATGGTTGTTGATATGATAGTAGGTAGGTAGAATGTCGTTACAATAAGAATACCAACAAAACCATTCCTTCCCATTCCAACCATCTACAAACCGCAGGAACGAAAATCCCCAAGGCTGAATACATGAAACCTATTTTCAGAACTCGCCCTTGTCCTTCGTCCCTCGTGTAACATTTTCGTACCTACCTACCTAGGTACCTTTAATTTATTTATACCTCATTGTGCATATGCATGCAGAGGAGAATAAATCGATGCATCTGCATTTGCATTTGCATATGGCGTAAGCCCTCCATTCATTCACAAGGCTTAATCACCCCCCAAAGAAATTCGAAAAAGGGGCACCCAGTCCAGGATTAAACTTTTCACGTGCCAAGAAGTCTCCCCTGACGTGGATGGTCTAGAGTGGCCCGACCCGCAGGGAGAGTACGGATGGAGTATGCATGTGTGCGTAATTAATTACTCAGCCCCTACTTAGTCTCCTAGCGTGTGAAGTTTGCACGAACTCTTTTTGGGGAGGGGAGGGGATGGGATGATGAACGGTTTGTGGATGTCTAGGTAGTTTGTGGTAAGTAGTAAGTGGTAGGTTAGTAACTGACTAGTGTATGTAGTACAAAATACGGTACGGGAGTGTCTAAAGAAGTGGAGAGTTGGAGAAATAGTAGACTAATTCCCCAAATGAGACTTGATTGACTGACTAACTGACTGACTTATGAAGGGAAACCAGAAAAAAGGATGATTCATGAGGGAGTGACATGTTTGACATGTTCATGGCGTAAGAATCCTAGATAATCGGTTGCAGATGGTGAAAAGGTACTGGACGCACCTGCAGCCCAGGGCTCTGGATGGAGGGAGGCTGGAGGGTGGCGTTTTGAGAGGCGAGTGGCGTTTTAAGGTACGCCTATCATTGATGAGATATGGATGATGGATGAGATCGTGTACATTATATCGTCTGTACCTTTTCTTTTTTTCGCATGTGCAGATTCTGTAACGACTTTGTAACACAGTATCAGGGGGAGAATGCTTGGAAAAGGTTATTGGGCTTTTTGTTATAGATGCGGGATGGGGTAAAGGAGAGTAGAGGAGAGGGTATAGAGTATAGAGTAGGTAAAGAGTAAAGAGTACCTAGATAAAGAGTAAAGACTATAGACTATATATAGACTATAGAGTATAGACTATAGACTATAGAATATCTTCACTGATACCGTATTTTGACCCCCAACCTGATCTCAAACCTCGCTTTCTATAATCAGCAGGAAGCCTTTCAATTCACAATCACTCCCTAATTAGTTGATACACGCGATGAAGAATCTATACAGAGTAGAAGCAGGGGAATTATATACATCTCCACATTTATTCATACTCCCCCGGGGGCTTAATTACGGTATGCTAAGCTCATAAGCTGACTTTTTTCAAGGTTAGATATCGTAGATATTCACGAGTCTTTGTGCCATTGACCATTGACCATTGACCATTAATCATTTCCTAGTAATCATTGACCCTCTCGTCCTCTCGACCCTCGCTCCTTCCCTTCCACCCCTTCCACCTTTCAATGGTCCATATCTAATCTCTCAGGGGTTCAAAGCAAGCATTGCTGCACATTTCTTTTTTTAAATCCATCCTTAAACCTCCGAGATACATCTTGTTCATTCAAACACATCCATATGGTCTGTTGTCAGACTCTCTCTCTTTCCCCCCTCTCTCTCTCCCTCTCTCTCTCTGAGCCACCGAAGATTCAATACAGAAGTCTTCATTCATTCATTTCATCCGAATCGGAATAAAAAAGAAGAAGAGATCCAGTTTTATTTTCAAACACTCCCTCCTTTACCATCCATCCATCCATCCATTTAATCTACAACCTTACATGACTCTCGCTCATTGACCAAGATCTTCCCCAATTCTTTTCCAAGCTCCAGCATTTCATAGCAGAGTCAAGAACCGGGTTAACTTGCGAACCCATTCACATATCGAGCCATATACTACATATTAACCAGGTATTTCGAGGATACGAAGCAAATCTGATTCACTTTGTCAAGTCCGTTCACTCGTTCATACCAGACATACGCATAACCGAATCTGGACCTTTCCTTTACAAACACCATCTACCCACAATTGTTGATACCCACCGCGGCATCCATACTCTCTTTTCTCCAATCATTCTAGACTCCTATTTTGAGTCGACCCAACCTTTCAAGCCTTAAAGAATTTCCACAAAACCGACATCATGGCCGACGATTTTGGGGGTCATGACCCATTAACTTCCTCAACTCTTCCTCACGACAATCCCAATCCAACCGTTATTCATCCAAATCCTGAGAAGATTACTCCTAGTAGACAGAGCACGATGAGGTCTAAGGGTGGATTTGAAGTACATGCTAGTGGAGCGACCACTCCAAGTAGTTTCAAGAGGCAAAGCAGACATGATTTAAATTTGGACGATTATTTTGTATGTTTATATCCTTTCATTGCTTCCAGTCAGATCTGCTACCTTTCATCTGATTCACCCCAAACTCAAACCTCCATGAACCTCTCAATATGACTAACAACCTCTTCATCAATAGGTCGGACCAAGAAACCTCGATGCTCATTCCAAACTTCCATATTTTATGCGCCTTCATGGATCCGTTATTCCTCGAATGATCGTACCTCTTTTCTGGATCGCATGTTGGTCTACTTTAATTACATGTATTTCGCAATTTTCGGGTACAGAATTGGCTGTTAATACCTTACTTTTGACGGTCCTTGGTTTTGTTATTTCTTTGGCATTAAGTTTCAAGAGTACCACTGCTTATGAACGGTTGGTTCCCCTCTTTCATTTCTTCCCCTTTCTGCATAGGAACTTTACATCAAAAAATTCGAGCGCAGCGAGCTAAAGGGGGTTTGGGGGCTTGCCCCCATATATGATACCATCTTACCAGTCAATGTTAGACATTGAAGAGTCAAGTCTCTTTGAAGTGACGCTCCGCTGGCTCTCCGAGGGCCATTGCCATGGAGGCAGACCAAATTATTCAAAACATTATACATAGAACTTTGACTAACAAAAACATAGTTATTCCGATGGACGTAAAGCATGGGCATCTCTCTCGGTCCAATCCCGCAACCTAGCTCGATTCATCTGGGTCAACATCCAAGAACGTGAAGGTGACATGGGAAAAGAAGATCTTCTCGCAAAAGTAACGGGTATCAATCTCGTTCTTACCTTTGCCGTTGCTCTCAAACATAAACTTCGTTTCGAACCATATGCCCATTATGCCGATATCTCCGCTTTAACCCATCATCTCAATACTTATGCTCAATCGGCCACTACTCCCGAAGTCCTCATCGAGAAAAAGAGAACACCATGGAAGCGCACTGGTGAATACCTCGGTCTCAGTTTCGCTGCTAGTAACCCCCGAAAAGCCATCAAGAGATCCAGCAAGCCCGTTGGAAATCTTCCCAATGAAGTTCTCACTTACCTAAACTCCTACGTCGAAGGAACCATCCGCAACGGCACTCTCGATTCTCCCGTCGTCTTTGGTCAAATTCTCGGCTGTATCAACGCTCTCACCGATTGTTCCGCCGCTGCTGAACGTGTTCTCCAAACTCCTCTCCCCATCGGTTACAACATTCTCATTTCGCAAATCGTCTACCTTTACGTCTATCTTCTCCCCTTCCAACTTTATGCTTCTCTCAAATGGATTACCATCCCAGGTACCATTGCCGCCGCATACATCATCGTCGGTCTGATGGCCATTGGAAACGAACTCGAAAACCCCTTTGGAAACGACGTCAATGATCTTCCCCTCGATCACTATTGCGCCGAGCTCGCCCGTGATTTCGATATCCTCACATCCGTCAAAGCACCTTCCTGGGATGAAATCGTCTACGGAAGAAAAGAACGCGTGACGGCAGATACCGAGGAAGAATTGATGCGCGAAAATAAAGTTCTCTGGCCACTCAGCAACTCTGGTGTTAGAATGTGGAGAAACAGAGATGAGAAGGAAATCCGTGATGCGTTGGCTGCGAAGGTCGTTGTGGCGGATAGGAAGAGTCGAGATGCGTATACGAGTGCGGGAGAGGGAAGAGCGAGTACGGCGAGAGCCAGGAGTGGGAAGAGTGATTTGAGTGCCGATAGTGCGGATAGTGCTGCTTAGTGATTTTTCTTTCGGGGTGTGGATGAATGAAAACATTTGAGGAGTGAGTGGGCAAGAGAGATGAATTGTACAGATATATGGAATAGAACAAACAGTCTTGGATGGGATGGGATGGGATAAATTGTTATTTGGGGGAAAAAAAAGTAGATGAAGACAGTTGGGATGAGCGGAGCGGATTGGAGCAAAGCATGTCACGCCTTTTTATTTATCTGATGACAATCAAAAGTCCATGATTGGTACGTACGCGCGAAAGGCAGAAAATGGGTCGTATGTATGTTTGTATGTATGTATGTATGTAGTATTTACGGGCGTTTTTGGGAGGGAGAATAATGGAGTTAGTTGTCGTTGTTGTTGAATATACGTCTTACCTAGTTTATTGTGTTATATTTTATTTTATTTTTATATCATCTCATCTTCTTTTTAAGAAAATTGATCCGATCTGATCGGTTTGATTTTGATTTTGATTTTGATTTTGATTTTGATTTTGATTTTGATTTTGATTTTGATTTTGATTTTAATTTTGATTTTGATTTTGATTTACTTTGCTTGTATTTCTTGGTTATTGGTTATAGGGTTTTGGTTTTTGGTTGTTTGAGGGGGTGGGGTGGGGTGGGAGTGGTGTATTTGTATTTCATGAAATCAAAATCTTCACTATAGGATATAAATAATACATCAAGATTAGTATAGCGCGTCATGCGGATATTTTGCTCAGAACGATTTCTTTCGTCTAATATAGTATTATCTGATTTTAAAATCGATCTAATATATATTATCTAATAAAATTTCACATTATTATCTCATCTTTTTTTATATAAATTTTATCGTTTTCTTTCAAATCTTTTGATAAATCTTTTGATTAATCTTTTAATTGAAAAAATATAAGTTATTTGAGTCTCTTTTTTTTAAGAGAATATGATATAATAATTATTATTTCTAATTTACATTAATATAAATTAATTGATTTAAAGATTTTTATAATTAATTAAAAGATTTAGAAAATTCTAAACTATAATACTATAATATTAAAAATATTACAAAAGATTTATAATCAATTAAATAATCAGAATTACAACTTACTTTAAATTGATAATAAATAAATCGAATTTTCTATATATAATATTATAATTCTTACAAATAATAGAATTATTAAAAAATAAACCTATTAATTAACTCTTAATCAAATCTTAATTAATCTTTAATTAAATCTGTTTTCAATCTTATTTTGAATTTAAATAAAAATCATTTTGAAATTTAATAATTATTACATCATAATCTCAAGTTTTTTTTTTATATTATTATTATTATTATTATTATTATTATTATTCTTATTATATTATATTATTATTATTAGTAGTATTATTATATTATTATTATTCTTATTATTATTATTATATTATTATTATTATTATTCATAATTATTATTATTATTACTTATATATTGGAATCTTTTTCAATTTTTCCTTTTTTCTTTTTTAATTTATTTATTTTTTAATCTATTTCTTTCTATTTTTATTTTTTTAATAATTAAGATTTAGACTTTAAATTTATATTAATTTTAACATAATATATAATTAATAAATAAGATAATGTATATGAACATTTGCTAGATAAGAGTATAGATTAGATAATATCAAAAAATCTGATTATTATCATCTAATATCGTTCTGAGCAAAAATGTCCGTATGACGCGCCATAGATTAGTTATTGATGGGTTTTCTATAGTAAAGAATTTTTTTCTAATTCAAGTATCTACTATGTCTTTTCCCTTCCTTTCCATTTCGTTTGACTAGGTAGCCATTGAAAATATGCATTTTGAAAATCTCGATCCCATTAATAAAATCAGCTCTCCTCCCACTAAACTCGGTTATCCACCCATTAGACTCTTCTATCCCTATACAACTTCTTCGCATGTTGCACGACCATGGAGCAAAATCTGTACCTTTCTTGACGACTCCATTCCTCTGAAACATTTCTGTATCAGCTTGACCATCGTAAATGGCAATGGCGTTGTGCAAGGCAATGATTCCAGAATCATCGTAATTCAATTGTCTCATGGAACTCATTCTTTTCACCGTACACTTCACCGTCTTGGGGTCTTCTTCTAGCATGAAAATTTTGGTCAACCATCTTTGGAATCCAAAGTGGGAGTGTGGCCATTTTCGAGGCTGTCCCATAATTTAATGGTGATCAGGACAGTCGCTTCGAGTCCAGCTGATGTGGTAATCTGTGCAAGTTGAGTAGTCCAGTGACTTGCAAAGGCCTTGACGCAAAGTACCCTATTTTTCAATGTTAGTGTAATCTCTCCAAAATCAAGTCAAAACGTAGAGGATGATGAACATACTGGTTGAAGTACAGACCCGGGCCTTTGATAGAATCAATGTACATCTTACAAAGACCTTCTTGATCCTCCTTTGGCTTGTTATTGAAAGTCTCGAGGTTGGATGACCTCAACAAGTACAAATCCTTTGGCTTTTTCTCACGATATAAATGCATGACTGCATCTACAACAGTATCTGAAAGCCAGCTTCCTTCGGCAAATCTCTGTAGATCTTCCAATAGAATGGTCAATCCCGGATTCGACGACTTGCCCGCAAAGAAAACAGATGAAGTTCCAGGGAATTCCTGAAAAAGTTCTTCCATATTATCACTATCACCGCTGTGTTGCTGGTCCCGGGAATCTTCAAACCCTTCTGGGTGTAGATCTTGGCTATCTAATTCCTTCAACAAGGCTTCAATTTCGAGATCATTAGATAACTCGACAAGGAAAGGCTCAAATGCTTTGGCTAAGATTTTCAAATTCTTTGCAAAAGCGCTTTGTGATGAGTGTATCAAAGTACATAGCACATTAAGGCGAGCAACTGACCACTTCTTGAATCCGGTCCTGTTTTCTCCTCCCTTTTGGAGTTCGGGCATAAAGAATGGATAGAGGAACAAAAATCCTTTACCAAAGGAATCTATCAATTGAGAAATCTTACCGCCAACTCTCTTTTGCTTGCGGCAATCATCGAGAAATGGTTTCTATAATACATTAGTGCTCGTTCTTACATTTACTGAACTAGTGACGATGACACTTACCAGATTTTTCTCAGTGCAAGTGGCCAGGTTTCCTCCCGCCCTCGAGAAGTTCATCTTAGCCAATTTCTCGTAGTACATAGCTTTTCGAATATCAACAGGATGCCCTTTCTTGAGATTCACAGTCGGATCAACCGCCATTCCTGCTTCCTCGACCAAGTTGTGTAACTCAAAGTCACATCTAACTTGTGCAATTTCTGCGCCGATTTTATCTTTCTTTGCACAAGTAGAAATTTTACTGATGGTGATGAGTTTTAGAATGTGCTCCAGTGGGAAATCACTATCTTGGAAAGAAGGTAACACCGCGTCAACATCACCAGTTACGGATTCAGATTTCGCCTTCATGGCCTTGAAGAGGAAGGCTTTAACTGGACCAATCAGTCGTAATGTTTCCCATTTTTGATCCAACAAAGTTAAAAATAAAGCATCGTCGTTGATAACACGGCCACAGCACTTGCCAATTCCGAAGGTAGCCACACATGAGCGAATGGGAAGGTCAATACCTTGTGACTCTCAATCCAATTCCTCTTTAGATTTGTTCTTGTTAGAAGCTTCATCGGTTAGATCGATCTCCTTACGTGAATTCTTCTTTTCTGAGACTAGCGGTTGCGACTTTAGAGACGATAGCTTCAGCGCAATCTCTTCTCTGGACTGCGCGACTAACGATGGTGGACTTGAAATGTTGTTATCCAGTTCCATGGATGACTGCTCGCCTCTCAAATTATCCTGATAGGCATCTTGGTCAACTGATGCAACTGGCATATCTGGGACCTGACTTCTTCTATCCGGAGATTTTGAATCATCAAATGATAATGGGATTGGCATAGAATCAAGTTTGATGGCGCGTTCACAAGACTGAGTTTCTGGGGGTTTGAAGACCTAGGAAAGGAGGTTATCTGCGACAGACGGAAGTATGGCTTTGGGAGTTGACGACTTTGCGAGTAGTAGTGGACTTCCAGATTCGCATCTATTCTGGATTGGTTCGGCATCATTTGCTTGAGAGCCAAGAGGTAAGGATGAGACTGAAGTTGTTCCTGATCTGCGGCGATGGAAGCTTGAAACTGCCTGGCAATGTGCGCAAAGAAAATTATCTCTCTGCTTATGGAATAAACCTTGAGCGAAATTAGGTTTTCGACAATTTGTGCATTTTTGAAACGAATCAATGATTTCATCATCTTCTTTCTCGGATCCTGAATCAAGGACTTCCACTTCTCCCATTGCTTCCCGTAGCCTTTTGTTTGATCTCTCCATTTTAGCTCCACGAAAATCCGGGGAAACATGGTCTTGGTCATCTGCCCTCTCCAATGGTGTCTCATTGTATTTATCACTCAGAATCCATTTAGGGCCTTGTTCCTCTCCCGAGAGATATAATCCTGCAAATAAAGCTTGAAGCTGCTGTCCTTCCAGAGGAGGCATGTCCTTTAATACCTCATGCGATGTCATGGCTTCCAAAATCGTCGATTCCGAAAATACCAAATGCCAGAAAGTCGCATCTTGCTTCTTGAGGAAGGGTATGAATTCTTTGGCCGTCGGGTTGTTTCTGTTTACGAACTTCGTTACTTTGTTAATGGAAGACATGGTTTTGTTGTAACTAGTCTGAAATGATGTTAGTTAATGGAAAGAGGATTGTAAAGGACTGCATCGCAATTGGCTTTCTCCACCAAGTATTTGACTTCTCGGTGAGATCTCAAATCAATTATTGGAACGCGGAATTTGAATTCTTGTAGTAAGAAAAGCAAGTAAACTTTGATAAATTGGCAGCAAAGGGGTATAGATCGTTTATATAACTGACCTCTTGAGTCGAAATTGACCGCAACCCTCGATTATGTAGCAAAATGAGCTCAAGTATCAAGAAAGAAGGAAGAAAGGCTGTTATAAAGCTCTTATTCAAGGGATTCTGATGGATATCTTGGTGTTGTCGCAAAGAGAGGTAAGTTCTTGGAGTTGTAGAAGGTTTCGAGTTGTCGAGTTGTCGAGTTGGAGAAATCAGATTAGGTAAAGTGAGCAGATTCTTGTTGATTGAGAAGTCAGGAGGATCACTTTCAAAATCGAAAGGTGAAGTCACTCTGTCAATCTTCATAGATGATCAGAGAGGGAGGGGGAGGAAGCAACCGAATCTTGTTTCGATTTGGGAAGGTGCGATGGAGACTACCATACACAGACTACCTACCATACACATGATGTCCTACAGAGATGAATACCAAATTGACAAGCATTTTTGTGAGTTACAACAACAATCTCCTAGAGTCCCAGCTTTTAACGTTCTTCTCTTCAATTACATTACGTTACAGATAAATCATGAATTCTCACAGATAACTTTCTCTTATCTCTAATAGAATCACAATATTATTCTTAGATTTTCCATATAGATTTTCATTTCTATATACTAGGTATTTAGATAATATATTTATTAATTTTTATATCTCTAGGTATTTAGTAAGTTTAAGTACTCCTTTTCCTCTCTTCTCTTCACTCCTTCACTCCTCCCCTCCACTCCTCCCCTTCACTCCTCCCCTTCACTCCTCCCCTTCACTCCTCCCCTTCACTCCTCCCCTTCACTCCTCCCCTTCTCCCTTCCTCTAAATAAGTATTATAACAGTACAATCAGAACCCCAAGCCACATCACACCACATCCCACCCCATCGCATCTTATACAGAACGCGTCATGAATTGAGTAACTATATCTTTCCTCTAGAGTCACTTGACCAGCGCTCATTAACCTGGGATTTATTCAGGCAAAATTCCACCCTAGTCTATTCAAACCCTGTTCAACAATTATTGTAAAAGTATCGATTTCGTATATTATAACCTATCCCAATGCCTAGATACACACAGCCCCAGTACTCCTAACCCGTATACTCACTGCAATTCCCCACAATCAAACCTCAATCATCAGCGCCCCCATCGTCACCTCTTCCCGTCAAACCCCCCACCAACCCTAACATTCTCCTTCCCAAGAGATCATCCTCACTAGCCAAACTGACCATACTCTTCTGTCTCTTGAGTCCTCCTCTTAACCTCGTTCTTCCCCTCTCCCCACTCCCAATTTCTTCTCTCAGAAGTTTTTCCTTTTTCCTTCTCTCGCCATGTCCATTCACATCCCCTGACCCTTTGCCCTTTCCACTGATACTCATCCTCATTTCCAGTCCCATATCTTCATCCCCAGAACTTTCTGTTCTAGTCCTCCTATGGTGTCTCTCATTCCCACTTGCTTTCGCGAATTCTCTCTGTTCTGATTCGTTGAAAATTTCCTGCATCCACTTTCCACATTGGAAGATATATTTCCAACCTTCTGGAAAGATTCCGACGAATTGTAAGAATCCGTGACTGATACCCGGAATCAGCATAACTTCTGCGGCATCTTCGCCTTGACAGCGTCTTAATCGTCCGGCAAAGATAACCGTATCGTCTACTAATGGATCTCGTTCACCAGTGATAAAGTAAGTTTTTGGGAACTGAGCTAGTAATGAATCAGGTGCTAGAATTGGGGATAGAAGATAATCGGTTGAGAAGTCAGGACGGTTGTGAGGACCTATGTAGAGAATGATCATGGCACGCATCATTTCAGGAGTAAGAATACGATCGTTGAAGTAGGATATCATAGATGACATGGCAAGACGAGTGCGTAAGGGTGCTGGATGGTGGGATGTTGAAGGAGTCGATGGTTCAATATTCGCCGGAGTCCTCGTTAGAGACGGGGAAAGGATTGTAGGAGCGGCCGTACTATATTGAGGAGAGGGTAGTGAAATTTTAGATGGTTTTCCAGGAGAAAGTTCTGTGGTTTCTTCTCTGCTAGCAGGTGGCGAGGGCAATTTCGGTGGACTTTCATCCTCATCTTCACTTTGATGAGGTGTTCCTGCTGCCAAAGTATATTGCATGCTCTTTCTTTGGATGATCCCCTTATTTGTCTTCCTATATTTCTTCTCTTTAATCAAACTCATCTGTTCATCACTCATCCAATTTCCAATGTTCATGTCCAGCCCCGGATATATGAGAACTAAGCCATCTGGAATCGGAAGTGTTCCTTGTCCCATGAATTGTCGAGCATCTGTTTTCCCAGATTCAATAATCATCAACGTAGTGCTAGCAGCTAGATTTCCACCAGCGCTGTCTCCCGTAATGACAACCTTTGGTACTACATCTCCGGATAACCCCACACAACGTCCTCGACTAGCGATTATTGTACAGTAGACATCGTAACATTCGTTCAGTGCGTAAGGATATGGAAACTCTGGAGCTTTCTTATAATCCAAACTCAACACTGGCAATCCAGTCTTCCCTGCCCATGCAAATAACTTGTCGTCGTTTGTTCTTGGATCCATTGCCACAAATCCTCCGCCCGGTATATCCAAAACCACCTTTGTATGATTCTTTAAAGCTGATAGTGGCCCATCAAAGAATAACCATCCATTAACTGGTTCTTTGTAATCACTACTCGATGGTCTCGGTATTCGAATCGCCCTAGGTGGATATCTCATGAACCTTGGTCGTAATAGATTCGACAAAAATCCCAGGTATGGGGTTGTTCCTTTATTCCAGCTAACTCTCAGATGGTCCACGGTCAACATGCCTCTGACTTTTCGTACTTTTTCATCGGCTTGCTCGGCAGCAATCAGATAGTAAAACGTGAATACGACACCAGCCAAATCACGTATCCACTTCCGCCTTATACGCATGGCACTCCAAAACCCCGCATCCAAAGCTGTAGTAACCCATGTTGCTCGAAAGTATGATCTCGTGTATAGGTTTGCCAAAGGCTCCGGACATTCCAGTCCAACGAGTTTGCCCAAGTTTCGCGCGATGTAAAGGTAGAGGAGGGTTATGACAAGAGTTTGCCATGGTGTGAGATATCTTTCGAGTAGACGGGATAGTTTTCTAAGTTTTGGTGGACCATCTCTGTTCCCTCTGTAAATTATAATGTTTAGCTAATGACATAGTAGGAGGGTGGCGCAGGAATGTTACTTGAAAAGGTAGAACGACCAGAAAGAAACCACAGCCAAAACTTGTATCTTACGAAACTTCACAGAAGGTCGCCCTAGAACATGATCTACCAACTTCGTCAGTAATTGGATAAGGGGTGCTGCTGGGAGTATAACATACCTATCATCTTGATTAAAGTTATATGTTGTTGTACAAAAGAGAAGATGCCGAGTAAGAACAAAGAAGTGTTAATAACATCGTCTTCAAACCAACATCATAGCTTATTAGCTAGCTAGCTTGTGGAAGATTAAACAGAAGCATATGATCAACTCAAGCAGAAACAAGACCGAGGCTGATATGATCCCCAGTCGAATGTCTTCAAAGTATAACGACGAACAACGAATTGAAAGTCTGGGAATGTTTAATGTTAGAATGAAATCATGGGGATTGTATGGAGAACATCATTGGTTGACATGTGATTATGTTGGGTGACTCAGCTTGAAGGTACGTGCTGAAGATTACTTAGTATCGTTTTGAATAAATGCCGACCTCAATTTAGCTAATGTATATTATACTAAAAACTATTAAAAGTTACCTATTTCAAAATTCTATATTAATTCGATTAGAAAAAGGAAAGATATAAAACTCTATAAGTGATTAGATATTTAATTAAATTTTATATACATTTTTTTAAAAATAGAATAATCTTATTTGAATTTCGAATTATTTAAGAAATCAAAAAATCAATAGTATGAAAATAAAACTTACTAATTTTCAGGCTTTAACTTTTTAAAATTAAGATTTAAAATATTACTTTTTGAATTTAATTTCTTTTTGATTATTATTTCTTTAATATTATATTTGAAAATCTGAAATCTTAATATATAATATATTAATAGTAATAGGCAATGAATAGAACAAGTTATAAAAGCTATCTTGTTATTAAGCTAAAAGCTATACTATTTAAGTATATCTACTATACTAATTATATAAGCTATACTATTAAAGTCTAGTCATTATACTATCTATTATATTTCCTTAAGTCCGAAAAAAACTCTGTAATATTTTCATTACATTTCTATAAAGTATTTATTATTTGATAATTGATATTAAATAAAAAAATAAAAATATTTATTTTTGAAAAAACATATTTATAAAATATTCTGATTATGATGGTATTATTGTTTGAGAAAAACAAAAAAGAAAAAGCAATATTATAAAATTGATATATAAATATAATAATTAATAAAAACTCTTTATTTTCTATTAAAATTGATTATATAGCTTATGTAATATATTTATTAATCTTTGAAACAAAAACTTTATATTTCTTTAGGTTTATGGTATTAATATAATCTTCGAGATTATATAAATTTGTAATCTTAAAAAGTTCTTTTATTATTTTTAGGGATATATTTATACTATTTAATATTTTTATTATAAAATATTTATTTTAGAAAATATATTTTATATTATCGATTTATTTATTAAATATATTTTTATATTTTGAGATTACTTTTAATAAAGGTTTTTGATTAGTTTTATTATTTTTTATATAAAGATTCAATATAATCTAAAGATTTTTAGCTAATTTCATATTACCTTTCAAATTTAGAGTTTTACCTATAATCTTAGTAATATAAACTCCTATCTATATA